AATGTCTAAGAGTGTCTCGCTGTGTTCTGTAAAATGTGTAGGTTCCTCAACATATTGCACTAGGTTATGACACATTAGGAAGTCTGACAGCATTTTGGTACTGACACAATTTTTATTTAAAATGTCGATGTTAAAATCTCCGAGCAGTACTGTTTGATCGTAGCCTACAAAAGAACCTAAGGATTCGCTCAGCGCGTCCAGAAACAATGACACGCTTAACCAGGGGGGGCGATAAGCAGTACCGAAAATAAGGGACTTACCGTTAGTTTTAATATTTAACCACATTTGCTCCACCGTGGGACAACTCGGATGCTGAATAATTCGTGATGATAAGCCCTGTCTCAGATAAAAAACCCACACCCCCATCGCGCGCACGAACCTCGGGAGGCCGGGGAACGTGTCGCAGTCCATACCCCGGCACGCAAGGCGCTCGCCCCTCCTCCCCTGCCCGAAGCCATGTTTCGTTGATGGCCATAATGTCTACCGAGTGATATGCCATAGCAGCTATGAACTCGTCGTGTCCAGTACCGAGAGAGCCAGGGTTTAAGAAGCCAATTTTTAACTTATTCGACTTAATCATTTTCATATAAATAAAACGTGAACAATATAAAATTAATAATAATCCAAAGGTAAACATGATAAATTAGACTTTGACACCACTGCTTATATACGGTTAAATATATCTCAATGTATATTGACAAACACACAACTTTACATTTTATTTGACTACTGAAAATTTTGCGCCCTAATACGTTTCCGTAAATTCCCTTTATGCTGCTACACATTAAAGTATAAATATAAAATCTGTCATCATATTCACTATGATCTAAAACAAAACATAAATGCAATAACCCGAAAAGTTTAACTACAAAATAACATTGAAAAAAATTACTCCATATTTCGCTAATCTTTGCAGCCCAACAGCTTAATAAAAATTCTATGTAGCTTAATAATAAAGTGGAAACAAAATGTACTCTAAACAAAAATAAAAAGTTCTTGTAACAGCTATAATATAGATGCGTACGAAAAATTACAACAAAGAGATGATTGTGATGGAAATCTGAACTGCACCCAAACAAACATCTTGCAAGAAATAAAAACAAAAAGAAGATCAGGACTCGCTCTAAACTATTCATTCCGCAAAAAAATTATTTATGTCCATTTCTGTGCGAATTCTATGACGCGGTGAGCCAGAATCACGACGCGCAAAAAATACATCCGTCTCGCGTCCAAACATATTTCCATCCTTTGCGCCGTCCTTCCTTCTTCCCGTGCCTTATAAAATAGTTGCCTGTTAATTGAGGTAAGCCGCTCATTAACATAAAATCGGCGCGGCTCGGCACTTAAGTTCAAACCAGCAGTATCCGCACCTCGCCGAACACGCGCTTCATGAATTAGTTTGTCGCGTATCACTCTACGAGCGAGACGGACAACCAACGGACGCGGCCTCGGCTTATCGGTGCTGCCTGGTATTTGTTCGCGGCGTATGCCTATACGTCTCGCGCTTACTACATCGCGCTCATCCAATTCAGCGCCTATTTTGGCGGCAAGCAAAGTGACGAGGTGCAAGGGGTTTTCACCCTTAAGCTCTGTTACACCAGATATCTCGACGTCGTTTAAAAGCAATTCCTGATCCCGCTCATTAAGTCGATACTTTAACTCTGTTATGCTTTCTTCGACTTTGGATCCTCCGGGTTGGCTCGGTATATCCATCGCCTGCTGCTCGAGATATGTGACCCTTTTCTCGACGTCGATGACCTTGTTGCTTAGTTCACTAACATTTGAGTTAATGTTAGCAATTTCTTGGCGAAAAGATACCATTTCATGAGCAATAGTAGTTAACTGCTCGCGTATTAATTTTAACTCGTTTGCTAAGTCAACCTTGTCTTCACAGTGCCCTCTCTCGTTGGGTCCGGGCTGTGCGTCGCCGAACTCAGTATCCGTGCCACCGGAGCTACACGAACTAGGCGTAACAGATACATGTTTTGTTTTACAACCGCTACATTGCCATTTACCTGATACACGGCCGTCAATAGGAATACCAGCACATTTGCGATGAAATAAATGCATGCAACTCAGGCATTTTACTGAGTCCATTGTAGAAGCAAATCTTCCGCAGGCGCCACACTTAAGCACATCGTCTATATTTTCTATTAAGATTGTTAGGAGTTGGGCAAACTTAGCATACTTGATTAGGCTACTATCTCTATAACTGGCTCTATCTAATAATTGGGTAAGTGTTGAGTTAATTTTATTTTCATTTTCAGTTATCTGGGATATTACACTATTATGTTGTAACATCCACTCCTTACTAATGCTAATGTGACTATTAAATTCTGATTCGATCTTATCCTGGTTATCCCTCAAAACTTTTATGGCATTGTCATATTTAGCAGCATCCAAATAATCTAGGTTACCGGTTACGCTTTTGATTAGAGAACCTAATCCGTCTACTAAACTTCTCTTAGCGCGATTAGGCTCTAAGCTATTTAATTGCGTTAGTACTTTATTTAATTTGCTAGAGAGATAGTCCATTTGTAATTCGTAAAGTAAGTTGGTGTCATTACTAAGTCTGCTCTTATAGTTCTGTAGCTGTACCTGTAACATGGTTACTTTGTCTCTTATGTCGTCAAGTTTTACATATTGAAGAAAGGTATGATAGTGGGTTATGAGTGTAGTTGGTCCAAGTCTAAATGGTAGTAATCCTGGTCCGTCTTCGAGGTATTCAAGTTTTATCTCCTGGGCTTCGGTCGTCAGTACGGTTAGTACAGTCAGTATTTTTAGAGTCCTGTAACAATTCGGCACTTTTAGGTACACGCTTAAGTCTAGACTTCCCTATCGGTCCGCGTTTCCTAGAGGTATAGATGTGTATTGGTAAGTCAGCTAGTACATTGTCATGGGTGTAACGCCAATTTTTGTCGGCTAGCTAAGGGGTTGGAAATAAAAACCTGTTGGTTTGGTTGATATTCAACTTCGGGCTCCCGGGATTTATTCCGGTTATTTATAAGTGTTGAGCGTTCGGATAGAGAACGTTCGTTAATTAAATCATACACGGTTTTCATTTGATCGCGGTGTGTTAGTATGTACTGTAGTACTGCTGTAGTAAGTGTTTTGACAAGTCGATGTCGATTGGGTCTCTAGGGTCGAAATGTCCATTGATAATGTCATACGGCCTGCATTTGGTAAAGCTATGTACAGAACTGTTGTATCCCAAGATAGCATAAGGCATTAGGTTAACTACATGTTCGTCTTTCTTTTGTAGTTTTAGGATTCGCAGATGTTCTAGTGGAGTTGAGTGAAAGCGTTCTATGTTGCCGTTATCATTAGGACAGTGGGCTAATGTTTTATGATGGTTGATTTTGTGTAATTGTACAAATTCAGTAAATAATTGGTTCGTAAATTCGGTCCCATTGTCAGTGACTATTGTCAAAGGAAGACCATGATGTGTACAAAAGGTAAGTAAGCTTTGCAAAATACTCAACGCTGTTCCCTCTCTTAAGTGGTACGCTTGAGCATATTTGGAAAATACGTCTATGAATGTGAGATACTTTTCGTTATTTACAGTGAACATGTCCATATGGATAGTCTCGAATGGTTTGGTCGCGGGGGGGCACGATATTGAACTGTGGTTTTACAGGTTTCCTATCGTACTTGGCTTGGCCACATATGGTGCACTCATTAATGTATTTTGTAATGTGTTCCCTCATTTTGGGCCAGTAATAACGTTTGGAAAGGGCCAGGAAACACTCATTAATACCGCGATGGTTGGTTTTACCTTCGTGGTAATTCTTTATTATTTCCTGCTGATTCAAATATTCTTTTACATTTTCGAGCTCAACTTTAGTTAAAACGAGATTCATAGATGAGCTTTTAAATTTTTCTTGTAGTATTGGAATGACGTCGTACATGCAAAGCGGAGGGTTGATTAATAATCCGGTTTTGACTTTTGGGTTCACGTATTCTTTTATAGCATTAACAAGGTCTACTTCCATTTCTGGTTGTCTTATTTGTATAGATGTTCGAGTATGCGTGTCGAAAGGTTTGGTTGCTATTGGTCGTCTCTTTATGTCGCCTACAATTGTTAGTATTAGCTGTCTGTGGAATTTATTAAGAGGTTCGTCGGTGATAGGTATTTCAAGGATTGGATTCTCTTGACTTGTGTGGGCTGTCTGGGTAGTAGAGCCTGTGTGGGCAGTTTGGGTAGTGGATCCGTTGCCTATTTTTACTGACGGGTTGGCTATCATAGAACATGATTCCTCGTTGTGTATCTCTACTCGGGAAAGTGCATCGGCATTGGTATTACATTTACCCTTTTTGTAAATTACAGAGAAATCATATTCACTTAATTTTAATTTCCACCTAGTAAGTCGTGAGTTGGGTTCCTTAAGGTTCATTACCCACTGAAGGGGTTTGTGATCTGTTAAGATCTTAAAAGTACGGCCAAACAGATAGGGTCTGAAGTATTTGGTTGTCCATACAATAGCAAGTAGTTCTTTTTCTATTGTGCTGTAGTTCACTTCGCTCTCATTTAGAGTTCTAGAAGCGTAACATACAGGTTTATCTGAGCCTATGGGTCCCTGAGATAGGATTGCTCCTATTGCTACGTTTGATGCGTCAGTAGTAAGGATGAATTCTTTACTGAAATCAGGATATTGGAGGATTGGGTCGTTAGTCAGGAGAGTCTTACACTTTTCGAAGCAGTTAGTATAGTCTTTGTCAAGAGTTATTTTACGTCCTTTTTTCAGACACTGTGTCAAAGGTTTGGTGATTCTAGCGAAGTCTGGGATAAACTTCCGATAATATCCTACGAGGCCTAAAAACTGTTTAATTTCCTTCGCGGTTTTGGGTAGGGGATAATTTTTTATGGCGGATATTTTATCTGGATTTGGCTTAATTCCATCTTTACTAATGATGTGTCCTAGGTAAGCAGTTTCTAATTTAAGAAATTCGGATTTATCCATTTGAATCTTAAAATTGGATTCCCTTAGTCTGCTGAATACCTTTTCGAGATTAACTATGTGTTCTTGTAAAGATGTGCTAAAAACAATGATATCGTCTAAGTATACGAGGCAGATCTCGTTTTGCAATCCTCTGAGGACGTTGTCCATCACCCGCTGGAAGGTAGATGGCGAGTTCTTTAAACCCATGGGCATGCGGAGGAACTCGAAGTGCCCATGCTTTATACTGAAAGCAGTTTTCGAAATATCATCTGGAAGCATCTCAACTTGATAAAATCCTGATGCTAAGTCTAACGTCGTAAAGTACTGACACCTACCAAGTTTGTCTAATACGTCGGAAATGTTCGGGATAGGATATTTGTCGTCGATGGTCTTGTCATTCAGTTTACGAAAGTCAACAACTAGTCTCCACTTCTGCTTACCCGAAGCGTCGGCTTTCTTTGGAACAACCCAGATAGGGGAGCTCCACGCGGATTCCGATGGTCTTATTATACCCTGTTCTAACATTTTTCCTATTTGGTCTTTAACTTCTTGTCTATGTACGAATGGGTAACGGTAGCTCTTGGTATATACTGGTACTTCATCCGTGGTTCGAATCCGATGTTTAATTTTATTCGTAAAAGAAAGAGTTTCGCCCTCCAAATAAAACACGTCGGCGTAGCGCGAGCAAAGACTAATTAAATTTGCTTTTTCTTCCTCGTTTAAATGATCCGTACGCAAGCGTGAAATTACGTCTTGCGCGCGATCCGACGGTTGTTCGGTGCGCGTGCACTCGATATTAAATAATTCCGCGCGGGCGGGCTGATCGAGCGAAAATATTATATCGTGCGTTGTCGGGTTCTTGACGTGAATAATACAGTTACACATAATTTGTTCCGGAATATAGGCTTCACCATCATTTGTATCTAATGGAATTCTAATAATTTTTGAAGAGGTGGCAGGTATAATATCTTCATATAAATTAACGTTCCGCGAGTTATATAAATGAATTGGATTACAGGCTGAGCGGGTTATTAGTTGTCCTTCTTTTAAATCAATGCGGGCCTCCCATTTACTTAATAAATCTAAACCTATTAGTCCGTCAAAATAATCGTGAAACCGATATACAAATAGTTTTACGCTGTCCGAGTCGTTGAATTCAGTGAAACAAGGCAAAGTTATTGAGTAATTATTTCGACTTATCGCGTGTATGCTCAGAAACCAAACCCGGGGCATAATCATAGTCGGTAAAGTCAGTATAGTAAGCGTACTCGTATTCCGGACGATGTTCGTAATATGAGTCGTTGTACGGGGCGCATTCATTTGTATTCATTTCGCGCGATTTAAAATAATTTGTTGGAGGTGGATTACCGAACTTATTCCAGTCATGTCCTGTCAACATTTTTGTATGCGGTAATGTCTTGGGAATGAAGCGCTGGACACCACTCATAGGCTGAGCGGTTTGAGCTTGTGGAGGATTGTTTCGGGGTGGAAGTCGGAACACATTACTTCGAGGGTTGTAATTAGGTGGGGGTGCAGCGAACATCCTCTGGGTGTTAGAGGGCATACGCTGTTGGTGCTGTACAGGTTGAGGTAATTTGAAAGGTTGAGGTGGTGGTCTGAAAGGTCGCTGGCCAAAGGGAACTGACCAGTTAGGTACTGGAGCTTGGAAGGTTTGAGGTTGTGGAACATTGAGTGGTGTTGATGATGGAGTGAACTTAGTGGTTGGTTGACTTTTAGTGGGCTCACTACGTTGTTGAATATACATTATGTTCAGTTCTTTTTGAACATATTCTAAAGCCTTTTCAATAGTTGAGGGTCGCATGCAACGTATACGAGAACCTAAGGGTTCTTTTAAACCTCGAACAAACGCTTGCATGGTAACTTTTATATAAAGATCACGCTTTGCTTCTATAGTAGTCGGTATAGTCTCATGTAAAGTTACGTATGTCATTATGGTGCTGAATAAGGTTTGGCAATGGTCATAAAATTCCTGAGGGGTTCTATTGCCCTGCGATGCTAAAGAGAGGTCATTATATAAAGCTGTTTCGTTTCGTTGGTCGGAAAAATTATTAATTAGTGCTGTTTTAATTCCTAACCAACTTTCAGGAATACCGTTTGAGTTTATCGTGCAGGCGGCGGTTCCTTTTATTTTATTAAGTATGCCATTTAAAGCACTGAGATACTGAGCGGCTAAACTATCGCATATCTTAATGAACCTAGTTAGAATATTAGGGTTACCATCAAATTCCGGGACAAGGCGTAAGGCCTTAAAAATTGTGTCCGGGTCGTGGGCCATTATATTTGTAAAGTTATGAGAACTTATTTCTAATTCAGTTTGCCTATTGCTGTCTAATATATACCAGCGAGCCTAGCGGGATTCAGGCTCCCGAGGACGATTAACTCTAGGATGATAAATCTTGAAGGGGAAGATTTAAGGATAAGGGAAAGATATAAACTAAGAAAAAGGAAGCAACACTAGATAGAATCCTGGTGTACTCACATTGATTTCATCTCGGTTCTCTCGGGATCGATGTCTTGATATATCCTCTTGGCTTGCAGTTGGTCCGTAGTAAATTCGAATACTCGTTTAAAGCTTGAAAGCTACGATAGCCTAGCTAACTTTTGAGTATCCTACCGACTGCGCCAATTACGTTAACTGCAGCCGAAGGACCCAAAAAAAACCGAAACTGATTTAAAAATACTTTATTATAATATAAAAATTACAATATAATTATAACACACCCAGACACTAGGAAAACACCAAGGACATTACACAATATTTTTCCAGTAGTCGGAATCGAACCCAGACCCTCTGGCGCAGGAGGTGAAGGAGGCAGAGGTACACTATCCACTACACCACTCGGGTCGTCATTTTGTGTCACCGCCCATGTCTGCTTCACTTTTATGGATGACCAGACCACGATTATCCATGAACCGCTTATAATCGCCTTTTAAGCCCGCCAGGAGATACCTTAGTCCTATTCTATGGGATTAATAATTTTTAAACTTTTGTTTTTATTTAACTTTTTATGGGATTAATAACTCATAAAGAATCATTTTCCTGGCTGCCTGTTGTGGCTAGCTCGGTTGTGGACGAGTGAAGTTGCTAGGGTTGAGTAAAGAGTAGCTCCGTGGTAAGTACATTGTAACACTTTTCTGTGGAGTTTTAAGCACGAAACTTCCCATTTATGTACATAAATTTTCAGGCAAAACACAAACACGATTATTTGCTATTTAAATTTTTCAGGTGTTGTTAATTGAATTCCAATTAAAACATACATAATTAAATTGGGTATTATACTTAAAATATGTACACATAATGTTACGGTGTCATTTTCAAAGTTCAATTTAATGATTTTCCAAAGTATCAGCTTTATAGTATAGAGAGTGAAAAAAAAAGTAAAGGCCGAATGTGACCTATGTGTGATAATGTGTCAGTTACCAGTGGTTCTAATTGTCTCTTACATCATCTACGGTCACCGATGCTGCAGAGCTCATTAAAACTATCAATTACTGGAGATAAGTTTTTCAGTTAAAAACATTAAAAATGTTCCTTATCTCACGTTGCCTTTTGTCATGCGTTGCGGCTACAATTTCGCACGAATAATGTCTGTAATCGAAACTAGACAAAGAAAAGATATACTTTTCACTTTTACTATTATCTGTTAACAAGTAAAACAGGGTTACAGTGCCATTAAACCTATGTATATATTTTTAACTTGACCCCCCACTGGATGAAATGACGACCTGTGCAAATGTGCGGGGAATCGATGGATGCAGGTGGCTCAAGATCGTACTTCGTGGCATTCTATGGGGGAGGCCTATGTTCAGCAGTAGACTCAAACTGGCTAAACTGATGATAATGAATGCACGCCCTGCAGTGCCTAGCCCAGTGGGGATATAAAACTGCACACAACCCTCATAACGCATTGAATAAAACTAGAACGTTGCAAGAAATCAAAAAAAGTAACTTGAAAGGTAAAACATATTAATAATTCATAATTTTTTAATTATCATACATATATTTTTTAGATTAATATTAACTTTCGCTCAAACGTCTTGTGGGATTATCCTGGTTTCACATTTATAATTTGCGCATGGCTCACATGGCCCGGTGACGCAGTTGTTAAGTTGGCTTCGTAGGTCATGGGTTCGATTCCCATTCGAGATAAGGACTTGTGTTACCCACAGACAGTTTTTCCGTATCTGGGTGTAAGTTCCCAAGTCGGGTAGGCGGATGATCTTAAAAAATCTAGAAAGGCAGGAGAAAGAGGAAGAAGAAACGTGGATTATATTAAGATTTATTTTGCAAAAAAACAACAACATATTTTCAATGTTATCCGTTGTTGCAACTTATCCTGGGAAGCGATGTTCCAAAATACAAGAAGCAGATTGGGAAATCGAAGTGTAGCAACTGTGATAAATTCTACCAGTGTACCCCCCGCGAGCCGGTGGAGATGTCATGATCTCAAAATACTAATTTGACTTTTGGTAATTAAAGAAATTTAATTTGAAAATGCGCGACAAAACTACTATCGAACATCTAGAAATTTGTTTCACATATGAAAGTTAAATATTAAAACAAAATGATATCAAAATTTCAACGTCAATAACAAAACAAGCGACATGAAGAAGGTATTAATTTTTATCCATCCAATATTGTCCATCGTTCATATTGAAATTTTTCGCTTAAAAAAAAATCAAATATTGATTCTGAATTTTAAACATTAAAAACTACATGCCCAAACATGTAGTTTGACATTGCACAAAGCAATAAGGCCTCCTTTGTACAGAGGGTATTAGGACATAGTCCACGAACCCACTGTGGATTGGCAGACTTCAAGTTCAGTTTTTTTTTAGGATTTTTTTGTTAGCTTTAAAAAATATGCAGGTATTCTCACGGTCTTTTCTTTCACCGGTGAGAACGTGATAAGATAATGAAGAGAAATAAGAACGTGATAATTCGGCAATTAAAATAGTATTTAACAATTTATTGGTTATATTTGTTTCCAGTTTATTGAATTAAAAGCGAGCTCCCGGACATTGAACTAACACAACTCTTTTCTCTCTCCTCCAATGGAAACAACAAAATCGTGAAAAAGAGAACGGAGGCGGTAGGTTTTACCCAACAGTGGGATACAATATATATTAATTTAATAAAGATTACCTAAAGGATTTAATTTAATGTCATTAACATAGTTTTGTTTTTGGTTTTAAATCAAGGTCTTAAAATGACATTCTTACTCTATTATCCCCATAATTAATATTACAAATATTTTAAAATCTTTTTTAATTTAATTACATATGTTCCTCAACGACCAGAATAACATAGTTTTCATAATTTCTGGATGTTGAACCATTACAGATAAATATGTCCTGATTAAATAAATGTAATTGAATATAAAATGTGTAAAAAAATTTATGGACGAAAAAGAAAATGTTTAAACTCTTAAATAAGTAACAAGGATTGTTATTTACTTATTGAACGACGCTTAGACATTTAAAAAGTTTAAAAAAAAACCTTTTTTCGTTCGACGCACACAAATTTATTCAATATTGAACATGATACACACAAAAACTATATCACTATCATATTCTTATTGCTAATGGTGTTGTTATTAGGTACATATTGTGATTATATTATACTATACTTTAATATTATACATATTCTAAACATTGAGGCTATTTCTCAGCAGGACGACTTTAACATTCCGTCGACTCCTTACAATTTACCTTAAATCATTGCAGCCCGCGTTCCAAGGCCAATCGCAAACCTGAAAATCAATACTCAATTATTTAACTGTACACTACATAAAGGTAAACTACAACAAACTTTTATTTTTTATGTGAAAGTTTGCCAAACGAGCAGGCGGTTCACCTGATGTTAAGTGAATACCCTTGGGTGACATCCGATACCCAAGAGTTGCAGATGCTTGACAATCTTTTGAAAATTGGGCTCCGGCTACCTCACTCACAAGACGAAACGCGAAAATATTATACTTCCACTTGACGCCACGGTACTTACCCGGACGAGACTGCCCAGTGCAACAGCCGGGACTGCTGCATGGCCCTACCACCGTGCAACTTAAGTAGGTATAGATATTATATTGGTTTGGCTTTAACTATTTTCTTAGATTACAATTTAATGAGCTTAAAATATAAATGTTTCTTCAAAACAGATAATAATAACCTTTAAAATTCACACCACCTAAACAATAAGTTTTCTTTTTAACTTATAACGCCACAATATATGGGCGAGATAATTTATTCAAAGTTGGAATATTAACGCAAATAGAAGTTTACTCTAAATTATTACAGGATTATTATGTATAAACATAGTATGTATTAATATAGTATATTCGAGTTCCGGCATTTTTTCACATTTTTTTTAAACTTTCATACAATCAATTGTCATTAAACGAGATATAACATTTAAGAATCCCCAAATACCTGACGTTTCCTGTTGAAATGAAGCTTTCGTGGGCACAGTCTTAGTTCTCGGTTACCCCTTTCGCAATAATAGAAACGTTTACACGTTTTCTCATGTGGCAACAGCCAATGCACGTCGGGGTCCACCGGACATCCGTTTGGAAGGAACTCAACTACCGGAAACTCTGGTTTCACTGTCTGTACAGACTCATCGCCGTCGGGCACTGGAGTAGTCTCCGTTTCTTTCTCGCCATCAGGTTTAGATGCATCAGGGATAACTCGGTCGCCACATTCTACAAATTCCGGCCATTCACACTCCCTTTTGAGGATGCTGTAGAACAGCCCTTTGGGGCACGACATCTCTACTGGCTCCCCGAGGGTACACTGGTAGAATTTATCACAGTCCCCGTGCGGTAGCAACACTTCGATTTCCCAATCCACTTCTTGTATTTTAGGACACCGCTTCCCTGGAATAGCCACAGCAGCAACCGCCAACAACACAACACCTAAAACTGCGAAAAATATTCAGTTATTTTTATTTCAGAAAACAAACTATAATAGGCATCCACAGTACGTGAGCAATTTCTACATAAATGTAATTATATGTAATTATATCGTCCCTACAACAAGTGATCATCATTCTATCCGTTATTTAATAACAAGTTATATATACTTTAAAAAAAAATACAATAATGCTTCTGCGGTTAAAATACGGATTTATATTTTGTACTACCTTTCATGGTACCAGGCATGATTTCGCACAACGTCTCGATTGAAATGGATAACCATTGAGGGATGTATCCTGTTTTATACCCCAATAGGTTAGTCACTTTAGTGCGTCTTATGAGGGTTTATCGTTTATGATCGAACTTCTGATAGCATAAATGAAAAACCTATACCGTGCTATTGGCACCGTAATCTTGTTTAATTGTTCGAACAGACAATAACAATATTGATTCACTCTATGATTCATTCCAATAAGTCAAAGAAGGCGGTGTGGACTTGATTGATAATAAATATCCCCTTATGAAGAAGAAACATTTATCCTTACTTTAATTTAATTTATATTATGTTTACCCTTACTTAGTCTTACCTATTGTACCGACCTATTGATAATATTCATTATCAATGATGTTTCATTACAATAAAGGTCGTCTAAAAATTTTACAAAACCTTTTAGAAAGATGAACAACAAAAAGTTAATATATATACTCCTACTAAAAATTGTTTGTACGATGATAAAAAACATAATTGGGACAATAAGTAGTGAATAATTATTATTTAAAAATAATTTACAATATTCAAAAAAGAATATTTATTAAAAATATAAAGAGATCCCTATTATTTCAATAAAAACAATTCCGTAACATGTGATATATGTAGAAGGTGTTCGTGTATTACTGCTATTTTATTTCATTAATAACTCAAAAAGTATAGCATGTAAATTAAGAATAATAATTTTCCATGTCACAATTGCCTATAGATACTGCAAAATATGATTTAAATCGGATCTAATCAAATATTTACTACTAAGTACGCAGATCGATCGTAACTCTAGTACTAAAGAATCAAAACACAATATGAATGTCCCATACTAGGGTGATATGAAAGTAAGGTTTATAAAATAAAAACAATAATACGTGAAGACTCTAAAATAAAATACAGTATAATGAATAGATGATAGGGTGGTGATCTGCCCATAATATGGTTCATAGAGGACATGTAGTCTGCTTTTGAATGAGGCCTTGCGATGGCGTGTGTCAAGCGATAGTCGTATTGATCTAGTTGCGTTGTTTGCGTTTAGCGGCATTGCATCTCACGGCGGTGGCTAAACCGCTATTCATTATGGTGGGGTCGCGGTCGGTTTGACTTCCCAATAGATTCGTCCTAGTCGGTTCCTTTATGACGGCGCTGCAGAATGTTTGACCTCCCTAATTTTTATTTAACAACATAATTGAATCTCTTATTAAATTTCCCACCATTTGAATATATGAAGGCAAATTTCTGGTGAGTGGGACAAGCTAGATCGAATACATTATACTCAATGTCAGTTACACTAATCCTATCTGAGGGCCAATTATATACATACTTGATGGTTTATTATTATTATAATAACAATTATGGATAAGTCTGCTTATTGCAATGGCTGGTGGAGCATATGCGTTTACCTCACGCGGGTGGTAACTGGCGGGAGAAATCTCTAAAGGCTGTGGCCGAATGCCGTTCATCATGGGAACCAATGTGCACTGCTTACCTTTAGGGTAAGCAGTGCACTGACGACTTATTCTGCGACGGTATTGCCGTGCTAACCATGTAATTGGTGAGCGAGGTGGCCGGAGCCCAATTTTCAAAAGGTTGTCAACGCATCTGCTACCCCCGGGTGTAGCAGATGTTCATAGGCGGCGGTATTCACTTAACATCTGGTGAACCGTCTGCTCGTTTGGAAACTTTTTACATAAAAAGTTGGTGGTAATGCCAAAACGAAACGAACGAACAACATGTCTCGATGGTGTGGCCAGGTGGTTACGCTCACGGAAGGCTTATTTAAAAGCCAAAGCTGGGCTTGTATGACGTTTACACGCATTGGCATTGTGCTAATTCACACAAGTGACCGAGCCCTCTTTATACCGTCACGCTAGTTTTGCAATGGACTACCCGACCTCACGTTCCTCTTCGGGGGTGCGCGTGCATTGGCTCACTGCACAAATCGTCGGTGAGTTGTTTTCGTGAAGCTGTGTCTGTTCCTCACATTCTTTAGGAAAATGTGGGGAGCGGATGCCTTACATAGCCATATTTATAAATAATATTGTGTACCCTTTACAAGAGAAAACGGAACTATACTAAAATAATTGTATATTTTAGTCTATTCAGTATATATATATATATACTTAGATTATATTATAATCTATGTTATAGACTATAATATAGCCTGAGCCCTTCTCATGAAGTTCGGATTAGTTAATAACAAAGCGGTCTAGCGCTATATACGGTTTACTCCGTCACTGGTGAATGTTTATCCATCCGAGAAACACCTAAAAGAATATGGTCAATAAAAACGCAACTTAAAAATAGTCCTACCTAATATGACGATCACATTTAATGAAATATAATAAAAACGGTTTATTTGCCTGCACTGATTATACGGCTTATATATATATGTATATATATATATATATATATATATATATATACAGCGTGTCGTTACCATCGCGACAATAAATGAGCACACGTCTAACGCTACTTGCCAATAATCATAAAAAATATTAACGTTAAACAAAATCCATAATTAAATTTTTTTTTTTTCAAACAAACTAATTAAGTAAAAAAGAAACAAAATTTGTAACAGCCTATACAACTCGCGCCACAGCGTCGCATTACAAGCCTCTCCTTCTAACAGTATGTTTTGTCTCTTTTAAATTCATTCAACCCATTCATATGCTCTATATATATATATATATTATTCTATAACATAGATAATATATATATATAACCACTTTTGTTTTAGCTTATGTAAAACATTCGTCAGGAGTGAAATAAATAAATGTATTCTATCAGAGAATTGTGATCCCAAAAAATGGCTGGCGATGGCTTATACTGACTCGCCCCCACTATTCCCTAGGCTTGACTTAAAGGGAGAGTCAAAATGGTGATTAGGCTAGATGGCGCCACTGCCAGACATCACTACTACATCCGCTTCCGCTATACTATGTCGATTGTGGATTTTGCCCTAATATCCTCCCTAATATCTCCTAATAGAGACTTCCAGTAGTGGGATATCCAAAGGCCGTAACTTTATTTTTTTAATTTTTACGAACTAAACAACTAATCTCTGTGTCCACCAGACACACACGCTCATTCCGAGTGGTTGTCACCGCTCCCGCCCACCGATGAGTAATACAGTCAACGACGATCGTTGGAGTTTTAACTGGAAACTTAAACGATCCGTGTTTTGCAAGACTTATTAGATTATGCTTAGATTTTCCACTATAAAATTTTATGTAGTATTTGCATTGAGTATAACTTCAATTTTCATACAAGGCAACATTAAATACCAGTCGTTAAAAGACTTATAGCCTGACTAGAAAAATAAAAATCCTCATAAGGTATCTGAAAATCCATGGAGCTAACTTCTTCTACCAAACATTTAGGGTAGTGATAATAAAGTGAATGTGTTTTTTGTTTTTCTTATCCGGATTTAATGCTTTTTTCCGTTAAATATTCAACATTTATTTATTTATTTTCTTTATTCATTTATTTCACTTAACTAACTACCATTACAGACATACGCCAAATGCGATAGCGTAAAAAAAACTCATAAGTATAGTGTATTTGTATTTATATTCTTTGGTGTGGTAGGGCTACGCAACAATTTTCTTTGTTGTACAAATGAGCACGTCCGTCCGGGGAAGTATCACGACCTGACAGAAGACCGACGTGAATTAGAAGTGTCGTTTGCGTTTCGTCTGGTGAGGGAGGTAACTCCGCCGCCGGAGACAACGGCGCAGGAGGCTGGCCTACGCGCGCAACCTTCCCCCCTGATAGCGAGACCCTGAGCGGCAGACATGGGGGTGTCTGTCACTCAATATGGGGCTCGAGACGTGTGCTGTGCCAATTGCACCGGCACAGCACGATGCAGTAGAGGAGGCCTAAACAGGGCCATAGTCGCGCCGGGGTCGCGGATGATTGCGTCCACGTGTTCCCGTGTCCCCGGCGATAGAGACAGGTGCAACGTGGGTTTTTTAGTGGGTATCCGTTTCTCACCGGGACTCCCACATACCCCTGCCATTCCCCGATCCAGTGGTAGGGGATCCATAAAGGATTTTTCCCACGAAAAAAAAATGGTGAGGGAGGTAACTCTTTATTAAAAGACGACAACTCATCTGCAAAGGTCTATGGACGACGGTTACCGTCAGATGAACCGCAAGCCCGTCTGCCATCTCTTACCATATAAAAAATTCTACGCACGTCATATTATTAAGTCATTAACCTATAGAGCAACCCTGAATTCATTCTAACTTGTTCTACTAATATTATAAAGGCGAAAGTTTGTACCTATGTATGAATGGATGTTTGTTACTCTTTCACGCAAATACCAGTAGTATTTTTTTAATGGATTTTAATGAAACTTTACAATAATTTAGCTTATACATCAGAATAAGACGTAGGCTATAATTTATATACATATTTTATGTATATCTGTCTTTCTGTCTAAATGTTACGCATTCAGCCTATTCTACGCAGACGTAGTCGCGGGCATCAGCTAGTCTCAAATAAAAATACATTTTAAATTCCACGAGAAATTGTATTGTTCTTCACTTTTAACAAACCAGGCCGTTATATCATAATATAATATGATGCGATGTCAACAGAAAAGATACTATAAGAGAAAAAGCCGTTGTTAGTCAAAATTCTTTTATGATAGACGTGGCGGCTGACTTAAATGTTCCAACAACTATTGTGAGCAGAGGACTTTAGTTTCTCACTAGCATTGTGGCCGTTCCCATTAAGGCCTTCTCTGACAACATTCTTAGAGAGTTTTACTAAGAGAGTTTTTTTTGGAAACACGTACGTTACTTTCGCGTGAATCAAAATAGTTTGTTGCTACAGACGATGCTTATTATCGTAAATTGTGACTGCTTATTATTAGAAAGCACTCACAAAAAAAGCACAAATACAAAAAACAGCGCATTTCGGATCATGAAAATTAATTTATTGAAACAGTCGATTTATGGATACAAAATAAAGTTTATATCAAAACATTCAATTATACATGCACAATATACTCCACATTAATATGCTCATATTTTGCCGTTGTAGTTGCTATTTAAACTTATTATTTTCTAACGAGAGCGCCATCTCTTGACCCAATACGGCTACTCGTACCAGCACAACCTATTTCAATTCAATACAGCCAGCGCTCCACGGCCAATCGCAAACCTGAAGAGGAAAATTAAAATTTATAGAAAAACAGAAAAAATATTGCCAGTAATTTTAAAAACAATGCACTTTTGTATAATGTACCTGCGGATTTTATCGCATGTTCACTAATAATCATCAATTCAAACTGTTTGAGAAAAAACTAGACAATTGCTGAAAATAGGCCTCCTGCACAAACTGCCACAAAGCTGTAGTTAGCTTTGTTAATAATTACTTTAAATTTTAATATCATTAAAATTTCATATTTTCATGGGTTCGATCCCCACTACTGGAAAAATATTATATGATGAATATAGCGTTTTTCCCGTATCTCTTGTTTATATATCTATTATATGTTAATACATAAATTAACAAAAGTATGTTTATCAATTGTCTAGTACCAATAGTACAATCTATGCTTACTTCATGACTGCGTAACGTTGTATTTAAATATGTCCCGAAAATATTTATTTTTGTATACCTGACGTTTCCTGTTGAAATGTAGCAACACCGGACACCATCTCAGCTGTCGCTCGCCCCTCTCGCAGTAATAGAACAGATTGCACGTGCTCTCGTGTGGCAGCAGCCAATGCACGTCGGGGTCGACCGGACATCCGTTTGGGAGAAATTCAACCACCGGTTTCGCGGTCTGTACGGACCCATCTCCGCCGGGTCCTGGTGTTACCTCCGGCTCTTTCCCGCCGTCGGGCTTCGACGGTTCAGGGACGATGCGGCCGTCGCACTTAACGAGCTCAGGCCATTCGCACACCCTTTCGACGATGCTGTAAAACAGCCCCTTAGGGCACGCCACTTCTACGGGCTCCCCGTGGGTACACTGGTAGAATTTGTCGCAGTCCCTGTGCGGTAGCAACACTTCGATTTCCCAATCCACTTCTTGTATTCCGGGACATAGGTTTCCCGGGATCGCTGCAGCGGCCGCCGCCAGGAAGACAAGGGAACATAAAACTGGGGGAAAATTTTCTGTCACATTTTTTTTTTCGGATATTTTATTAATATATATTACAAATAATACATATTAATAAAATACATTTTGATTAAATCTAAACTGATGGATTAATAATATGGCTACTTACCTTTCATGGTTTCTTGATTTGTCACAGCTACAAAGTTGTAATGGATGCCTAGTGAGGGTTGAATGCAGTTATATACTACATTGGGTTATTCACCGCAGTCCTACTTGAAAGAGTTTATCGATTCACGATCGAACATCTGATTAAAGTGATAAAAAAAAACTGTACGTGTTAATGGCACCCCGCATCTACGATGTTGTCTCGTTGTAATTGTTCGAAGAGACAATAAAAAAAAATATTCATGCAATGATTCATTCGAAACTGTCAGACCGCCGGGTGGTAGCGCCGTGTACGGTAAAAGGAATCATACAGTTAAGCTCTTAATTATGTCAGAAGTTTTCAAATGCATTCAAATGCATTTCAACCCTTGTGAAGCTGAAAGCATTTTCTAGCTTAATAGATCAATTTATAGGATGGCGGTTTCTACATTTTTGAAATCAGAAAAGAACGAATTGTACATTTAACTATTATACGAGTAGTAGGTTTCTAATGTGTAATAAAAAACGCCGCAATCCCTCACAAATCCTTCAGAAAAAACATTCAAAACAATAGGAACCTGTTCCTGGTTTGAATGCTTATTCATGAGTCAGACATGAAGGCTGATTCAAACGCTCCCCCAAGTATTGTGGACGAATTTTTTTCACCGAGGTAGTATTGTGCCTGTCCCCATTTCAGTCTTCAGCACTTGAGTTCCATCAAACAGTGTTGCACTTTGAGAAAATCTTTTACAAACACCAAGTTCTCAGTACGGATTAACATAGTTATATTCCTTCTAATTTTCAGGAAATATACTCTTAATTAATAATATTATCGAACTAATTATAAATAGAATCATTAAGTCGTCATCATCACCATCACTACACCTTGTTAGAGTCAACTGCTGAACATAGGCCTCAACCAAAAAGTGCCTCGTTGCATGATCCGAGCCACCTGCATCCATCGACTTCCCACACATTTGCTATATGTATATATGTTATAGGTATTAAGGTAAAATTGGCTAGATATAGTTGTGTAAAAAAATATGTCCCGTAATATTTTTTATTTATTATAATTAGTGCCACCATCCTACCGGCGTAGGATAGGGTGAAAATATAATGATCACGCGAGTCCAATTCAATAGGCTTCAATTTCCTATTAAGCTTATGTGCACTTTTGCAAACCAGCAAGCGGTTCGCCTGGCCGTATAGGCAAACAGGATATGCGAGAAGCTACTAGTTTAGTTTAAAGTTAGCTTAAACCTTCATTATTTCAGTGTACGTACAATTTGTCTACGGTCATCGTTACCTCGGGTCCCTCTTAGCACCTATAACTGTAGCACTGTTAGTTACTTCTTTATCCTTGCCCCAAGAATGCGTCATATTTGATAAACAACTCATTGTGATTTCCCTTTGACCACGCGAGCGAAGCCGCATGTTACAGCTAGTCTTTAACAATGAAATAAAATTAATCGATTGCCGATTAACAACAGTGTGTCCTACATAGTGCTTTTTTTTAATACATATTACTTTTCAATTGAACCAATTAATCAATATCACGGTTTTGCTGTCATTTATTCTTAGTTCCCTATTGATGATTGGAAATCTTAACATCATCCACATTTTTTTTTAAATATTTGAAATAAAATTCCAACATTTCAAAAGGTAGGCTGGGATAACCTTCTCACTTTACAAGAAACAAAAAACGATTTTAAAGCTTATCTTTACCTCTATTGACGAAACAGACAATAATGTTTTCATAAATAAACTTTTAGTTTAAAAACTTCTACCATAACACCATATATTGAGAATTAGTTCTAGTTAAATATAGAGTCTGAAATTAATCTTTATTCTAAAAAATAAGTTACCATTCATTGATTAATACCTTTTTACATATAGATAATAATACTTATATTACTATTCGTGATAGCTCAGGAGCCGTGATAGCTCAGTGTCCGGGCGCTCGCCTTTAATTCAATATACTCGAGCAACCTGAGTTCGTTCCCCGGTGCCCGCACTGATGAAGTTTATAACTTTAAGTGCTGACTTATCACGTGCTCCGCGGTGAAGGAAAACATCGTGAGGAAACCTGGCATATTTTCGAAAATAATAACAAAAAAAATATTTTTCGACGATATGTGAAGTCCGCCAAGCCGCAGTGGGGCCGCGTGGTGGACTATGCCCTGATACCATCTGTATAGAGGAGGCCTTTGCCCAACAGTGGGACATGTATAGGCTGTTACTTTAATTTTACTTTTATATTACTATTCGGTGACTTATCATGGTACTGCACAAAAATCTCGAACGGGTCAGCAGGTTATAGTATATTTCATATAGAAACAAGACTTCACCTTTTGAACTCTATTAGTTGACTTACGGCTGTTTTCACCATCGATCCCTAACCTAACCTAACTAAAAAAAAATTAAGGGCTAGTTTCGTTTTCACTACTGCTTAAGCTTCACCTAGTCTTAAGCGGTACCTTAAAAATAAGGGCTCAATGTTCGGCTTTTAGCGCTAAGTGACAGTTTAGTGTTTGTGATGCACTCGCCTATAATTTGTCTGTGAAGTTTTGATGATATCGCTTCACACTTTTTTAGTAATTAAAGTTTTAAGAAAAGAAATATACATTTAAAAAAAAATTATTTCAGCTATAAAAAAAATTAAAAACATTTTTTACTCTTTATTTTTGTATATTTATTTTCGTGTGTTAAAACTTAATACTAAAAATCCTTACTTCCTTACTAATATTATAAAGGCGAAAGTTTGTGTTTCTTTTTTGTATATGAATGGATGGATGTTTGTTACTCTTTCACGCAAATACTAATGAATGGATTTTAATGAAACTTTACAATAATATAGCGAGTACATCAGAATAACACATAGGGTATAATTTATATACATGTTTTTATGTACATCTGTCTTACTCTCTGAATGTTACGCCTTCAGCCTATTCTACGCAGACGTAGTCGCGGGTAGCAGCTAGTACGATATACTGATTAAAAATCGGTGACCTAGATATTGGTGAAAATCATATTCCAAGATCCCAGGGCCGCCAGAAGTCGTGTATCAAAGCACAATGATAATTAATTGGTTATTCATATATCATTTATTCCATATCACACATTTTATCGAAATGAGATTATCATGACTCACGTCGTATATTCGTCGGATTTTTTAATTAAAAACTTTACGAACATTAGCTCTTTACTAGGTATTTGTTAAATGAAACCAGCGCTTTATCATAAATATTATATATAATTCGAAATAGGTTAGAAAAAAAAAACAAAATGAGAAAAGAACTGCAAATGAAAATTTCTGGACATTTTTACATAATGCTATGTGGTGCCAAACAAAGTAAAGTTTGTATTACGTACTTAAACTTGTTTTTATTTTATAAATAATAAATGTTATGGAAACATAAATAAGCAGAAATAAGCAAAAACTAAGTTCATCACAGAATAATTTCCCAGTAGTGGGAATTGAACCCACACACTCTAACACCACTAATATCGAACGAGACTATTTTACTAGCCGTAACACCCATTGGATTGTTATTAGAATGTGCTATATTCTCTTACGATAATAAATAATAAACATATCGGACAAGTAATATATCGCCAAAAAGATTAGAAGGCACTTTATTGGAATTTCACCATTTTACGTTGGATTATTTTTATAAATACTTATTTATAAAATGTCTTATAATATTAGAACCGTTTTATTTCTTCAACAGTTGGAGTCTGCTCGGTAAATGTTTGTCAAAGGACTGTGCGCAGCACGCGTTCAAAGGCAAATCGCATACCTGAAATCACAAAAATTAAATGCACTAAGTAATACATTAAATACATATTGTATAATAACTTGAAATAGTGAAATGAATGAAAAAGAAATCGCCCAAGTGCAAGTCGGACCCGCGCACGAAGGGTTCCGTACCATTATCTATAAAAACGGCAAAAAAAAATCGTGTCTTTTATCTATTCTGTTTTTCAATATTTGTTGCTATATCGGCAACACAAATACATTATCTGTGAAAATGTCACCTGTCTAACTATCACGGTTCGTGAGATACATACAGCCTGGTGACAGACGGACTGACAGATAGTCATACACAGCGAAGTCTTTGTAATAGGGTCCCGCTTTACCCCTAGGTTACGGAACCCTAAAAAGACCAACGAAAAGGATATGGTATGAAAATGACTGGTAAAATCGGTATACACCGATTGTCCACGATGTCCACATTGATTGTTGAAGAAGCAAAAGACTTGTGCAATGACAATAAAAAGAGATGATGAAATAAATACCTATGTATCTTATTGCAAAGGTATCCCTATCTTTAGTATCACCAGTTTCTTGATAATCTTTGTTAAAATAATTCTAGCTTTCCTAATTACGCAATTCTTGTCGGAACCGGATAGGTTTAGAGAAATAAATGTTACTGGTCATCCGCCACTGCCTTGTGTGACATTTTATAAAAAAAATTAAGAGGAAAGCCACATTTCAAAAATATATCTACTTGATGAGCACGCATTATAGTTAAATTATTACATTTAGGGCAAAACTTTGAGGCCAATTCAAAGAAAAATACAGTATTTAAATACTAACAATGTTCCAATAAAACGAAAAAAAGATGACCCATTCCTCGATCCTTGGGTATAAAAAGCTCACATAACGGACCTTTCTACGCGTAAATTTGACATGCAAGTGATGGCTTACCTGAAGCCTTCTGTTGAAGTGCAACGTGCTTGGGCAATTCATGAGCACTAGTTCGCCATTCAAGCAGTAATAGAATTCACTGCAGCTGCCCTCGCTTGGCAGCAGCCAATGGATGGTCGTATTCAGCGGGCAACCGTTCTCTAGGGTCTCGAAATCGGGGGTTTCTTCAGAGCCCGCCTCGCAGGGGTCAACGGACTCTTCGCCGTCGCCACCCGCACCACCGTCGCCGTCCGCACCGTCGTCGCCGTCTGCACCACCGTCGCCGTCCGAACCACCGTCACCATCAGCCTCACCGTCCCCTTCAGTGTCACCATCGTCTGCCTCTGGGATGTTTCTATCGCCGCAATCTACGTTTTCGTCCCAATCGCACTGCCCAAGTTCGACGTTGAAGAGTAGGCCTTTGGGGCACGGCATCTCGATAGGTTTCCCGTACGAGCACTTGTAGAACTTGTCGCAGTCCTCGTGTGCCAGCAACTTCTCAATCTCCCAATCGGTCTCCTGCTCTACGGGGCATTGGTTCGCAGCGCTCACCGCGACCGCCAGAACGCAGAACAAAACTACTGATAGCACTATTGAAAAAGAAACGTTCTCAATTACATATTAATAAAGTTGATTTAAATTGTTTATAATATAAGTTATTTCAATATATAATAATTATATTATAAACAATTTAAATTTAACATTAATAAGCATACGCACCCTTCATGTTCGCTCAGATGCAACAATTCGAAAAGATACCGTTTTGTGTAGCAATGAAGATTTATACCAGTTGTCATAATCTTTTTCCCGGAAAATAATTATCATCTAATCTATATCTGCCATCGAAAATCAAAACGGCGTTGATTGTTTCAATTGTATTCGATGATCTCACTGATTGCGATGCGATAACGTTGCGAAGTGTATTTCAATAACTTGTATGTTAGACATTTTCAATGCACATCCAAAAACTAATTGCAATATGATTGTTTGACTGCTTAAATAAACAAGCTATTTCATCACTGTCGAATAATTACCGAAAATTAATGACACATTATTTTTAAGAATATTAATTAGAATTTCATTTAAGAATATTATTTTTAAGAGAAGAGAAATTATTCATAAGAATAAATCGTGCGATTTCTGTCGCGGTCCTTTGCGAATCGTAGTGCGAGGGGGCTTTTCAAACCGATGCGATATGTAGGGCGGACGAGTAAGGTACAATTTGGCACAGACTGAGTTGAATGGCGCCCGCCTGGCTGGCGCCCTCGCCCACGGAGGCTGTACCCAGTCCGACATACAGACGCTCAACGCTTGCACGCCCCGGCTCATCGTTCGTCCGCAACTAGATGCGATCTCCGCGCGTTTACTAGATAATGAATTCCATAACGCTTTTACTTCTAACGGTGCTCCTGCAAACGTGTGCCGAATGCAAAACGTCCGCGGCCAAGACGGAAAACTTGGAAACGATAAAGAAATCTCTCGAAGAACACCAGAAGGAGCTGACCGCGGCGAAGAACAAGTCGAGAACTATCCCGAAGGAGATAACCAACGTGGTTAAAGTGAAATTGAAATCGGTTGTGCCGAACAATGCTAATGACAAACCGAAAATGATTTCAATGAAACAGTACGTGTTGTATAATTTCATTTTCGTACATTTAAATGTTTCTTTATATCTATTATGCTTCGCAAATAACAAGCTTTATGACCTAATTTATCTATACATGTTGTTAAATTATTATATGAGTTAATTTCTTTTATTTACTGCGATTACACATCACTAGAAGAAAATATTATTTACAAAATCTAATATATAAAATTCTCGTGTCACGGTGTTTGTAATTGAACTCCTCCGAAACGGCTCGACCGATTTTCGTGAAATTTTGTGTGCATATCGGGCAGGGTCGGACAACATCTGTATTTCATCCCCTAAGTTTTTTCTACCCTACAAATTTTATGAGTATTATATCTATTAGTGGAAGAAAAGTACAATTAAATTTATTTGTGTGGACTTGTGGTGTCAATTTTAATGTTTATAAAACTGTAGTGACTAAATATCAATTTTAACAAAATAAGACAGATAGAATCTAGTTATAAGGTTATAGTAATTGTTAAATTGTAATCTGGGGATTCTCACTGAAAAAAAAACTTAAAAAAATTGACCCACTGAGTTTTTTTTGCCGGTTCTTCTCAGGTAGTGGCTTTTACAATCAATAAGTGAGTGTAATGCTCACTTGTCGAATAAAGATATTTGAATTTGGGCAAATCGCATGTCAACACATTAAACGGAAATAAATTTTAAATACGACTACTTGAAACTAACTAAAACCTAATTGAAACGCGCGAAATATGAGTAATCATAAGTAAAAAAGGAAAAGTATCAGCCTATACATGTCCCACTGCTGGGCAAAGGCCTCCTCTGTATAGAGGGTATCAGGGCGCAGTCCACCAGTATTACACCAATTATAAGTAGATTTTAATCAATATAAAAATAAACGAAATTATATTTATTGCCAGGATGCAGGAGTGGGCGAAAGAGATATCAGATAAGCTCTTGGAGCACGAAAACCAAATTGTAAGAAGGGAGTTGCTGTTGAAAGAGTTTAGAGATATGAGAATTGAGCGTCGCAACGGATCCAAAATTGTGGAACAAACAGCTGCGTCCTTGAAGGATCTGTTGTCGAGACGGGCGAAAGCGGCGGAGGCTATCATGCGGAAAGCTGAAGAACTGTCCAGAAGGAATGTCGATCCACCACCCAATTACACGTATACTCTCAGTACGGTAAGCACGTCTTATCCCGCCGTCTTAGCCCTTAAATCCCGCTTTAATATAATATAATAGTATCAATAAATTTAAATTAGGTACCTACTCGTCACAATAACTTTTCGAATATTTTATTTTTATAATGTTTTATTAAACATTTAACATTTATTTTTTATTTCCTGACAAAACGAGAACTTAAATGAACTGATCATTCTGCGGTAAAATGCTATCGTATTTTTTATCAAAACAATATTATATTTCTTCATTTAAATAATTTCTTATTAAATTGGAATTGAAATTGTTTTTTGACAAAATTAGCACCACTTGCTCTTGTGGATAATAACTATCAAGAGCTATCGTTTTTATTCAGCTGTATATTCACCAGATATGCCACATTTTCTTTTTTTAGATTAACTTATTTTAAATACGATTTTATTATACAAATTGGAACGAATTTATAACGCATGCTCCTTTAAAGGATCTAAATCAATGGAAGAAAGAGGATACTGAGTGGAAGGAAGATCGTCGGAACTTTACATTCCCTTTAAACTGTAGGAACCTTAACAAAGTAAGGCTGGACAAAAGTGAACATTTCGATGCTGAAGTATCATTGGACACAAGCAGCGTGCATGTAGCCGTTGAAGTGTTTGATTGTGGTAAGTACGGCTGTCACATTGAACTTTTCAATACACGCAGTGGTTAAGTTATACCAAAAATAATCACTTTTCCCCTGGTCTTAGTGTAATATAGACCTCAATACTTAAGATACAAGATTGAAAGTCCTGTTATCTCAGTCTGGACACTCACCTACTCTGTACACAGAAACATATAGCCTGTTACATACAAAATCTGATTGTGATTTGAGTCCGGTAGTAACATAATGTCTGTCTATAATATAACGTGACCTCCTACGTACAAGAGAAATAAGAGAGCCATATTAATGACGAAAGATATTCTTCTATTGTAGATCCCAGGATTGTCGAACATTTACACTGGTCAGAAGGTCTCATTTCCACCTTTAAAGAGAACTACGCGCATGACGCTTCTTTGGACTTTCAGTACATGTGCAGCGCCAAAGGCTTCTTGAGACATTATCCAGGTGAAAATATTTTTTAAAACGCCTATTAATAATTTAAAATTAACATCAACTGATATATGGCTTATAGTCGTAAAAAACGATTTGTTAATAGTTAACGATAAAATAATGGATATGTTATTTGTATTAACTCCCTAACAAAAAATTATTAGTAAAGGAGGTTCCGTTACTAATAATTTTTATCAATAAAATTATCAAGCACTAAAGGAAACTCATCTTAATAAAAACTCAAGAATGGTTGGACCAATTCAGGTAATTTAGTTTTGTTTGTTTCTACATAAAACTTTCCTTGGACCTTACCCACGTAAGGTTTTAATACTATTAAAAAAAAATTTTTTTACAATATTCTAAATGGATAACCAATGAGTATACGAATATGTAGAGCGAATAATAGATACATAACGTGATTTCATTATCTTTAGTCACTTTTATATAGTTCGGAAAAAACTTATGTATTATTAATGCGAAAAGTTGGAAAGTGACTTGATGTCAAATGAGTACCACCGCACATAAACATATACAAGACTTAAGCGGTAAATGCGTTGCCAACCTTTAAAAACGTGGGCCTTTGTTACCTCAGGCACCAGACAAAAAAATGTATAATACATAATCCTCACTCCAGTCTTCTGCGCCAATATTATGCCTGTATCATATCCCGCTCAGTTTTAGCCATAAAGTCATTTAATTCTTCAATGTTTGTAGTTTCAGTCTTCAGTATAGTGTAAAACTTCGGAAAGACTTGCCCGATTGAGACTCCATGCAAAAAACATATTTGTCTTTGTTGACCGAGGCGACGCTTGACCGTGCGCCATACACCGTCTTCTACCATTCAAAATACAAGGTCTTTTTGGACAGCTAGTTTCATTATATGTCTAACCCTACCTTCCTTATAGTGTTGTTCTTTTAGCGGCGTTGTGGGACAGTATGTACAAACTTAAGCTCAACGTGGAGGACATATACGACTGCCGATTGCGGCCCTGGTACGTCAGCGCTAGCGGTGCTCCGCGAGACATCCTCATTTTACTCGACGCTTCCGGCTCCATGAAGAACTCATCCAACTTGGTTAGTTAGCTTACATTATTTTTATTTGTGTCATTTTCAGGTCATATATTTTTTTTAACTTTGCTCTTACTGTATGAGGACATTATCTTGTGTTATATGGACGTTTCACAAACATAAACGCGGGGGAAAAAAGCCAGATCCGAAACAGTTATCTGTAGGTGGGATGATAAGTCAGCACTTAAAATTAGCAATTTCATTGGTGCCTGCACCGGGGATCGAACTCAGGTTGCTGGAGTATATTGAATTAAAGGCGAGCGCCAGGACACTGAGCTATCACGGCTCAAAGACTAAGCTCATCACAAAACACCTTCTAGACACGATGCGGGGTTTTTACATTTCTTTCGTTGTTTGCCGAACAGTGGGTGGCAGAACAGCTTACCCTGGCTCTACTGAGCGCCCTGACCGATGATGACCAAGTCAACGTCTTGCGCTTTAACGTGACAGTACGCTCTCCCATCACTTGTTTTAACCACAAACTCGTACCGGTAAGTATACAATCATCAGCGAGTATTCAAGTATAAACAAAACAGTCAGATGCGTTTACTACTAAGAGTTCGGAAGTGTCAATATTCGTTTTGTTTTTATTGAGAGTATATTTAAAAGTCTTTTACGTTTTTATATTTTTTTGTTAATTCTCAACAACTACATAACTTAATCATCATAGGGTTTTCATTAATACAAAAAGTTTGAAAAACAAACCCTAGTTTCTTTGCTAGATATAAATTTTGGACCCTGTAAAGTGTCGAAGTTTACGAATGAAACAAGAAAGATTTTTTACAGCTATGGCTAATCTAAACGCACCCAGAATTACTCATTTACGGCTGGTTTTAATATTCTATCTATCTGTTAATTTGGTTACTAGCGATATATATTTGACATTAGCTCCATAATACTTGGTGAAAATTCTATCACCATTAAACAAATCAACAGATAGATAGAATATTGAAACCGGCCGTTAACGATCAATTGACTAGTTCTGTACATTAGTTTATAGCAAACTTAATGTTTATAGCAAACTTATTGTTTTTACTTATGTAATTGTCTTGCATCATCATAATGACATAGTATAAAACAAATTCGACCCGCTATCTGTCTGTCCCAATGTATGCTTAGACCTTTAAAACTACGCAACGGATCTTGATGCGGTTTTTTTTACTAGACAAAGTGATTCATGATGAAGGTTTATATGTATAATACATTACACCCATGCGAAACCACGGCGGGTGGCTAGTAATTGTATATACACATGTTTGTGACCTGGCAATTTGAACCCAGATCTCGTGAGTAAGCAACCACCAGTTCGATTAATGTTGCCGCTTCCCCAGCTCTGTTTATTTTGCACTGAAAGATCCACGTTCATAGTGCACCAGCTTTTGTATTAGTATTAGAATAGTATTTTGGTATTAGAATTACATACGAGTGTATACTCAAAACAGGCGAATCATGTGAACTCTGCCGCCATAATGGCCGCCTTGGGACACATAAAGATGTGGAACGAGACGTGGATGGACAACGTTCTGGAATATTCCGTCAAGCTTCTCCAGAAACAACGTGGCACCAGCGACCGTCCTTCTTGCCAGCAGGCCATCATTCTCATCACTGACAGCCTCTACGACAACTTTACACAGTTACTCAACTATCTGGATCCCGAAGGTCGTATTAGGTGATATTCCGATTGAAATAATGATAACTCACTTAATATAGATATTTGCCTTACATATAGATGGTTGCAAAAGAAAAAAATTCCGAAAAGACTTTTAATAAACGACCTTTGTAATACTTGAATTCTAGAGTATGTCGATGTTGATAAACGCGATAGAGAAGTCTTATTAACCCTTTGTATAATTGATACCTTTGTCCAGGCCTTGCCCAGTAGTGGGACATGTATAGGCTGTTACTTTACTTTTATATTACAACATATGAATATTTGGAAATGATCTACTTCGAACACTGACCTTTCGTAGAATATTCGTGATGTGGCTACACGACCCCCATGGTCTACGCGACGACACGCGTAGCTACGGCGAGACGATGAGTTGCGCGCGTGACGGCTACTTCGCGGAGCTGAACACGCCCGCTGACGTCACGGAGCAGGTGATGAGAATCCTGAGGGTACTGGAGCGACCGCTAGTCGCCCAGCGGGAGAGCCGGCTCACCGTATTCAGTGACGTCTACGCGAACGTAGAGGTGAGGTCGTAGCACCAGAGTATAATATGGGCCGTTATCTATCGCGCTAGGTATTTTAATTTCAAACATGTTAGACATTTGATAATATTCATATTAGATATAGATTAGATATTGTATCAATGGGCTGCTTGCCCGGGGAAGTACCACGGGCTGGCAGAATGCTGTTGTGAGATTTTTTTATGTGAGAAAGTGGCAGACGAGCTGGCAGTTCACCTGATGTTAAGTGATAACCACCGCCCATGGACATTTGCAACAACCCTACAGTTGCAATGCGTAGCCACCTTTTAATGAAGTGAGCCCGGGCTGCCTCACTCACCAGTCGAAACGCAGAAGAGTAACACTTCTACTTCACGCCGGTCTTCTGTGAGCTCGTGGTACTAACCCGGACGGACCTGCCCATTCGTTCAACAGCGTATACTGTTGCGTGGCGTAAAATGTTTGTCTTTTCAATTCTTCCAGTCAGTACACCTTTCCATGAATTTCACCAGGATTCACCTTTTTATGGTTGTTGTGCATGTGTAATTGGCGTTGGTTACCCGCTCTACGTTTCTACATCGAAAAACTTTTACCTCGCTACTCCAAATAAGCTGCATTTAAAACATACAAAAAATTGAATTCACAATTCGTTGACAACTCCAATGTAAAACATATAATAAATTATATTGCGAAAGATAATTTTTACGTTTTCATGCTTTTTAGCGTTTCTATGGTTTTATAATTAAAAACAACGGTAAGGTTACGTAGGACTTTTATTTTGCAGAAGTTTTAAATGGTAAATAATACGTTGAAATTATTTGATTGTGATAAGTCTTGCCAATACTAGATTTTAATCTGCTTTTACTTGCTTTTTAAGACGCAATTTTAAACATATCGATCAGATTTCATGAAAAGATGAAAGCTACCGCGGTGTTCCACTGTGCTCATGCCGTGTCCATTCTTATGGTTTACATTTAAAATATCTAATCGAATATTTTTAATCTTATTGACAACATTATTTTAAATTAATGTTTTTTTTTTCTGATAATATTGTTTTATTAACGCGAAAATAATATTTAACAAATATACTTCTAAGATTTTATCACGATTTCTTTTTATGTTTTAACACCCAAAGTTCTGAGGTAACGGTAAGGACTGAGGTGTAGTACGTTATAATCTTATGGTTGACACTGTAAATTCCGGATACCGTTAAAGTGTAAATCGCTTGTAAATTGTATGAGTCTAGTTTTGGTATTGTGCCCGTGGCTGGATTTAATATTATTGATAACAGAATACTAAGCTACGGCAATGGTAACAAATAATAAATAAATTATTAATTTACCATCTGGGAAACCGCGCTTATTTGCCACCTATACTTAAAAGAATAGACATTAGACATTAAGACATTAAGACATTTAATCCGACACTTCATCTGCACACATATTACATTTGGTTACAATGTTTATAATTATCTACAAAATAACAACCAAAAAAAATAAAAAAATAAAATAAGCAAATAAATTAAATAACCTAAGAGTAATTACAAGAAGAAAAAATAATAATATAAAAACAAAAGAAAAGTAAAATAAAGAATAAAAATAAAAGAAATTTATAAATCTGCAGCATATGCCGCGCAGTACTGCGGCGCTAGTTTTCAGTCGGCCCAAGCGTAAATACAATAACATTTTATACTCTCATATTAAACAGGAATATTTAATCGGACGACGCAGATTTGAATCACGTAGTGGCGAAAATTCAAAAAATTTTCAACAGAAAATTAACATTTTAAGTTTCATCTTGAGCTCAGAGACTACGACTCAGTATGAAATTAATCATATTATCAAAATATTAAGTTAATACTTGTACCCCTTTTCAAAGGACCCGAGAAGAGGTGAATATTATTGGCAACAAAAGGAAAACGCTGAACAAGTGTACAGGTACAAGCAGCTACGGAAAAACAAAGCAAAATTGCTCAATCAGTCACAATTATACAAGGACTACATGCGACATGTGAGCCTTGTAAGTATTGTTCAGTCTTTATAACGTCTGAAAATTACAAAACTTACTATTATCTACTTAAAATTAAAGTGTTTTAATTGTTGTAGACAGAAAATTAGAAACGTCTAATATTCTTAAAAAAACCAAGATTACAGATAAACATATCTCATCACTGTCCCACACATACAAACTCGTTTGACAAGTATAGTATCTAATTTTAATCACAACTCTTCAATTTCGAAGAAATGTTTATTTCATAAATAAATAAATTAGCGTTATATAACATTACATATTATTTTACCGAACGTCAAAGATTTGTTACTATTCTCAATATGTCATCTCATTCAATTTCCTTTTAGCCTCTAAAACAAAGGAATATGACTTCCACTCCACATTAGTTATATTACTTTTTAACCGACTTCAAAAAAGGAGGAGGTTCTCGATTTGACTGTATTTTTTTTTATGTTTGTTACGTCAGAACTTTCAACTGAGTGAGCCGATTTTGATGATTCGGTTTTTATTCGAAAGCTGATGCTTCCCACGTGGTTGCATATTAATTTCCTTGGTGTTGGATCTTGGGCTCCAGAGATACTTAGGGAAATCCTGAAAATCAATTATAAAATGAATACAGAGCGAGATATTTGTAATCGGTTTTTGTTTTTCGTTAATAAAAGAATTGACTTGTAAGTTATTTTTTAGGACGTAGGTATGACTTTACCTTTTCAATATCCATACCTCTACACGCTTCCAGGACGAATATGGCTATTACTACGAAGGTGAAGATATAAACTATCGACTCCAAATCAGCGTTTCGGTGCCAGTGTTTGACCATACTACATTTGAGGTACTTACATTTTTCAACGTTTTTACTTTTCTCCATGTGTCGTTACTGACGCAACAAAAAGTTTGTATACATTTTATAGAATTTTTAGTCCCTGTAATTTTCATACTACGTAGGCAATTACTGAATAGGGTAAAAAAAATAATTAAATAAAAAAATCCTTCATTAATCCATTATATCGCATTTCAGAATATCACCATCAAACTGGACGAGGTGAGTATACCCTAAATGCTAATTCGTGTGATACTCGAATAATGAGAGTCTGTATACATCTCAATCTAGAACTTCCTAAGCAAAGAGATCACGAAGTTCTAGATTTCGATTGAAAAGCACTCTTCGGTCACACAGTCACACAGTGTCCTAGTTTAAAATAAATAATTACAAGAATAGCTGAATAATTACAGAAACTAATAAGAGACAAAAACACATTAAAAATGATTTTTTGATTAATCTTTAATACTACAAGAGCTCGGTCCAACTATGTATTCAGTGATTTCTCAATACGCCATACTAATATTTCGTAACAGTTTGTTCAGAACATACTTGAATAATCTTCAGGGCAGCATGGCACAAATATATCAAGTTAAACAAAGTCTCAAAACACAGATCAGTTCATCGTAGCATTTTTCATTATGCGTTCAGTGTTATATCACTAGTTTCATCAACAACTAAACAAAGGATTTGATCTTATTTATTGTCTTCTTTTAGGAAAAACAAAGGAATTCCACAAGAACGGTAAGGTTATTGTATTCCACTGTAGTGTTTTTCTTTTTATACAAGTAACTAATTGAGTAAAGATACGCCTTTTTGGAATACTTGCCCATACGTTTAATGGATTTATTAAAAAGTAAATGAAAGATATTTTTTTTTGCTTTTTAAGAGGTTTTACTTGCTAGGTTGCTATTTTGGAAATTAATTATCGCATATTTATTTATTACAGTACCCGGTTAACAGACTTCTTGGTGTCGCTGGAGTGGATATACCAATAGATCATTTAAAATTATACATCCCTTATTATCAGGTTAGTCAACAAGTAACATTACTTTAATAAGAAACTGACCAATGCCAATGGTAGGTGGCGAAGTGACCGTAGATTATAAGGGCCCTAGTTCCATAAAAGCCTATTTACTATTAATACGAAGTCTTTAATACGAAGGATGAAGGTGATGAACTAAAACTAAAGTAAATCGTTTGGTTTGAGTGCATAGAAGACACAGACAGTTAGAAAAGGCAATTGTATGAATGATAAAGTAATCGAAATGCACTTTGGACTAAAAACAACTTCGGTGGATCACCTACGTTCTGTGAAATCGATTCGTAACAACGCATCGCGGAACAACAAAGCAAAAAGGATAAGATTATCAAAGACATATCGGTTATTTAAAGAACAGTAAGTCAATGCAAAAGTTTCACCTTGATGCCTACTCTGATAACAGCTGCAATAAAATTAAATTCCCCAGAGGCTATCTAATGATCATTGCCTGATAACAGATTAATTGTGCTGATTGGAAATTGAAGGACAATTAATTAACGCTTCGGAAACACTTCAAACCTACCACAGCAGCATATATACCTTTTCGATGGCTGGCATGTCTGAAGTCATTGTCTCAAAAGGAGCATTTTATATTGTGATTTAGAGTCAAAAGTCAAAGTCAAAATTTCTTTATTCAACATAGGCTTATTTTAAGCTCTTATTGAACGTCAAAAACTACCACCGGTTCACTAAACTAGACCTGCAAGAGAAGAACCGGCAAGAAACTCTGCGGTCATATGTTTATATTTTATTTATATTATTTTTTTTAAGTATTTAAGTATACACACAAAATTATTTTAGTATAATTTAGCAGGAGCCAGGGGGCTTGCAAGTGCAGAGCAAGAGTCATTTCCACACATCCTTGTCCTCAATGTATTCCTCGACATTATAATAAGCCCTTTCATTAAGGTGGCTTTTACAAAATGTTTGAAATTATTTAAACTTAATTGTTTGTGGATGTCACCTATTCTATTATATAAGTTAATACATCTACCAAGAAACGATTTCCTGGTTTTAGCTAGTCTAAACCTCGGTATTTCCAACGTGTCACCACGGCCCCGACGCGATGTGGTATGTTTTTTTGTAAAATGGTGTAAGTTATTTCGTACATACATGATGTTCTCAAGTATGTATAGCGACGTGAGCGTTAAGATGTTTATCTTTTTAAAAATATGCCGAAGGGACTCACGTGGACCCAGGCCATAGACAGCCCATATCGCTTGCTTTTGCAGTACAAATATCGTGTCTAAACCGGATACGGAACCCCAAAGTAAGACACCATAAGACATAATACTGAGAGTGGTTGCCTATACCACGAATATGCCGTCCATCCGGTGCAAATTCAAATTCAAATGTCATCGTCCCGTTGTCTGTCTGTCTATGTATGCTTAGATCTTTAAAACTACACAACGGAATTTGATGCGGTTTTTTTTACTAAATAGAGCGATTCACGAGGAAGGTTTATATGTATAATACATAAAAACACTGCCCTTACGATAGGATAAATTTGTCCTGTGTTGCAAGCGACAAACATAAATTTCACGCGGACAAACACCCAGGGCGAAACAACTATCTGTGGGTCACACAAATAGTTGTCCCGTGTGGGGATCGAACCCACGACCCCCGACGCTGAAGCCAATACCTTGGCAACTGCGCCAAGGAGTCATCGACATTGTATGCGAAGCGGGGGCGGGTGGCTATTTCAACATAAGAGCATAACACTCACCTATTGATTATCAAATTACTAACACCGGTTCGGAAAAGAAAAGCCCGAAAAGCCCGAAAGAGAAGAAGCGGCGAAATAAACTAAGCTGGACAATATTTCTAACATGTTTTCAACAGAAAAACATATTTACAAATTTTTCAAGTCCAACTGACAGAACTTGGAGCGATCAATTCATTTCCAGAGTGTCTTATCATTTAACAAACACTAACAACTAAATAGAGTTTAGTTGTTAGTGTTTTTTAAACAGAGTTTAGTTGTTAGTGTCACATCACAACTGTGTTTAATTTTTTGCTGTAATAAAACATTTTCTTTTCTTTTTCTTTTCAAAGTCTACGCAAAAAGTTTGTCCAGAGAATACTTTTGTTGTTTTTTGCTTTTAAAGCGGGAATGTGAATAATTTCATAAATTTCAAATTTATCTTTGTATTAAAAAAATTGCATAGCATATTTGTGTCCGCAAAACTCGGAAACTAGCCGATGGCTTGACATGATATCTTTTCGGAACATAGTTATTGAACAGGAGAGTGTTTTATATACTTTCTATTCCGCAGTCTCAATGGTAAAGAAAACAGGCTCAGAGACGCGTTGTCCGCTTCAGCTAGTCCTTTTTAATACCTATAAATTTAATTTGTAATTTTACCTACATATAAAAGTAAAAAGTAACAGCCTATACATGTCCCACTGCTCGGCAAAGGCCTCCTCTATACAGAGGGTATCAGGGCATAGTCCACCACGCGGCCCCACTGCGGATTGGCGGACTTCACATATTTTCGAAATATATATATATATTTTGGTATTGAAAAGAAAAGACAATATTTTCAATTTTTGGTATTATTTCGAAAATATGCAGGTTTCCTCACGATGTTTTCCTTCACCGCGGAGCACGTGATAAATCAGCACTTAAAGTTAAAAACTTCATTGGTGCCGGCATCGGGGATCGAACTCAGGTTGCTCGAGTATATAGAAATAAAGGCGATCGCCCGGACACTGAGCTATCACGGCTCTTCCTACCTACATATACCTCGATATTATTACACGGTAATTTTTTAGAGTTTTTATGAAAATATGAGACATGTTGCAAAAACGGCATTAAAAATTTATGATTTTGCAACTTACTTAAAAAGCCTTTTAAAATCCTTTTTCTTGCCTCACTTCAGTAATTCGTTTATGTGTTTGTGTGTGTGTCTCTCTTTGTCTCTCTTATGCCAAGAGTGGAAATGTATTTGAACTAAATAGAAAACTATAGTAGTTGGAAAAATTAGTATAGGAGCAAACATTTTTAATTTTTTCATGTGAGAAGGTGGTAAACGAGCTAGCGGGTCACCTGCTAAGTGATAACTACCGCCCATAGACTTCATTGGACGGGATGAATGTTATTCTCATACATACAAATATCTATACTTCAATCACATACAATTTGTCTTCCTCTTCTTCTTCCAGCTGGGACCGGGAGGATATTTTATTCTTCTAGACCATCGCGGCAGCATTGTACTACATGAAAATACTAAACCCGTGGTAATTATTCATTTTAATAATTCCAGTCGCACGCATAAGATAAGATATAAAGCCGAGGAGAGTTCTAGGCAAATGAGCAAATGAATAATACGCCATTACGATAGTGCCTAAATCAACTCAAACAGAAGACAAAAAGGATTAAGCGACCTTTATATCTCACAATGGCATTTTATATATAATATCTTCATTAGCAAACTCCATATATTGAATATACAATTTTATAATTAGCTTATATATAGTTATGTAGACATAATTCGATTTATTTACATTTGTAATACCCGTAGGGTTGCAGATGCGTTGCCATCTTATAGTAAAGTGGACCCCGGCTACCTCACTCACCAGACGAATGCAGAAGCATAACACTTTCTCTTCCCGCCGGTCTTCTGCGAAGTTACTTACCCGGACGGACCTACCCATTCGTACAATAGCTAAGAGTTTTCCGTGGCCATTCTTATTTATAAATAACTTAAATACAAGCCATCGTGAATATTTTTATGAATTACTTCCTGTGATTATATTTCAATCTTCAATGCTTATCGATTAATGGCAAACAGCTTTCTTAATCTCGGCCAAAGCGAGACAAGATTAAGTTTGCTCCAACTCTCTGTATATTATTGTACAATTATTCCGTTTACCACATTCTACCAACAGTTTGATGGTGACATTTTGAAACCTGGATATCGCACAGTGGACTTTTTGGACTTGGAGCAATCCGCCGCTGATCACTTACCCAGAGAATATCCCCAGGAATGGCTTGAAGTACGTATTTATGTTACTTATATCGGTAAAAAATTTCATTAGTTTCCGGGTGTTTTCGACAAAACAAAAATTTTATTCGGTAAAGAAAAATCACTTATAAAATAATCAACAAGCAGAATTTGGCGGTCGCTTATAGTTTTCGAGAAATCATTTATATGGCAAAACAACGTTTGCCGAGTCAGCTAGTTATTTTATATATATCTACAATACAACAACAATACAACATCAGCTCGTCCACTGCTCGTTCAACGTAAGCCTTCCTCAAAGTCTAACTAGTATTTATAAATAAAATTGGCAACCTAATCTACTTAAAATAAAAATAGTTTGAAATTAATTAACATGTACGCTATGTTTTAGCTTTTCGATATACCGATTTCTAATCATACGGTCATTTAAGCACGTTGTACGTAAGAAACTTTTTTATTGATTTAGATAAGCCTTAGACGATAGTACAATAAACAAGAGAATGGGAATTTGCACAAAAATTAATGAGAATTAATTTACTAAAAATTACTTTTATAGATATAAAATAGATTTCTATTTATACTTTCACCAAGTAATTGTGTAAAAGGTACTGTGAAATCTGCGCATGTAAAATTTTAAAATGTTCGATGAATTTTTAAATATTTTTCATAATCGTACATTCAAATTCAACTAGCGTATTTTTTGCTCTAATTTAGCTTTATTTACCTCAAGTACATATTAAACGTAGGAAAATAAATAAATATAATAATACACTTTATTATATAATTCATTATAATAAAGTTATGTTAAGTTAAATAATAAAGTTTCTTAAGTTAAGTTTTTATTATAACTTCAATTCTGTCTGGTCAACCTCACTCTAGGCTACGAATCGTAAGCGACAACGAAATGTCAAAAGTTGACTTGTGACCAGTGAATACTGTTTCTAGTTCCGCAACAAGCTAATTATCGAGCAGCCTGAGGGCAACCGAACGATGCACAGTAAATACATCTACGAGTACGGAATGCGGAGCGTTTTGGAAATGCGCGAATACCATTGGAAGCGCATACTCGACCACTATACTGCGGTGGTGGTACTACCGAAGCGTGATGCTCGCTTCGCAGTGCCCAACGTGAGGCGTTTCACCCAGCAACTGGCGATGGAGGCATACAAAACCCTATCCGAGACCGATTTCTCAGTCCATCCTGATTGGTAATCATTTCTATACATATACTTACAGCTCCTCACGTGGTATTTTAATCTGATTCATTGACTAATTTCTCAGTCCAACCTGACTGGTAATAATACCTAAAGGTTTACTTACAGTTCTTTGCGTGTTATAATGATTGTTCAAAGTTTTGCAATTACCTGTAATGCGTCTGCAACCCTACGGGTGTTGCAAACGGCGGCGGTTATGAACCGCCAGCTCGTTTGCCACCTTCTCACAAAAAAAAAACAATTTCTATTAATAACCATTTACCCATACAGAAGTTCAGTCTGAAAAATGAAATCACAATAGATTATTTATCTTTAAGTGTATAAAAACTATAGCTTCATGATTTTTAAGGTTGTATTGTCGCCACGTGGAGCCACAGTTCGAAACGCAGAAGGACGAAATACTGCACTTCGTGAAACGTAGGAAGAATGAACCGAATTTTCTGATGCAGAATCTTAGACACATATATTCACCGTTGCCTCCGACGTTACAAGAAAAACCTTATCATTGTAAGTTTACGCCAAAACTTTAAACAATATTTATTTATTACATGATTTTTTAATGTATACTCTATTAATTTTCTGAGTACTGATTTATTGCCGTCCGATGGATCTGCCAAAATTACATCAAAGCCTGTTCGTGAACTGATAGTGAAGACTGATCATATTCATTACCATACCAATTAGCTAACTCTGCTTAAACTACGTCCCAGCTATTAGGGCTATCACTACTTTACGTAAAAGAATATTATTCAAAAACCAATTCGGATAAACACAGGTAATGAAGAACTTATGGCACGCATAGCAGCAGAGGCAGTTATGACGGCGAAATGGGCTGAAATCGATGAAGATCAAGACTGCTCTACGTGTCAGCTCGGCTCTGTTATAGCGTTCTTTGCCAGCGGTAAGTGGTGTGGCATCATAAATTATGACAGTCAAAGCCTGGCACCAACCTTAACATCATCACACCACATCAATATACGGGAGTCACCGTCACATAATTAACACCTCATTGGTACAAACACGGAACGACTCGAAGACTCAATGTTCATTAATGGGAGTCACCGTTTCCTATTTTTAAATGTGAAAATACAAATGTCGATAAGTAAATATTACATGATATAAACTTCAAGATCATGACAGTGGACGTTGCAGCTGTTTTTTTCAGCTCAACACACACTGTTCAACCAACGCTTTAATTGGTACATAATCTTAAGAAAAGATCTAAGCATACATAGGGACAGACAGACAGCGGGACGACTTTGTTTACACTACGTAGTGAAGCCCCCGTTAACTGGTGGTTAGAGAGCGGCTTCGCTCGCTGGCAGTACTACGAGGCCACGAGCCCGCACGCCGTGCCGCCGTCGGGCGCGTCATGGGCGCGCGCCGCCACCGAGCCGTGGTTCGTCCGCGCCTCGACCCACGCGCCCTCCCTCGTGATCCATTCACCCGTCGCGCCCATACGCCGGCTGCGGAACACGGATGCGCCGGCGCCCCAGGTAATAATGACGTCACGGCACGAGCGTTTCGTCTGTTGAGTGAGAAACACCCCGGCGCCTCAGGTAAAGATGACGTCGTGGCACGGGCGTTTCGTCTGTTGAGCGAGGGACGCCCCCGCGGCCGAGGTGAAGATGACGGCACAGCACGCACGCTTTGTCTGTGACGTCACAGCGCGAGCGTTTCGTCTGTTGAGTGAGGTACGCCCCCGCAAAATTATGACGTCACAGCACGCAATGCCGTCACACGAGCCTCCTCTGGTGAGTGCGCTGACCGGGGCCCACTTTTTAGGAATGTAGCAACGCGTTTGTGACCCTGGGGTGTTGTAAAGGTCCATGGGCTCGTCTGATACCTGAGGTGACTGGGAGGGACCAACTTTATTTGAAGGTGGCAACGCATTCGTAACCAACGGGTGTTTTCAATTAAATAATAGGCATTTAATTGAAATTGGGTGTCGGTTATCACATAACGTCAGGGTCATCAGGTGAAACGCCAGCTCGCTTGCCATCTTCTTACACAAAAAAAAAACTACTGAAGGGAAATTTGAAATTTCCCACCATGACGATCGGTTCGGATTCTTATGATACACTTTACGCTTATGATCACAATATGGGAGTAAATTTAGAAAGATGATGAAGCTTGGTATATTAACAAGCTTATTGGTTGGTAATATACCAAGCTAATATTATGGTTCCGGTATCCTATACCCATGTTTTAACCCAGTTAAGGTGCATTCTCATTTTCTAACCGTTATTTCGACAAACTCAAACTCAAATGTGCGTGTTTCTATTGTGATGTTACCAGGTACCGACTTACTGCAATGCATAATTAATCGATTTTAGGTGCCACAGCACAAGACTTGGATGACTGCTGCAAGAGTGCTCGACTACACCTCGAAAAGTACGATAGGAGTCGCCGGCTTCCACTTCTACCCGAGACACCTTGACGATCTTCTCAAAACTGTCACCAACATTCATGTAAGCCTATTTCCTTATAAATAAATGCTTTAAACAGAAAGTGTGATTCGTTGAAATCATGAGAAAAGGATACATCTTCCAATTCGCATTATTTTAATTTACAAAAAGTATTACATTATTGATATTGTAGTATTTGAATACTAAGTCAATTAATTACACGTTATCTACCAAACGTCACTCACGGCGCATGGTACCAAGAACGCTAACCGCATTTCCTCACTAAATAGTTATGATAACCTTCATCAACAACGGCAACAATAATTCGATGAAAAAAAGTTTGCTCGCAACAAAATCGCTGTCTGTACAAAATAAATATAATTTAAGGCTGAAATGTTTAATTATTTTATTAATATATATCTAGCGCGTACTTTTAACTCTTTCTTGCGTTATTCGTTTATATCCGAAAACCTTTATTCATTCTCACAATTGCGTGCACCATCGCTCAGTGGATATTAAGTACAGTCGATATTAAGTCTGCCGCTTGACCAATTTAAATGTAAAATTAAAAATCAACTGATGATTAAAGCATATTATACCATTTCGGAATATCTCGACGACGCCAATGTGTGGAGTTAATACTGTTGATACTCACTTAGGCTAGAATAAGACTATTATACCTGTAATACCTGTATATTATATTGTACCCTGATATTTTTGAAAAAGAGCAACTGTTGAGTTTCTTGCCGGTCTCTTCTCAACAGAAACCGCTTTCCGAACCGGTGGTACCTTACGAACCTATACACATAATCTCTGATGTAAAATTTGAGGATTCATAAGAGCGCGCAAGCGTCTGATTGAATAAATATATTTTTGATTTTGATTTGATTTTGAGTGCCTCGAGGAGGACGAGAGCAAATGCGAGCCGCGCTGCGACAACAAGGACTGGTCTTGCGTGCTCATCGACGACGAGGCCTGGGTGGTGGCCAGGGTGCGCGAGGAATTGGACGACGAGGCGGAGACGGAACCGCTCGGGGAGCACCTAGTCAACTTGCACCCGACCGCGATGGCAGCGCTTCTGAACGCGAGCGTGTTCAAACTGCGCTGGATACACGACTACCAAGGTGTTTGCTTCCCGCCGAAGGACGAAAAGATACGCGCAGCGGCCCCGGTGAGATTTCGTACAATAGTTCATCGGCTAAACAGCAAAAGTTTTCTCTAAATTCAACGATCATACTCGAGCGATCTTATCCTAGCGACCTTTGAAGAACCATATACAACCATTAAAACATGAAGAAAAAGTACGAAAAGATTGTCGCCGCTGTGGGAATCGAACCCACGTCTTCGGCATTCGCGGCCTGACGCTCTAGCCACTAAGCTAAACGGCTGATAGCCACAGCGACGAAAATCTTAACGCCTTCCTTCTACATTGTTATTTAGCATTTGATGCAATGCTTGGCGCATCTATTGTTATATCCTATGTGTAATAATAATAATGTGTGTATATAAAAGTATGTGTTGTGTTGTTTTTGTAATTAAGATTTCAGATTTTTTTAATGTTTCAGGTATTACCATCGATACTGCGATCCATATGGTATTCATTACAACATATAATCCATGTCACTAGTGAGGTCACGACAGCCATTTTTTTACTTAGCACCGGTAAGAAGGTAGTATACGAGAAATTGTCAGTTGTAAACAAAGTACGACTAAGTCATTATTGGATCAAAGTTAATATAAATATCATATTAATATTTTAATACCAACAAATATAAACATCATAAACTTTTTACATGAAACTTTTTTAAGAGGAGATGGCTAAAACACTAGGCTTTTCTAAAGGTTCGCTACACCAGAGGTGATGCGAATGATTTGCCTGTACACAGTAACGAATATTTATGAGCCCTTATCTTTATTTTTATTTTATAGGATCCCTTCTCATTTTACAAGCTTTTTGGCCAAGCTAAGTTTGGCCTAGCCAGCCATATCCGTAATTGCTGGGGTCGCCGTCATCGAAATCGATGAGGAGGACTATATATACAAGCTTTTTATTTAATTTGAACTGACCCGGGGTCTGTAATGTACGTAATCTTACAAATTGAATTTGGACCCACGTATGATATGGATATCAAATGTAAGGGTTTTTATTTATTGACAACTAGTGAATGTTTGTTAGTAAGTTTTGAAAGTTTTGTTTTAAAATAAATTAGCTTGTCTTATTACCAAAATATTCTAACTCGATTTCCTGATTTTCAGGCAAACCAGTAAGAGCAGAGACTGAGGCGGAAAAGATGAAGAGACACAGGCGCTTGCAGAAGGACTATGAGCGAGAGAAGTACGAACGGCTGTATGACCCTCGCGTACTCGTCAACAGGACACGCTTCGCCGCCTGCGATCGTTCTAGACCTTTCTATCAACTGCAGGTATAAGAATGCGATCGTTTTAGACCTTTCTATAAAATGCAGGTGTAAGAATGCGATCGTTCTAGACCTTTCTATCACTTGCAGGTATAAGAATATCCTAGTATGTCCGGACAACGAAGTCTCTGATATAAAGACATTATGGCAAGCGATAGTTTTCGTGGAAAATTTAATGACACAAAAGCATATGAATTGCCTTATGGTTCGTAAGCAAATACCGCCGCACACAGATATTAAAGAGGTTGTCAGTGCTTGTTGTTAGTGCATTTTCTTTGAAACGCAAAGTACAAGTTATTTTACTTAAATTATGCTTCTGACATACGCTGGCAACTTTTCCTATTAAGCCCGCCCATTTATGCTGAATAATTTAACCACAAGAAATGCATCAAATTAGGGAATAACCCAGATTTGATGTTCCCATAATTGTCGAAATATCTCCGGTTTGATCTCCTAATCACAAATACGAATGATGTTCAGTCAATAAAAAGTTGGTATGGTATTAATTTTTTTTTCTTTGATGTTCATAAGTCAAAACATATACCAGATATACCGTTGACGGCACGACACAGTGCATCTTGCGATTCAGAAAATACCGTGAATAACGCACATTAATGGTCTGCAAGACATCAAGATGACATCGATGGTATTTGGCGGTTTCTCGTGTTGAACGACGGTGATACTCAGCAAAATCTCGTAATAAATGCATGTATAATATAATAAATTAAGAAGTAAAGTAACAACCTATTTATATTGCACTGCATAGCCCACCAAGCGACCCCACTTGCGAGTGTAATCTTTACAAATCTACGCAGTAGTTTTTGTTAATATTACAAAAGCATTCACGTTTTGTCATGGTGTTTTTCCTCATCGCCGAACACTAAATAAGTTAGCACTTGAATTGCAATTAAGAATTTCATTGGTGCCGTCACCGGGATGTGAACTCAGGTTGCTAGAGTATATTGAATGAAAAGCGAGTGTCAGGACACTGGAACTATCACGGGTTTAATGATGCGCAAAGTCTCCTTGCGCTAAATCGGAGTGAACTTGGTTGTCGAAGTTCGTAGCACATTATCTGGTCAGTTAATCTTCACCAATTCGTTCTGCAATTTATCTTCGATTGAAACACTGGTCCACATGTAGTTCTTAATTTAGTTGTAAGTTGTTAACTCTACGCTTGGACACGATTATGAGATTCTGAAGGAGTTTCTATGTCTTTGCAGCGAACGGCGAAAGCCACTGATGCACTGCGGCGCAGCGTCCACCTCTGCCGCTGGCCCCTGATAGCGGTGCCAGTTCCAGACACCAATCTCCTGCTCCTGGCCGTATACAACGCCTGCCCTCACCGCGGCAGACCGCTCAACAACCCGCTGGTCAACGAACGCGTGAGCACTTTCGAACTTACTCCTGATTATGCATTCCTGTAACGTTCTTCTAGTTGTTGATCACATCAATCTAGCACGTATACCACCTGCTGATGTTAAAATTCATATACAGGTAGAGATTATTATTTGTTCTCATATGAACTTATTTCCTAGAAGTTACCTAACAAGCTAACTGTGATAGGGCAACGCAACAGTGTCCGCTGTTGCACGAATGGGCAGGTCCGTCCGGGTAAGTACCATGACCTCACAGAAAACGGGCGTACAATGGAAGTGAATGCTTCTGCGTTTCGTCTGGTGTGTGAGGTCGGTGCGGTCTATTTTATTAAAAGGTGGCAACGCGTCTGCAACCCTACGCGCGTTGCAAATGCCAATGGGCGTCGGTCACTTAGCATCGGGTGAACGCGAGCTGGCGTTTGTCACTTTCTCACATAAAAACAATATTAACTTATTTTCTAGTAGTTGCTAAACGTACTGTAAATAGCCCCTTGTTAGACACAAGAGACATTTTCTTTCCTATCAGCATCCATTATTACCTCGGGGTAGCATATATTTTTTTTATCAATGTCGATATCGTAAGATTCACTCCAAAGGTATTTGAAAAATTTATACGCATACTTTGTGACGTTTCGCGAACATTTGTCGGTATCTTTATTTCTAACTTATCTTATCATAAAATTAATGTTTTTATATGAAAAATTAATCGCTTTCATATATTTAATCTATCGTATTCGTATCAATCTGTGCAAGTAATATTAGTACAATAGCCAATACCCGAAATTTGGGCGACACAATGCTAAAAATGTAAGGTTAATATGATGATAAAAATACGTATTTACGAGTTTCTTATTCGGTGCGCAATTTTTCATTTTATTTTTACTATCGACCGTTTCGGGCCGCAACCGTTCATAGTAAGTTACTCTATAGTGAGCTGTTCACAATTAAGTAATCTAGTAATTGATTTCTTGTTTTCACGCGAATTTCAAACAATGTTAACTAAATGTAATTGGGAACAGAGACGCAGCGGTCGCAGAGAAACTAGCAAAGAAATAACACCTATTACCTAATAACCTGCGACGAGATCTCCGTCTATTCACCCTATGACAAAAAACGTGAAGGAAAAATTGTAAATTGCAGGAAATATATATATATATATATACAATTATTTAAAAAAAATAGAAAAAAAAATTTAAAAATTTAAAAAAATCAATAAATATGAACTCACTGCTGCACCGTTACCAGCCCATTTGATGTACGCGGCGGTGACAGCCCAAAAAGAAAAATAAATAAAAATGATAACCAAAAAAGAGTACGGACCACAAGTCTGTAGAGTTAGTTTGATAAAATAAAAATAAAACAACTAAATGTAATTATATTATTATTGCGTATTATATATTTTTTCAAAGTACCCAAAATACAGTAGTTACTATAAATTATAGTAATTATGGTGATGGATTAGGTAAGTGGAGCGTGCATGCATAACGCACCTTTATATCAAAACTAGATATAGTAAAATAAAGAGCTGGATTTCGTTCGTTTGTATGGAACACCTGTATCGACTACTACTAATATGGCTACTTCATTTCCGAATAACACATAAATCAAATTGCAAAGATTTTGTTTGATTTTTATTATTTGACGGAATATTATGATTATTACAAATGTTCGTAATTCATGTACACAAGTACTGTTACCAGCACGGGGTTGACGTCTCAAACACAATGGTCTTGATTATTTTTGGTCAACGCCCGGCGAAACGAATCGCGAAAGTGTAACACTTCCACTTCACCCCGGTCTCTGCCCATTTGTGCAACAGCAGTCAGCAACTGTATCTTAAATTCACCACTGGTATAAAGCTGTTGTGTTGCGTATCGCAGGTTGAGATGGCGGATGGGCGGGAGGGCTTGGAGCCGTCTGCGAGTAGGTTGGCATGCTGGCGTAACCGCGTGCCGCTGCCCGGCCGCCCGCCGCACGTGCAATGCTACCCGCACAACTACACCTACGTAAGCGACGGTCAGGGCCGGACTTAGGGGAGGGCAACCGGGGCAACAGCCCCAGCCTCCACAAACGAGGGGCCCCCCCACCAGAGACTTCGGAAAAAAAAATCAAATTCAGTCTAGTAAACAATAGTAAACAACTTTTCCTTTGATATTTTTTTTCGCGTTTTACTTTTATATACAGTACCTTGAACAAACATGATCACATTAAATATTAACAGAAATCCATAGAACAATCAATAGGCCTCAACTCCTTCGTTGCTCCGAGGCCTCCAGACCTCTAAATCTGGCCCTGGCGACTGGTGAACTGTCAATTTGACGACCCGAATGGCGTAGTAGACCGAATGAAATTGTTGATTATAAGTGTTGACTTATCACGTGCTCTGCGGTGAAGGAAAACCTGCATATTTTCGAAATGATAACAATAAAAATATTTCGAAGATATGTGACGTCCGCCAATAGTCAGTGGAGCCGCGTGGTGGACTATGCCCTGATTCCCTCTGTATAGAGGAGGCCTTTTCCCAGCAGTGGGACATGTATAGGCTGTTACTTTAATTTTTACTTTTATGGCGTAGTGGGTAGTGTACATGCTTCCTGCGCCAGAGGGTGTGGGTTCGATCCCCTCTACTGGAAAAATGTTGTGTGATGACCATAGTGTTTTTCTAGCGTCTGGATGTTTATATATCTATAATATGTATTTGTTTACAAAAGAGAAGTATGTTTATCAGTTATCTAGTATCCATAGTACAATCGTTGCTCAGTTTGGGACTAGAAAACGTTGTGAAAATGTGTCCTAAATATTTTTGTTCAAACTTATTGTTATTGCTATAGTGCATTACGTCTGGTACATAGGTCTGTCATGTCTGTCTGTCCGTCTGACTGTCTTTCACCGGGCTGTATCTCATGAACCGTGATAGTTAGACACTTGTAATTTTCACAGATGATATATTTCTGTTGCCGCAAAAACAGTATATTCATCACACAATATTTTTCAGAAGTGGGGATCAAACCCACACGATGATGACGTAGACAAATCCACTATCTACTACTTACTTAATTAAGCTGAATTCACGTGTGAAAAGTGTGATCTATTCGTTAATTTTATATTATTTTATACTATATATTTTATATCGTTTATATATATATTTTACAGGAAGAAGGCTACAGGCAGTGCGGACCATGGCTTCCGGATCCGGAAAACCGCGGGAACAAGCTTTCCACAACATACATACCCCTTCTTGTATTACTCATAATTTATTATATATAAACATTGAAAAAAAATTATGATTCTAGTAATTTTACTTATTTAATGACTTATTTATTAATAATTAATTGTCTACGACTATTATATATTATGACCACCTACTTAAACTTTACTCGCGAATTCGACCCCGTATTTATACTAGAGCTATGAAAGATTAACCCAAATACATTTACGTTAAAAGTTTTGAGCATAAAACTGAAATAAATTGCAACAGTGCGAATTCAATTGTACTTTATAATGTCAAATTTACCTGTAATTACAAGTTATTTCATTAAACCGTGATCATTCGCATTTAATGTCTTTATTTCATAAGCAAAGAGTACTTGTACACGGGATAAGATTTTTAGCTGTTTGTCTTTCGTATATACTATACACATATATTTTTAGGCAGCTTACATGGATTGGCAAATTGATTGGAAAATCAACGGTATATTAGTATGGAGTATTAATTATGATGATACAGCAAGCTCGAACTAAACTCCATACAATATACTGAAAATTATCTTAACAAATAAAAAACGCATTGACACCTTAAATCTTTATTTATTATATTTGGTTCGGAAATGTCCATTAATACTGATCGTAAAACGACAGGCAGACAAATCACATGATTGTTTTCATCACGCTTAGAAAGTTGCACGAACAATTAGACAATAAATAGAATAGATTTATTTCAATACCTGATCTTATTCACACAAAACACGAACAAATTTCACGTACTAAAATAGTTACGTAATTAAGTTTTTTTTTTCTCATTAGTTTTCTTATTTATTTTACGATATTATTTCGAAACAGTAAACTGTCACTGTCGAGTTATTACAGTAATTGGAAAAAAAATTAGCTCAATTAGCTGTTAGTTCCTTAACATTAAATCAGTGAAAGTGAGATAAGATGAAAAGTTCGCTACAAATATGCAATATTATAATCCCAGCAAAATTAATAGCAGTAAATAAATGTTTACGTTTTAAATTAAACTTTATTTATAATACCGTTGCATTCCAACCATAACCAACAAAATGTATTACCTCATTCAATCTTAATAGCCTCAAATATCAAATTATTTATGGCGAAACATTCGGCAACTGGGCGCTATTTATTTAGAATTGGAATTATGTTAACTTGTTAACATTGGATAAAATTAAAGATAAGACAACATCAAATGGTTGTTGATCTAATCAGAAATAATTAATTTTTATTCTTAATATTGTTCTTATTTTAACACGGAAATTTACAAAACATTGATTTGTTCCCGTTTAGAAAACCAACAAAAAAACATAAGTTTTTTTGTCAAAAAAAGGAGACAACAATACTTAATTATAAAGTGATAAAAGCATATGAAACAAAAATTGAGTAATAATCAAATATTTAAATTTCCAAGTGTGCATTCTAAAACAGCCAAATATTTTCATGTTTGCTCATGGCATGTTTAATTATCAGCCAGCAACAACCTTAACACTAATTTTGAACATTTAAAACGTCAATAAATGTGATTGAACAAAGATTGTTGTACAGACAATAAATCTCAAATTTCTAACCTAAACCTATTTAACACTCTAAGGAATGTATTTCCACGATTTATTTCAATCAAAAATAGTTTTTTATAATTTTACATTTAATATTATCTACATTATTCAAACATGGAATTCAACATTTGCTACCATTCAATATTAAAATATTATCTTATAGCCGGAATATTTGAGAATATGAATATAATTGTGATACATCAAAAATATTAACAATATTGATAATACTTATTTCATAACACAGTGTGTTCACATTTTCCTGAACATCTTTCAGATTTGATTTTTTTTACCTCTAGCATTTTATAGCTTATTAAAAAGACATATAATAAGAATGCCTACCTACCTATAAATTCTAAAGTAGAATTTGATTAAATCCTTCCAATCTTTTTTGTATTTTTTTTACAATTTGGCACTTTTATTTTGACAATAAATGTAAATTAAACAAAGCTGGTCGTATGACACTGCTTGCTTCGAAAACGATATAATTAAAATATGAACACAATATGACATCAGGTCCAAAGTTGCTATGCAACATACATACTTTACAATAGAGCAGAGAGACCAATATAAATACTAAAATGTACAAAAATAACTCTTTCTCATCTTTGGTAAAATATCTTTTTCTCTCAGATCGGTTAATTTGATTAACAAGAATAAACAGAACACCTTGTGTTAAAATAATGATAAAATATTGCAAATAAAATATAATTTGTAATTAAAATAAAATAAAAAAGAATAACAAATATAAAACAAAACTGATGTATAACTAGGATAAATTGTATGAAAAAAAATTCAAAAGTAGCGTTTAAAACCTAAGCTATCAGGTGGTATATCCATATTACGTAAGAAACAAATGTTTTAACAAACCATTTTTGTATTGCCAGAAATAAAACTTAATTAAATTATAACATTAGTCAGTGGCAAACTAAATGTAAGGTAAATGCATGTTTATACAATTAATAATTTAATAAACATGCATTTACTTTACATTTTTTTTTAATCTATATATATATATATATATATAATTTTTCTGTATGTGTATTTGTCACTGAACTCCTCCTAAACGGCTGGACCGATTTAAATGAAATTTTTTGTGTGACTTCAGCTTGATTCGAGAATGGTTTAAAAACAATTCGGTCCACAATTTTTTTTTATTTATTAGTTGTCGGATTTAAGTCGTGTGTACAGGATGACATGTCGGGTCCTCTAGTAATAACATAAAAATCACAAAGACATTACACAAAAAAGACATTACGCCCAGTGTTGGATAAATGTGATAGATGCATTTGAGTTATTGGTTACTCTTCCTCTGACTCTGTATCGGAGTCTGGTATGGTGTTGAACCAATTCTCCCAGTTGGATGGCGGTCCCGCTGCATTCCGGCTGGCAAATAAATGAATACTGTTCAAATTACAACATCAAAATTATATTCAAAATCTTACTAAACATATTTGTTCAATAATAATCGAAATCTATTTTCCTTTTACTGTGTCCTATCTGTTTCGAGAACCATCAATGACTGTTACAAAATATGTCATAGGTACGGCTACAGTACTATTTACGGAAACATTTGTTTTTTTTTATGTGAAAGGAAGTGTGCACTCCTGCGTTGCGTCTGTTGAGTTAGGTAGCCGGCGCCCAATTCATAAGGTGCCAATGCATCCGCAATCCTACGGGTGTTGGAAATGTCCATAAGTGGCGGTTATCACTAAACATCAGGTGGAGCACCAGCTCGCTTGCCACCTTCTTACATATAAAAGAGGCCTGTGGGATTTTTTGAAAACTAAAAATATAAAAAATTAGGGCGTTGACCCCCGTTCCGGTGGGGGATGAAGGGCGTCGCGGCTCACCTCAGCTTGGTGACCGGCTGCGGGAGCGTGGCGGTGGCAGCGGCGGGGGGCGGCGCGGCCGGAGGGGGGGCGCGCCTCTGCAGCGTCTGCGTACCACCGCCCTCCTCCTCCACGCACCATCCCTCCTCTAACACCCATCTGCGGACACGGCGACATTCATACACAAGTCGAAAGAAACGGCGATGAATCTGTGATACATTCGCCAAAGTTTCAGCCTCGGCGTCGAGGGCCGTGGGTTCGATCCCCACACGTGACAGTTAATTGTATGACCCACAGATGATTTCTTCGGATCTGGGTGTTAGTCCGCGTGAAATTTATGTACGTAAAAAGTCCTTGCAACACGGCATAATGTTATCCTTAATTAAGGGAAATGTTTAAAAAAAACAAACAAAAAAAAGTTTTGTACCGCCGGTTGCAATGTTCCATCTACAGATTCGGTCACTGGAGATAGAATTTTGATGTAAGTATTATAGAGCTCATGTCAAATACCTATTGCCAATGACCAAATCTATATGTAGATAGGATATTGAAACCGGTCGTCAATATGGCAGAGTAAAAAATGAAGGAAAGGCAAAATCAGACGCACACTCGATCGCGTTATGTGGGACGTACCTACTGACAGGTTCTGGAAATACTCAAATAAAAAAGTATGTGTAACAAAAGAAAAATAAATAAAAATTCGATCCCGTTCGCCAGTACTCTTTGTTTGTCAAAAATATAATTGATAATGGTTTAATTAAATAACTTTGAATTTTAAATAAATGTGAAAAAGTTGTTATTGGTTACCACGGTAACACCAAGTTGGTGTCGTTTTTAGGTGTCGTGCGTCGTAAAATTCACCCTCATTATTTTTCCCAAACGCGCGAAAAGAGCTATAACTTCAAAAATATTATTTCGAAACAAATTTTTACACAACGTTATCAAGTCCCAAGGTAAGTAAAGCTTGTACTATGGGCACTAGGTAACTAATAAATATACTAAAACATACTTTTATTTTATGAATAAATCCATAAACACCCAAACACTAGAAAAAACTGTACATTACACAGTATTTTAACAGTAGTGGGGATCGAACCCACATCCTCTGGAGCAAGAGCCACTTCACTATCCAGTATGTCAATTTAAGCTCACTTTATTTCTAGGTATTTGAGCCTTTGAAAGGTGTTGTGAAGATAATCTAGTCTAGATGTAATAATAACATCGGCGAATTTTAATCCTACTTTTAAAAAAAATTGTGTAAATTTCACCAGAGGATTTCTTCCTTTACCTTGTTTGAATGCTCAGCTTTTTGCCTCTCTCTTTTTGTTTTTCATTTTCATTCATTTTCTTATTTCTCTTGTTTAAACAGTTTACTAATAACTTTAAAGTAGTAGCAAATTCATAATTCTGATTAATAAGAATTAATAACATATTCTTACAGGGTCAAACACTATTTCACATTTTCTTTTTGCTAAGTCCTCCTACATTAACATGCATATTATGTTACATTTATTTATTTTTATCTTACATTTTTATATAATATTACTAGTATTATATTGCTTATGGATATGAATATATGCCCAGATATCTTGTTAAAGTATTTTATTCAATAATTTTTCTAAGGCATGTTTTAGTCTTATTTTACACATCTCTTGATATTTTATAGGTGTTAAACATTATTGTTATTTAACTGACTTGACTTGACTTGATAACTTTATTTCTCACCACATCGGTTTGTACAATTTATAAAATATAGAACTAAATTTAAAGTTCAAAGCAATGTGGGAGACTGATGCCTAAACTAGGCAAAGCCTGTATTTTAGGCCATCAGGTCCCCCTCCCAGATATAAATATGTATCACTATAATTGAAAAACTATCTTTATAACTCTTTTATAATTACGTTTCGAAAATTTAATATGAGTAATATTTTACATGTTACAATACTCCCTTTGAATTCTCTATATTTTATGAAAATTTTTGTTAACAGGTTATTAGTAACCTGGGTGTCTATATGTAGCAATTATAGTTTTCAAAATCAGTAGCGCTTTTTAACATTAAAATATTTCATTTTGATTTCAACTTTATTGCTACTTTATTGCTTTCGTTAAAATATATTCCACCGGAGCGTGGATGGGTGGAACGTGGGGGGGGGGGGGGGGCAATTTTGCCTATTCGGGGCAAACAACATAAGCCCACACCTTCCACGCTTGCTGTGGGACTTCTGCAACATAAAAGTACTGAATTCCAACTTGAACACTGTCCATTCATTCTTGAGACGGAGAAGCCGGCCTTGCCACCTTTCCTCTTTCTTTCCTCTCCTACCCGGAGTACAAACTGAAGGGCGCGACCTATCCATCGTCTAGCTACGCGTAGACTGCGAAGACCATCAACAAATCTATGCGTTCCCCTATAGGTCCCATAGGGGTGGGACCAATGCTGAAGCTACTCACATCTTCTTATGGGCTTACTGACCAATCATGCAACTGGGTCACCAGCTTTTTGGCAGATCGCGAGTTGGATACTCGATGGTCGTAGTCGACGGTGCATGCTGTGATCCTAAATTTGCCAATACCGGTGTTCCACAAGGTTGCGTACTATCTCCTACTCTGTATCTTTTTAATACCGCATCAACAACATTAATTGCTATGCAGACGGTAGCACTTTGGATGTCTTGTACATTGACCGTTATAATATTTCTCAGGAATACGACGTTCTTATATTTCTCGACGAGAGCTGGAACGAGCTTGCGTCTGAATTCGAACCTTTTTAACCAAAGCCTCAGACTGGGGTCGACTAAACTTAGTCTAGTTAAGCCCCGAAAAGACACGAGTCTGTGTGTGCTAAAAAGTCACCATTTGTCGTAGTCATTTTAAAAACAATCCCCTGTCTGCCACAGCCAGTATTAGACTAGTCATCGGCACCGGGATTTGAACTCAGTTCGTTCTTGTATGATGAATTAAGAGCGAGCGCCCGGACACTGAGCTATCACGGCTCTTTTGAGGTGAGGAATGAAACAATAGGGATTCGAACCTGGAGCTGCTGGCCGATTTGCAGTTCTCGCACTCACTTCGGTAGTCGTCGGCGTCTTCGGCGGCCGGGGCCTGACTGCCGTCGTAGCTGCACTCGCACGATGGCTATGAACGGGTTAATAATGTTTATAAGAGAGGTGTGTTTTAAATAAATTCGTTTTATTTATTGAAGTTATACTTCTTTCGGCGTTGGAAGTATGGTGAGTGAGAATATTTACGATGCGCGACACCTAAAAGCGACACTGCACTACACGGTATTACCACGGCAACCGATAACATTTTTTCTTTTTATATTCACCTATAATTCCAAGTTCTTTAGTAAAATAGATATCAATTTCAATTTTAGTGACCTTTTTTTTCACAAAAATACTGGCACTCGGGATGAAAATTTTTAGTTATTTTTCTTTTGTAACACACACACGCGGATTGAGATAAAAGAAGTAGGTACAAGTAGGTAAGTAAAGAAAAAGGCTCTGAATCAGCCACAGGTTGGCTACTTGATGTGTTGCGTTTTGATTGTACTACCAGACAGTGTAACGTTTCAGACGCTTCAAATAACTAGGACCTTTCACTATTTCCTAGGAAAGACAATTATTGCTTGTTTGTCTCTCTTAGCAGATTAACGGCAATTAAGCACGTGTGTGCTTCGGTTAGAGCCGTAATAGGCGCGCTTTTTAAGTTCAATATGCTCGAGCAACCTGAGTTCAAATTCCGGTGCCGGCACCAATTAAATTGTCAATTCTAATTTACTTTTTATGTGAGAAGGTGGCAAACGAGCTGTCGGTTCGCCTGATGTAAAGAAATAACCGCCGTCCATTGAGATTTGCAATAACAGTAGGCTTGCAGATACGTTGCCGCCTTTAAATAAAGTGAGCCCGGCCACCTCACTCACCAAATGAAACGCAGAAGTATTACACTTCACGCCGGTCTCCTGTGAGGTCGTGGTATTTATAGGTAATACTGTTGCGTGGCCCTACCACAGTTAGGTTGATTCCGACATAAATGCATTATATCAAGAAATAATTAAAAAATAATTTATTTCTTAAGCCAATTGGCAAGAAACAGCCCAGAATAGAGAGCAGTAGCGTCTTTTCGTGTCGGAGGCCAAGATCCTCTTTGGGTCGCTGAGCCAGCCAAGTAAGTAAGTAAGTAATTTATTTCTATGTTCTTTGATACAATTGCCAAGTTTTCCCAATCATTTATCATAGACACTTGTAATGGGAATAACCGCTACTTCCCTTATGGATATAAATATATGACTATAGATTAACCAAAATACTATTTAAAGAATTAATTCGAAATACACGTATGTGTGTATGTGAGTGAGTGTGTAAATGAGATAGTGAAGCAGTGAGTTTGTGTGGGTGAGAGAAAATGGGTATTAGAGTGTGTGTGTGGCTCTGGATATTTATGCCCGGTTCCTATATTCAGCGAACGGCCGTTAGTTACATAGTCATTATGAAGTCGTTACGAACGAACGAAGTAATGTAACTAACGGCCGTTCGTTGAATGTAGGAACCGGGCATTAACGTCGGAGGGGTTCGATACCTTGTCGACGGTGAGGGGCAGCGTGGGGGGCTGCTGGGGGGGCGGCGCCGGCTGCGGGGCGGGGGGCGTCGCGGTGGCGGCGTCCGCCTGCTGCGGCCGCGGCTTCTGCTCGGCCCCGCCCACGTTGTGCTCGTCGCTGTGCGCCCGCGAGCGGCCGATGTTCAGCCGTATGGTCGTCCTGAGGCCGCGGTTAAGCGTTCAGCGACGAGTGATTTGACGAATGAAACAAGAAGCAACATCCAAAATAAATGGATAAATTTCTGGATGGTTTCCAAAACAAACTAGAATCAATAACTTATATTTTATGACTTTGATAATATTCGCTAATGCTATTTCTAGTGGCTGAACTTGGAAAACCTCACGCTTGAGCTTTTTATGGATAAATTTTCGGGGCTCTATTCAAGCAATGTGAAATGTGGTAATACGAAGACAGAACACGGAGAATATAACTTAGTTGCCAAGGTATTGGCGTCGGCAAGAGGGGTCGTGGGTTGGATTTCCACACGGGACAACTATTTGTACGACCTACATCATTTTTTCGGATCTAAATGACTGTCCACGATCTATGTTAGTCACTACTAGGAAATAGATCGGCGCGCGGCGCTCACTTGTGGTCCAGGCCGAGGTCGACGATGCTGGCGGCCATGTTGAGGTTGCGCGGCACGCTGCGGCCGGTGTCGAGGCGCGGCTCGCCGGCGCGGTGGAACGAGCGCCGGATCTCGCCGCACAGCGAGCGGTCCGCGCGGCTGAAGCCCGGCAGCGCGCACTCCAGCGTGGCCGCCTCCAGCGCGCCCGAGATGCGCGGGATGGTGCGGTGCCTGCGGCCGGTCACGTCACACACGTAGCGGAGGAGCCGCACGTACGGCCGCGACGGCTAGCGTCACGCGCCTAGCTGGGACGCCGCGAGGGCGCCCGCAGCCGGTGACGTCACGCGCCTATCAGGGGTGCCATGCGGGCGCCCGCAGCCAGTGACGTCACAGACCTATCAGGGGAGAATGCGGACGCCCGCAGCCGGTGACGTCACACAACGTCACACGGTCCATGGGAGAAACGAAGACCGACCTCCATGAGGACCCGTCTGGGTCGCCTGAACCGACCTCTGTAAGGTCCGCTAGTCACCCGGCTATGTCACATTTGTCCATCCGTAAACTACATCCATCTGACGCGCCCGCAAGGGCAACCGACGTCTTCGAGTAAGATTGTCGGTCGTTGCGATGCACCATTTAGGCGGGTATGATGCGACTTAAATGTTTTATCAAATATCGCCTTTTACTTGATCTCGATTACTACTAAGACCAGGTGTACTCACAGCGAGGTGTGTATGGGGTGGGCGTGCGCGTAGAAGCCGGGCACGTTGTGCGGCCGCTCGTGCTCCGGCTGCGGGGGGGGCTGCGCGGGGGGTGGGGGCTGCGGTGCAGCGACCGGCACCTGCGCCCCCCTCCCGGCGCCCCCCACGCCTCCCACGCCCCCTGCGCCCCCCACGACCCCCACGCGGCCCGCGCTGCCGAACCCCACTGCAACGACCGAGGCTCCAATTGAAACAAGACTTAATCGGCTGGAACAGAATCGTTCATCGAATAGCAATATCGAAATAGCAGAAGAAGTGTTCACTGTTGCACGAATGGGCAGGTCCGTCCGGGTAAGTACCACGACCACACAGGAGACCGGCCGTGACCCACTTTATTGAAAGGTGGCAACGTATCTGCAACCCTAAGGATGTTGCAAATATCAATGGGTGGCGGTTGCTACTTAAGATCAGGTGAACCGCGTGCCCGCTATCTTCTCACATAAAAGAAAATCTATTTCGTCCAACTCGTGTCGTTAGTCTCACCGTCCAGCCACCGGATTTCCCTGAATTTAGACCCTTTCACATTAACAGCCGGAATATTACCGTTAGGGAGGGGATGGTGTGGCAAGGCGTTGCTATCGCCAGGGTGGACTGTCTGCAACAGCGGCGCATTGTAGCAATTCTGCGTGTTGGCTATCTGCAACACGTGAGATAAATCGTTAAATTAATACCAGCCTTTAAAAAACAAACCTAACGCAGGCACATAGCCACGGCTTTGAAGTGAGTCTTTGGCTAGTTCGTTAAAATCATTCAACTATCCCATATCACATATATTACAAAACACTGGTGATTTATCTTAATAGCATAATTATCTCTATGGATCGAAATTCGACCATAATGAATTAAATGGGGAGTGTATGTAATGTTTTTTTTATTCATTTAATGTATTTTTATGCATAATTTATTATTATTGTTAATGTACAAAGGATAAAAAGTTTAGCGATCGCATGGAGGCCTTAAAATGTACCGGTATCCAATGCATTTTCTACTCTAGTAGATTTCGATAAAAAGAATAGAATTTCGACAAAGGCACAACATTTGTGTCATGTTGTAAGTGATTTTAGCTAGATTTTTTAGGACAGGCCTAAACGGCTAAATGCGAGTCGGATTCGAGCACGAAGGGTTCCGTAACATTATTTACGAAAAAATGCATATTGTATGGGAGCCCACTAGAAAATTTTTTTATTCTGTTTTTTAGTATTTGTTGTTGTAGCGGCAACAGAAATGCGTCATCTGTGAAAATTTCAACTGCATAACTTTCACAGTTCATGATATACAGCCTGGTGACAGACGGACAGACAGACAAACAGACAGGCAGACAGAGGAGTCTCAGTAATAGCGTTACCCTTTGGGTACGGAACCCTAAAAAAGGATGTATACATTATTCATAAGTATCAGTTACCTGCTGCACAGGCCTTGGTATGTTGACGTAGTGCCCCGCACACTGGACGGCGTCTGCGGTATCCACCACGGGATAGGAGCGATGGAAAGACTCGTTGTTCAACCTGGAATCGAACCCGCGACAGTAATGGCGACTTTCGGCCCACTAACGCAGACAATCTTTTTTCTATGTGACGTGGTTGTAAGTATGCTGGCGGGTTACCTGGTGCTAAGTCACCAGCCGGACCAGTTGCACGAATGGGCAGGACCGACCTGGTTAGTACCACGATCTCACAGAAGACCTGCGTTTCGTCTGATGAGTCAGGTTGCCGGGGCCCACTTTGTTAAAGGTGGCAACGCGTCTACACCGCTACGGGTGTTGCAAATGTCCATGGACTGTACGCGATCTTTTGAATCGACGGTGAGGTCGACATACCTCATGGTCTCGGCGCGGCACTGCGCCACCGCCTCCTCGTAAGGGGGCGGGGCCTCCCCTCGCGGCAGATAGTTGCTCGGGGGCTTCCAAGCCGCCAAAGCGGTCTCGCACGTGCCGCCCATATAGCCCATGCTGCCGCTTATGTAGCTGTAAGTAAAAACAAAGTACGGACAAAATATAACCCCAGTCTCTCTCTTGCTATTAATCGACAATCTCAATAAAAAGCGTTTTGCACTTCCTGAATGCGACGATATTTACCTCTCTAATGATAAATTCAGTTTTACTGGAGACGTTCAAATGAAAAGTTATGTATTGGAAAAGGTATCGCGGCATAGCGGTTCTCCTTACAAGTAACAACCTATACTGGGCAAAGGCCTCCTCTGTACAGAGAGTATCAGGACATAGACCACGACGCGGCCCCACTGCGGATTGGCGGACCTCACACATCTTCGAAATATATTTTTTGTTATTATTACGAAAATATGCATGTTTCCTCACGATGTTTTCCTTCGCCGCTGAGCACGTGATAAGACGTAGCTGTGCCGAACGAAAAATTGGGGAAGGTTAAGACTTGTTAAAAACATCTACCAAAATTTTTGGGCGCGAATCCTGTAAAGGTGCGTTCGTTTCCCGCAGCAGCGCGAAAAAGACTTTTAGTACATTTTTTTCGATAAATTTTTATGTTTTAGCTTAAGTGCAGAGTACTATAAAAATTGATTTGAATGATTGAAATTGAATTTCCGAAAGATTACTTAAGAAGCATCCATATAGCAGTTCAAGTTATGCGTGTTCTCATTCTTCCAAACTTTCCAAACGCTCGTTTCCTTCTGTACTCGATAGGATATAAAAATAATAAACATATGAATAATTTCGATAAATCATTTTATTGTTAGATATTCGTTCCTTTCAGACAGAGAGGGGGGCGCTGAATTGTGCAAACAGCATCGTAATGCTTAGGCGACGATATCATTCTGGAGGATATCATCCATTATAATCAAATGAGGAGACTATTCATCGGCCGTACTCAGACGACAAAGGGGCGGAGCAATTTCCTGTCGTCTCTCTTTCCGTTCAACGGGAGCGTCTTCGAGACTATTGAATCGGCTTTTGTGGAGCTAGTTTGTCCCTCTTGATGCGTACCGAGCAGTTACAACATAACATTTTTATTTGCAAACAACAAAATCGACTTCGCATATAATACTAAATATATACATTTTGCTTATTTATTTTGGGAGTTCCCTGATATATCCCCGAATCCTAAGGTTAAAAAAAACCAATGAAATTAATACGAGACCATTATATTAAGTTTTTAACCGACTTCAATAGGAGGAGGTTCTCAATTCGATTGTATTTTTTTTTTTGTTTGTTACCTCACAACTTGAACCGATTTTGATGATTCTTCTTTTATTTGAAAGCACCAGGCTTCCCATGTGGTCCCTATGTATTAATTTCATTGGTATTGGATCTTGGGTTCCGGAGATATTTAGAGAACTCCTGAGAGTTAATTATAAAATAAATACAGAGCGAGATATTTGAAGTCGGAATTGTTTTTCGTAAGTAAAAAAATGGTTATTACAGGGCTAATCTCTGCGCTCAAGATGAAACAGAGAAATTTGTAGAAGAATCGATGGGAACTTTATCGCCGCCAACTTTATCGCCGCCAACGCTAAACGGCTGATTTCTACGATGACGAAAATATCAACGTATTTTATCTATATAGTTTTTCACGTTCTAAGCAAATCCTTAGGACATCTATTGTTTTCCTTTACACCACTAGAACAAATTTTGTTTCTTAAAGCCTCCGTGCGATATTCCTATATCAATCAATTTCCGCAACGAAGGAAAGCTTTTCATAAATTTTTCTACTAGTTTTTAAATTAAAATCGATACATAAATGACGGATAAACAACCGAAATAAGCAGGGGATAGCCTATTTTGAAGTCGATTAAGAAGTCGTTTAGTCATAGATCGACGATAGATTGCCATATAACCATAGATGGTTAGAAATCCACAGCTTTGCGGTTCTCGGCACAAAGAATGGGGCTTCGGTGCATTACGTATATGGCATAAGACCATAAAGGGGCTTAATATTCGAGGACATTCAAGGTAGAGCTACGAACGTAAGGAAAACGGCCAATCTTTATTAACATAGCATAGCAAAGGGTCTAACTATAAAGTCATGTTTGCCATAGTTGCCAGGAATGAGAAGTATCGCGAAAAAATTAGCAACTTGTGTCACGAATTATAAAACCATTTGTGAAGAAGTTTAGTTGTATAACTAATTTATTAGGGTTTTATGTAAATCGTCGACAATACTTAATAGTGCCGTTAATAGTAAGGCCGCGGGGAAAAACTTTGCTACTCGGGCGAGCCCGAGCAGGTTGCTAGTACATTATAAGGCTTAACTAACTTGGAGATTAAGTTGTTACTTCATATTTTCTCATCCTTACTCGATATTGAGCCCCAATAATGGAAACAAAATCACTCACACCTTCCCTATTTCCCCCTTTCAATATTTATTTACGACCGTAAATCAAACTGTACATCGTATTATTTATCATACAAAGTACAGGCATCCGCCTAATGTGGTGATCAGTTCTTAAAGTATATAAATTAAGTATAAATTTTGGTAAGAAAGTATTTGTATTGACAAAATCCGTGGAGGTTCCTGCCACCCGGAGAGACAATTAAAACTACATTTATCTAATCTTTAGAATTAAAGAGACCTAATTAAGAAAATCATTATTTTGTCATTATGTCAGGAAACGACCTAAAACCACTACCTTTCGACTCTCTCATTAAAACGACAAGGGGCCTATTTCGGCGTAGAAAGGTACATAACGTATACTTCGTAAAGGTACATAGCGTATTTCCTTCACGCCCCTCCAATGTGCACAAACCCTTATTGAATGTTTCCCAAACAGAAATTTAGAAATTAAAATTTTTATAGCGCTAATCTCTGCACTTAAGATTAAACATTAAAATTCCTATATAGAATCGGGTTCGATTCCCACAGCGGCGACAATCTTTTCGTACTTTTCTACAAATTTTAACACATATTTTTTTAAATGGGTCGCTACCATCGTGAAGGTGCGTTATGGCGGCCTACCCTATGCTGGTGAGGCTCCGCTGGTCGTCGGGGCGCGGGGGGCGGCGGCGCTTGTGCGTGCGCACGCGGTACACCACCAGCGCGACGGTGACCAGCACCAGCGCCGCCGCCCCGCCAGCGGCCACGCGGACGTTCGCCTCACCATCCGCCGGCTTCACCACGTCGTCGAGGCATATGAACTCGCAGCAGGTGTTGCCGACGCGGAACGACCGACAGTCCTACGGTGTTGACGGCTGTTTTTGAGGCTATACCTTTTGGCGCGTTAGGGGGAAACGGTGAGGGTGAATTTCTCACGATGCGCGCGCGCGCCGTCACGAAAAACCGACACCCTGAAGTTGGCTAAACATCTACGTGTTTTCGTGAGAAATGACAACTGTGTTCACGATATTTATTTAGTGATATTTAAATATACTTTATTTAACTAGATAATGCGTTATAATAAAACTTTCAATGTATTAAATATCTTTTTTCTGTGGTAGTTTTTTCTACAAACGTAAAATAAGGCGAAAGACAAATTTTTTGAAAAGATTTTTATCTTGTTACGCCAAAGAAGTATAACTTCTAACGCGTGTACATAAGTACACACACATTTTTTTTTAATTTCCTTTCAAATATTTAAAACTATCGCCATAAATAGTTTTAAAAAAATGTGCCCTCGTGTTGTGTAAATACCGCCACCACCCTTGGATATCCACAACCATCGTTGACTACCATTATGTCTGGACCCCAGTTACCTCACCCGCCAGACATAGATAGAGAAGATATAAACTTGCCTTTCTATTGATTTCTATGTCTAATGATGCTTTACATGATCCTTAAGACTAAAAGCGAGAACAACACTGCACTAAACTTTGCCCAATATACAGCGTGTCGTTACAACCGCGACAATAAATGAACACACATATAACGCTACTTACTAATGATCATAAAAAAATATAAAATGTTAAAAAATTCCATAATTAAAAAAATATATTTTTCAAACAAACTAATTAAATAAAAAAGAAACAAAATTTGTAACATGCTACTGACTGATTCATACATTCAGAGACTTTTTCATTCGTTGCCAAAACGTCGCATTACAAGTCTCTCCTAACAGTATGTTTTATCTCTTTTAAATTCATTCAACCCATTCATATGCTTTGACCTTTACAAATGAACTTACGTTACAGTTTTATACATAAGCTTGTTCTAAAAATGTCTGTTTTGTAAAATTTAATAACTCTGTAAATATTGATGTTTAAAGAATGTATATGTTTAATACAATTTTAAAAAGTTATCCTCTACATGTGTGTTCATTTATTGCCGCGGTTGTAACAACACACTGTATACCGCTGAATTACCACTTAATATAAGGGGAGATAGTTGCCAACTCATATCCTGTTTATAATAATGGAAACTAACTTCAACAATTGCATTTATATACCAGAAGCTATATACATTGTTAAGGCATATGTAAAATTTACAAAAGTTTAGTCAAAATAAGTTATATTCAGCTTTAAAGCACAATTGTGAAAACAAGGATAAAATTGAAATACTAAATTCCATCTTTAAAACTTTTTTGTTTTTTATATGGATTTCCTGTTATCCACCACTTAAGCTACTAAAATGCTATAAATGTTGAGCAGCAATTGAAATGAACTTAATATATCTCATTAAAACTAAAGTAATATTTTTTTTAATCAAAGTATATGTTTTAAACATCAATTTGTTATTTTTAAAATTGAAGTTTAGAACTTTAATATTAATAATAACAGAACTACCTTTATCTTTAATTTTTAAAATATTGAGCAGGCTGATACAAGCACTATTAAATAAAAACAGCTTTGTGTGGTATCATAAAAAAAAAATAGAAGAGACATTTACAGATAAAAATTTAATAATTTAAAACATGTTTTTACAAAATTTCTTATGAATATGCTGACCTGCGGAGGCGAGCAGAGAACTGCCTTGCATACTTTGGGTAGACCATTATCACAAACACAAAGAGTACAAGTGTCAGGACCTGGTACGTAGTGTAAACCGTGAGATATAAGCCTTCCTCGTAAATCGGTGCACTCGCCTTGTGCTGCGATACCTAGAACAAAGCATTCCACTATGAAGTAACTGCCTATATTTTCCCTTAAATTACAAAGTTCACGGGTAATGTATTAACTTACTATATAAATGCAATGCCGTCAAACACAAAACAACTTTTTTCCACATTTTATTAAAACATATATTCAAAGACTAGTTTACAGAGAGACTCATTTTAGGTTTTGGGCGACTGCACGTACTTTAGACCCATTTATTTTAAATCAATATTTCCTTCGCTTACAGTTGGAAGCCCTTACAGAAGATAGGGACAGATATAAAATTGATCATGCGTCTTGAGTTCAATTCTATGATTCGAATTTGCGCCTGATGGCTTCCGTCCGAAAGCTCGTTAATAAAGTTTAAACTATAATACTATTAGAATAATTTAATTAATACACAATTTTAATACAAACATTTGTTATGAATTTATAGGTGTACGTATTAAACGAAAGGAATAAGGAAAAAGGACATTATGCTAGTATTAAATTCAGAGTAATAAAATAAATTAATTGTCATATCTTATCAGGCAATACATGCTTTTTAACTTGAATAATATTTTAATAATTTTATTTTATGGCTGTAGGTTCGATAACATCAAAATTACTTTACTCGAAACGAAAAAACATAAATGTCATTTTAACATTCGAGAGATTGGGGGTTTTCGCTCTTCGCCTTTAACTTCTATACCAAGTGATATTTTTTATGATTAAATTAAATGTTTTCTTCTGACATTAACTTTATACATCATGAAAAAGGTTTAGTCCAAAGCAACTTGAATATTGTGACTGAATATTATTGCATAGGCAAGGTTTTGGCTGAAACATCCATGTAACCAATATATGTGGTACTAGTATTAGATAATTTAAAAAATGGCTGGATTTGGAGATTACACTGGATATAACCGCCCGTTTGGTTTAGATCCAAACAGAGAAACGAATGATTTATATGATACAAGATATCAACAGATATATGGTTACCACACACCAGTAACTGAGGAATATCAGGGCCCACCTCTGGTCATGGACGACATTCCGGAAGAAGGTAGTGCCTAGAAATAAATATTTATATCAACCAAAATTTATTCAATGTAGATAGTGATGTAATTATCAAAACATATTAATTTGTTCCAGAAAATAACACATTTATTACTACAGCAATAAGTGTCGCAAGTCTGGTAACAGAGAATTTGTTGAGTCATCCATTTATTGTGCTAAGACGGCAATGTCAGGTATGTATGCTGAATTAATAATAATAACAAAACTTATCTGCAAAAACATAATTAATGGAATTATAATATTCTTTTACAAGCAATAAGATATTCTAAGAATTGCCATATATATGCTAAACAAAATAGAAGAAATAAGCATCAGCCAATGCTGCCAGAACAAAGACATTATAGACAAATATATGACATTTTTTTCAGTTGTGTCTAGTGCACAGACGCAATTGCACAAATATTTCTTAATTATAATATCATCATAATCAATGTTCTCATCTTTTTGTGAACTAATAGGTAAATCGAGGTCTCAAAAGTTATCATATAGTACCATACACCCTACTACCAGTTGTTATAAAATTGCACAGAAGACAAGAAATGACAACATTGTGGAAGGGAATTGGCTCTACATGTATTGTAAAAGGACTCAACTTGGCAGTAGAAGATGTAATATCAAAGGGTACTAGTTGGCCTAAGTTAGTACCAAACCTTTTTATTTATAAAGTAACACAACATATAGTATCATCATTTTTTAATGTAAGACAGTGATAGCATTATGGTTTGTTGATTAACATTTGATGTGATATTTGTTGTAGTAAAATTCACAAGAATTATAGACAATGTTACAACACATGAAAGTTTCTTAACCATAGTTTCTATTGTTAAACGCAAATTAAATTATGTTTTCTTTTCTGTAGATTAAAAAAAAGTGAAGTAAATTAAGGCATAGTCCACCATGTAACTCCACTGCAGATTGAAGGATTTGCCATACCTTTGAAATATTTATATTGTTATTACAAAAATATGAGGTTTTCTTCACAATGTTTTCTTTTAATAATCAGAACATGATAAATAACCACTTAAAATTAACAATTTCATTTATCATGAATTAAAAGAGAGTACCTGAACAATAAGCTATCATGGCTATCTGTCATTCATTAAAATTAAATTCAAAATTTTTATTTTGCAGGGAAATTGGAAAATGTAATTCTGTTTTGCAATTCCTTCAGCATGTAAGTTTGAAATGGTAAGCTTTTTCTATAATTTACAAGGTACAAATTCATGAAAACATCCATAAAGGCTCCAGCAGGATTTTGATGGCAGTATTTTTATATGGCATTGTTCTAAGCCAAAGTTAACTGTAATTGCTTGATAATATAGATTGATGTATTTTTGAGAAGTTGGATATATTATGATTAGTGATGTTCCAGAAATCCGTATCCGTATCCACGGATATCCATCAGAAAAAAGATACTTGTATCCATATCCACTACATATTTGACAGATCTTTTACGGATCTTTATCCTTATAATCGTAATAAAATGATAATTCTAATTAAGTAAATTAATACACTGTGACACTCAAGGTGTTAACTTTTAATTAAAAACACAGTGACAATTAAAGGAAATGTAGTTCAAAGTGTAACTTGTCAGCTTTATCCCCCAAAAGTCATGATAAAAGATAAATATGTGCGAGCATTATAAACATTTTGGGACATAAACTTTTAACACAACATTCTCCAGGCCCAAACTAAGCAACGCTTGTACTATGGGTACTATAAAACTGATAAACACACTTTTATTTTATAAATAAATACATATTATACATTTATAAACAACCAGACACTGTTCAACAATGTTCTTCACACAATATTTTTTCCATAGATGGGATAGAACCCACACTATCGGGCGCAAGAGGCAGGTTCACAGTCAAGTTGTATGACTGAGTCCTCCAAACTAGACTCTGGCAAAAATCATGGGTTTGTCATTAGTACTTTTTTAGTTGCCTGTGAGATTTACTTCATTCTTCTTCAAAGTTGTAAGAGATTTTTTTTATTCCTTTGACCCCTAAAAATGTGGCTACTTGAAGCAATTTTTCTTATCAATTTCTGAAAAACTAAAATCTAATTTATCCTTCGAATTAGACACAAAATCAAGGACGGTGGAGACACTAATATTGAGATTTTCCTGGATATTAAGTTAAGATCCGTATCCGCGGATTTTAATGCCAATGATTCGTATTCTCATCACTAATTATGATTGATCTATTTTTTTTATTATTATTGCAATCTAGCTTGAAATGTTTTTAAATAATAATTTTCTAATATAGACAGTGATTATTTAAAATGCAGTATGAAAAGTACTAATGGATTGATGGCCAATTTGAATTTTGCTAAACTATGCCACATAATCAAATTGATTAGTTGGCTAAATCTTTAAAATGGTTGGTTTATTTTATCAGACATAGTCTTAAGATGCATCTGACTGACACAAAGCTAATGTAACAGTTCCAATGGGTTTGGACCTCATGATTAGAATTATTACATTACTATGATTATTAACAAGCACATAATTTTGACACACATGTGCTTACATGTGTTGACCCTACTTATAGAGTACACTTAACATATATTGGAGAGGTTGTCGGTTGAGAGTTTTCTGTTAAAGAAGCAGGAGGTTCAAAGTAATTACTGCCACCCATGGACATCCACAGCTCCTTTTGGAGATGCAAATATGTCACAAAATTTTAAGTAATCGGGACACAGTCACCTCACGTACAATACTCAATACAAAAGTATTATACTTCTACTTCAAGCTTGCCTTCTATGATAGGAATGTTGAAAGCGAAGAAATATACCGAAATTTATAAAAATATCAATATCGGCTTCGACATATCGATATTTTCTGTTTAGGACAGGTTGACCAAATAAAAGGTATGTCAAGTATTAAATTTTTGACATCTAAAGACTGCCGGATTCGAATTTTTACATCCCTATTCTATAACGCTGACTCACTTTCCCGTAGGAGCCTTTCCCTCCTCACAAAAGCAAAAGCTTCTGTATGACTACTACAGGTAAAAAAAAATTTAATATTTTTTTTAGCATCAGCCTGGCTATAATTACCCCATTCTACTCTGCAAGTTTAGTGGAGACAGTTCAGAGTGATATTGCAAGCGATAAGCCAGCACTGCTAGATGTATTTCGTGAAGGATTCCTACGTATTTTAGAATGGGGATCCCCAAGCAGAGGCAGGATGCTGCCTATTTGGGCTATTGTGCTGCCGACAGCTGGATTAGGAATATCAAAATACTTAGCCCAGTATGTAATACTGTTTTTTACCTTTTGTATTCCTATTATTTTCATGCCTGTATGCCTCCGCGTATTCTTTGTCTGTGTGTAAAAACTAGTCTATATAAGACTAGTTTTTATATAAAATTTTTGTAAATAATTGAATTGCAAATGCTTACTTTAATAATTAGTAAAACAGAAACAATAATTTACTTAGTTATCAGTTTGTTCTCTTATTATTATTGATGTCCTTTTAAAATTTTATTTTTTAACAGCTTACTATTAAGAAAGATTACTGTAAAAGCACTACGGTTCCAACAAAGACACCGTCATGAGTTGAGCGACTCATACAACTCAAACTTTCCAAAGAACACTCAGAATCCACTTATAGAAGACATCAATTTGAAAGCAAATATCTTTTCATTCATAACTATGGAAATTATCTTCTATCCAATAGAAACAATTATTCATAGACTACATATACAGGTGAGAAACAATTCCAGATTAAAAAACATTCCAAATACTTCATATTTCTAAAGATAAGTTATAATTTTGCACCAACATAATTTTCATTAATATTTCAGGGGACCAGAACCATCATAGATAATTTGGACACAGGTACCTCTGTTACACCTATCTTAACTGGGTATGAAGGATTCTTAGATTGCTACAATACAACTATTGCAAAAGAAGGTGTATCGGGTCTATACAAGGGCTTTGGTGCATTAGTTTTGCAATTGGCTGCACATTTAGCTATCATAAAATTGACCACTATAGTAGTAACCGAAGTTTCGAATTTGCTTAAACCAGCCAACACTCCTACAAATTCAGAAGGTTCAGTTCAGTCACAACAAAAGTACATTTTTAACTAAATTACTCATGCAAATAGTTGTTTCTTATAAATGTGATCATAATAAATACTATAAATTAGCAGATTTGAGTAATTAGTTACTACAATCAAAATTTATATCTGGCAATTCATGTTTGTTGTGTTTTTTATAATTAAATTATTTGGTTAGATGTAAGTAAATGAGTTCAGCTTTTCTTGTAAGTTATGTTTTTGAATCAGTTGTTTGAAATAAAAGTCATACATAATAATTGTTTTATTCTTTAATTCTTATCTAAAACTATGTATATAATATACAACCAAAAACCTAATGAGTCAAAACAAATCTACCTTTTAATAACCTACGCATAATAACTCTACGGCCGTTTGGCGTTGACATTCTAGCCTTCCAACCGTGACGGCGTACGCGTCGAACTTCATTGGGACGTGGGAAATAACAACGTACTTTGTTTCTTATGGTAGTAAACAGATATGAATCTGCTTGCACTAGGCTGTTACTGCTAGTAGTTTGAGTTACAGTCTGAAACCTTTGAGCGACATACCTGAAATGTTTAATTACAAACCTTAGTAATTCAATTTTCGAAACGCTAAAATTACAGGTTCTCAATCTGATATCATATCTTTTAGGGTTATGAATTTTAAAACAAATGGAATAGTCATGAATTTTAAATACATACCGTAATGGTTGTAAAATTCCTGCCATAAGCCTAGACATATTTTGAAAATAAATACTTTTCTCTAATTTCTCTTCCGCACTAATATTCAAAGAGAATGTAATCACTACGTTTATAATATTATTAATAGTCGGATCGCCAATAGCTGTCACTTATCACCAGTGTTACCAAATGTTGAAAAAAAAACTCCTAAGGAAATTCAAAAACCTAAAATCCACTGTTTTCTAAAAAAAACTTCCTAAATTTAAAAAATTTACCTATTTTTAAATTATCTAACAAGGTAGATCAAAACTGTTTTATTTAAAAATTAATTTAATTATACTTCACCTTGAACATTGTTCATTGACTTGAAAAATATTTATACATTTTATTGTGACGTTATAATTATTTTCATTATTTTTAAGAATCAGACAATAAACAATGGGAATAAGTATCATTATAAAAGATCTGAATTAAACATGCCTTTAAGTTTTTGATCACAATTTTCTCACCCTTTGGCATTTTATATTACTTATTGAATGAATATATTACGAGTAGACGTATATTCACAATAAGCGTTTATGGCGGAACAATTTAAAATACTACTTAAGCCAATGCAGCCAACTATAGTCACTGTTATACACAATATACAAAGCTGCCAATACAATTATATTATATTTTGTGTTTAAAATTGTATGGGTTTTTTTTCATACATGTGAATAAAATTTTATTCCTAAAAATATTCCCAAAAAATTTCTCCTCCTAAAAAACTTCCATTGTAAACTTTTTCTTCCTAAATTTAGGAAGAAAACTCCTAAGTTGGCATCCGTGATCACAATATGTTTTTCAGGTGTCATTTAACTTGTGATACTTTAAATTGTAAGTTTTTTAATATACTGCACAAATAAATACTATAAAACACGATAAATAGTTTAAAAATAGAAATAATTAATATTTTAAAATATATTAAACATGTTTATTTGACACGATTAATACTTTCGTTTTTTTTGCTGGTACGTTAATACTTTATTAGAGCTGATACTTTTTATAACATTTCTATAGGTCATTTTGAGATCCATTTGATCATTTGAAACGGAACGTTCAAATTTCTACTGTCGATACGATATGAAAAACTGAATATGGCGGACAAAAATAACAAGGGCGCTAAAAGATTATTTTCTATATTTGTGATACATTTGTAAAAAGCACAACAGTAAATTGTATATAAGTGTTATGTTTACGTATTATTTTATTAAGATATTATTGTGGAATTGTGAGTATCATTAATGATACTATTATCGAAGGAATATAACATTGCGTACTTAGTATATTATACTTTTATTTTGTACTTCTTCAGTCGATTGTTATACTCAAGACAAAAACAACTTTTGTTACAGATGCAAAATGTCAGCGATTAAAGTGAATTTTGAGATTGGACATAAAGCGTCATTAAAATCTAAGAAGACACCAGAAGGATTCACTCATGACTGGGAAGTCTTCGTTCGCGGTCAAGAAGGCGCTGATATAAGTCATTTTGTTGACAAAGTAGTTTTTCACCTGCACGAAACTTTTCCTAAACCAAGAAGAGGTAATATTTCCTGCCATGCTTAAAAGATATTAAATAAAATCTTAAATGGAAATATTTTGTTTACAGTATTGACAATTTTAAAGTTGTTTACATTTTATAATTCACTGATTACTCAACTTTTTCTCATACATTTTTTTATGTAGTTTTGAGTTATAAAGGTTTATTTTTAGAAATGTTTTCTCTTTTTATAGGTCCCTTTTTTATTCAAACAGTATCCATATTGAATTTAACAGTTTTTATTTGTATTTTCCAGTTGTTAAAGAACCACCATTTTCCATAAGTGAGTCAGGTTATGCAGGCTTTTTTTTCCCAATTGAAATATACTTGAAAAATAAAGATGAACCTAAAAAGATCAAATTTTCATATGATTTTACATTACAACAAAGTGGATGTCTCAAGGATAGATATATTTTTGAAAACCCAAATGATGACTTTAGAAAGAAATTGTTGAAAGGTGGAGGAATACCTGTTAGCAATAATGCATTTTACACAAATCCTGATCAGGAAAATCGCAGTAGAGATTCATTTACAGAAGAAAAACAACAGCTAGTAAGCAAACCCAAATTGTTTTTAGATAATACTAAAAAATATAAAACAAAAGAGTTCAAAGAAGAGGTACCACCTAAAACCAGCAGTTTTGAAAATTTATTTGGGCCTCCTATTCAAAAGCCACCTAAAGTTTCTCCAGATCCCAAAAAAGTTGAGAAAAATATTCCTACTGTTAAGCTAGAGAAAAAGAGCAAAGATAGATCAAGCTCTGATAAAAAATCAAAACATGAACATAAGGAGCCCAAATCCGAAAAAATTAAAGTAAAAAATGAAAAAGAGAAAACAAGATTTGAAAAGGTGAAAAATCATAAAGAGACTGAAAGATCAAAAGACAAACCAAGCAAAAGGCCAAATGAAAGACCTCCTTCACCAGAGATAGTTAAAAAACGCTGTGTTAGTCCAGTAAGAAGGCCACCAAGTCCATCACAAAGATCTAACAGTGCATCCAGCATAAAAGAAGAATATAAATCAAAACATATAGCGGAAATATTTGAATCCAAAAAGCCAAAAAATGAAATTGAATCAAGACCTGTTGAAATCAAAGTAGAAAAAGAGGGTAAAGAGAAAAAGAAAAAAGAAAAGAAAAGCCATGATAGGGACAAAGAGAGAAAGGAAAAAAAAGAGCACAAGAAGGAAAGTCATAAATTAAAAGAGTCACCAAAAGAGCAACTTAAAGAACTGACGAAAGAAAGCCCAAAAGTCAAAGAAGTAATAAAAGAAAAAGAACCAATAAAAGATTTGTCTCACACAAGAGATAAACCACCAAAATCTGAAAAAGCAATTAATAAATTTTCAATAGAAAATCTAAGAAAAACCCCTCCACCAGATGGTGAAGAAAATGTAGAAGGTCGTAAAATAAAAGAAAAAGGTGATTCAGAAAGAAAGCACAAGCATAAGAAAAAAGATAAAAAAAGGGATGAATCAAAAGAAAAGCACAAAGAATCAAATAAAGAGAAGAAAAATAAACATGAAAAAGTTAAGGAGCCTCCACCAGAAAAACCTGAAATAATTGAGCATAGAGAAACACCAGGCCTCAAGGAACACTTAATACCAGAGCCAGCATCTCCTATATCTATTGACACAGCATCGCAATGTAGTTCGAAGAGTGGTCAAGTAAAGAATTCACATATAAGCATAGAAGATGTTAATAGTAGTCATTCAGATTCTGAAGTGTCAATAATAGCTGATGATGATGATGTTAAAGAAAAGATTGAAAATCCTTCTCCTGTTATAAAGCATGAGCCCTCACCAGAACCAGAACCTGAACCAGAACCAGAAATTGAACCCGAGGTAGAACCTATTGTTGAGGCTCCACCAGTACAACAAAAGGAGAAATCTAAAAAACACAAGGATCGTTCATCAAAACGTGAGGAGAAGCGTCGGAAACGAAAAGCAGCGGAGGAAGAAGAAATTGAGAGTAGAAAAATTGTGAAAGCTAATGAATTAGGTACTGCAAACAATGAAACTGGTGAAAGTAGTGGATCAGTTTCGGCCGAAACTAAAGTGCAAGACAATGGTGTGTCCAGTAGCCTGGGTGAGGATGCTGAGCCTGGGGACTTATCACCGGACTACATGGTACAACTGCGAGGTCTACAGCAACGTATAATGATGATCAAGAACAATGAAGATTTAGAAAGGGTTGTGAATCTTATCGCTGAGACCGGAAGATACGAAGTGACTACTCAAACATTTGATTTTGATTTATGTTTATTAGACCGCTCAACGGTGCAGCGGCTGATACAGTTAGTGGGTTGCTAGCCGTGTTGGAGTCTTGTTGAAGTTTTTGTAAATAGCGCTTATTAGATAGCATATGGCAACTGTACAGAGAAAATAGAAATAAATTGCCTATGGCAAATATTAGGCAAGTAATATTTGCAACATTTTTGTAACAGTGCAAAATGCTTGTCTCCATATGTAATTGCATGGTTTTGCAAACAAATATAAGATTTATTAAAGTTAAGAATAATCTCATATACATTTACTATTAATAGTAATAGTTTCACATTACTCATCACTGGAGTTTTTAAGTGCAATACTATAGGCATAAAGTTATAAGACTGTTGAAAGATTGTTATAACATATTGTATATTTTGTACATTATTGTATTGATTCATTATAATTTTAAGTTGAAGATTTGGAGAGTTTTTAATTAACCTCCTGAGTTGATGGACTATGAGAGGCTATGTTTATGTATGGTAGTCAAGATTGTTGCATTTCAAGTTAACATATTAGTGAACATAAAACCAGAGTAATAGTATTTATTTAAATCTTAACCTTTTAATTTTTATTGTTTATTTCCTAATGTATTTTATATTTGGCATTCAGTTTTACGTAATAATCTATGGGTAATTATAATGGCATCACAATTAAAATTAGTGTAGTTTTTATAAGTGATTGTGATTTAACATTAGTAATTATGAATTACCTAACATTTTTAATATTGAAAAAACGTCCTATGGTCTATATCCTCCTGCCAGTTTCTTTTATTTATGTTTGTTATGTAACTTATAATTTTTAATTTATCCTTATTTTAGGTATATATTTGAAAAAAAATAAATAGAGTGTATTTTAATTACTTTTTTGTTTTGGCCTTTCCATTGTGTTATTGTTATCAAAGTCGCACTAATATTACACGCACCATCCATATTACGTTGTTTTTTATTTTATAATGTTCGTTAAAAAAAATTAGTTGTGAAGTCTAGTATGATGTTCGACATTAGTTACAACACGGTGGCGCAGACACTTAGCTATTGGCTTCGGTGCCGGTGGTCATAGATTCGTTTCCCACACGGGACAAGTATTCGTTTGAACCACAGATAATTTTGTTCCGGATGTAGGTGTTAGTTCCTAAGAGGGTGTGACGTCTGACAGGTGGCCAGTGATATAAAAAGCCAATACCACTTGCAAAATAATTTGCATGCGGTGCCTCCCCCATACGGGTGAAAAGGGCAGGAAGAAAGAAATAGTATCCTGGCGGATTTGACAGCTTCATCGGAAGAGATTTTTTAGATGATCTTCTGAAATATTAATAACGCCAAATTTATTTGACATTACTTTTTGTTGCATTATTACATGTACACGGTTATTGTGATGACTTACGGTATTCATTTTATACATCTCAGCTTTGGTGAAAGTAAGCATGTCTTTGGCAATAAAAATAGCTTTTACGTTGTGTGAAAAGAAACTAGGGCGGAAAAGATTTTGTTATACAGCGTGTCGTTACAACCGCGACAATAAATGAACAAACGCCTAACGCTAATTGCCAATAATCATAAAAAAATATAAAACGTTAAAAAATATATTTTTCAAACTAATTAAATAAAAAAGAAACAAAATTTATATCACCTTTAAACTATTCTATATATCATCAACTATCCTATATATCATTCGATGCCACAACGTCGCATTTCAAGTCTCTCCTTCAAACAGTATGTTTTATCTCTTTTAAATTCATTCAACCCATTCATATGCTTTGTGACCTTTACAGTTTTATACGTAAGGCTGTTCTAAGATTGTTTGTTTTGTAAAATTTAATAACTCGGTAAATATTGATGTATAAAGAATTTAAATGCTTAATACAATTTTAAAAAGTTATCTTCTATATTTGTGTTCATTTATTGTCGCGGTGGTATCGACACGCTGTATAAAACACTAATTCGTTTTTTGAAAAGGTGTTTTATGAATTTGTGTTCATTACTTGATTAAACATTTTAATAAAATTAATTTACGGAATTTACCGCAATTTATTTAAATATTAAACTACGACGTTTCGAACGTTTTCAAAGATAATCAAAAAGGACTGGACTACCTAAAATTTTCCATTACAACTGGATTGTATACAACGCATAAGATTCACTTTTTATTCCCAGATTTAAGGAAGGAGCCTTAAAGTCAAGAGAGTTAGTAGGTTAAGAGGTCGTTTGTACCTTCTAACAACTGTCATTCGAAAAAATATTGACTAATAGCTCAGTTTAAACAATAGAAAACTTGCTAATACTTTTATATTCGACTATTGGCAGGATAACAAAGTGTGTATGTGTACCGCATGCCTGTGTTTTTTTTAGTATCCTCCTGTCTATTACAAGTGATGAAACAAGAATAGAACACATCTGAAAATAACTCTTTTTTTATTTTAAGTTATCAGTGTACCGCTGAAAAGGATTATAAGAAACAACACAATAGCTCTCAGAACAGCAATTTAACATACGCAAACAACAGAATTTCTTAAAATAGTGGTAAAGCCCTCTGGCAACCGTATTCGCTGCGAAGGAGGTATCACGACCTACGAAGACCGTCCGAAGTTCTTACCGAAAGAACGAGCATTTGGAGCGAGGCCTAATTGTGTTTTCAGTAAACGCAGTCTTAAAGTGGTAATGACATCCACATTACCACGGCACTCAGGTCGAACCCTAGGTTAGGGCGTTTCTGTATAATTTTTTGCAGAATGCAAACTGATGACTCGAACATTTTGTTTTTTTTTCCTGTTCAACCTGCAAGCAGTCATCTAAACTATAATCAGGTAAGTTGTAAGAGGTTGGAGTTTGGCGAGGTGGAGCCATTGCTCCATCTCCCCTTAGTAAGGCAGCACATCAGCTCTCTTGAGTCTTCTAATCGGATTTGGCTGCAGGAGCATACTGGATGGGTTTGGATGAGTTGTCAAACGGTCCTTGTAGTTGGCTGAGTATCGTTTCACTTCGTCCAAGACTTCTGGAATTTCTAGGTACTCATGGATTTCCGAATTGCGAGCATACCAGGGCGCCGATGAAATCACCCTCAAGATATTGTTTTGAGCTTTCTGGATGAACATAATGTTGGATTTGCTGGCTGTCGACCACAGCTGGATTCCATATGTCCAGATTGGTTTTATTATTGAGGAATATATCCTTAACTTGTTGGATAGGGATAAGGCAGACTGTCTACCGAAGAGCCAGAGGTTTTTAAATCTTAGATTCATTTCATTGCGCTTCGTTTTTATATGATCTTTCCATGTCATTCTACGATCCAGGTGAAAACCAAGGTACTTAACGCAGGTTGATTGTGGTAATGTGTCCGGTTCTAAGTTGACGGGTGGGCATGTTTCACGTCTAAGAGTAAATGTGATATGATGAGACTTTGGTGCACTTGCTTTTATGCGCCACTTGGTCAGCCAAGCATTGGTGGTATTGAGCTGGGATTGCAATGATCTGCTCGCTTCATTTGGGTCACGGTTACAACTAATGAAGGCCGCGTCATCGGCAAAGGTCGCTACAGCTGTTTCAGGTGATTGGGGTAAGTCACAAGTAAATATGTTGTAGAGTACTGGACCAAGTACGGAGCCCTGGGGCACGCCGGCCTTGCAGCTAAATAGAGAAGATCTTGCGTCGCGTAGTTTGACTTGAAACTTTCTGTCACTAAGATATGAGTCCATCAGCAGGTAGTATGAGTGTGGAAGGTATTTTTTGATTTTACACAGTAGTCCTTTGTGCCATACCCGGTTAAAGACTTGTTGTACATCAAGAAAAGCAGCTGACTCGAACATGAACGCTGTATAGTATACGAAACTTTGGCATTTACTTTATATATAACCCGCCAAGAAATTTTTTTGTGACGTGGTTTGCTGTTAGCATTCTCAAAATCTTATTAATACGCAAATATAATATGTTATATGGCTCAATCATGTTCACCTCTTTTTGAAGTAATCGTCTTGAAATTTTAGAAAAACGCCTTTTTTTATTTATTTACTACTATATTACTTATAAACAAGTACATATAATGAAACAAAACATCTGAGCTCGTAGATATTTTATTAAATGAAACACAAAATAACATAATGAATTTAATGAAAGTTAAGTAATGTACGAACCGACAAATACGAACGAACCAATGAAAATGCCGACATAACCCATTCGAAATAAACGACGAAATGAAACTCATAACGTCACAACGTATTACACAGCGACGTGCATGCGTCGCACGGCCACATCGCGAGTGAGGCGCTCGCGGGCGACAGATTAAAAACGGCCCACAGAATATATATCCCAATCCATAAAAGCGAATTTGCCGATCGCACGTGTCGCTCGCCAACGCGCGCCTGTCCTCTGTCAGTCGCGGCTGGAACGTCGGCGGGTGAGGGTCGCGGCGTCCGCTCCTCCGCAGCAATCGAGACCGGGGTGCGACGGGGGGCGCGTTCACCTCTTCTTGCCGCTCTTGTGGACGGTCTGCCGCCACCTGGCGTAGAAGTCGCCGATGTACTCGACCGACACGCCCGCCGCCCGCGCGGCGTCGGCCAGGCCGGGCTCCTCGCACTGCCCCGCCCCCGGCTCGGTGCCCACGAGCAGCACCAGCAGGGGGGCGGCCTTCCCGTGCACCGACTCCGGGTCGCCGCCGCCGCCTTGCCCTAGAAAGAGGAGAAATATATCGATATTTGTACAAATATCAATATATCGAATATAGATCCTAGAAACCCGGTTGTCATAAAAATGTTGCAGATTCGAATTGGAAAAAAATATCGTTTTTGACACGATTTGCGATATTGAATCATCGAAATAACACACCCTCTACAGATGAAGTCTTTTTCCAGCGGTGGGACATTTATAGATTTATAAACGGCTGTTTACTTTGTATATAATCAAAAATATCAATACACCAATATTTTTTCGAGACACCCCTACCTTGCGCCCCCCTCTCGCTTTCGACGAAGTGGTTGCAGAACTCTAGTATCTGCACGTAGTTGGGCACGCGCTGCGGCGGTTTGCGCGCTTGCTTCGACGGCGGCAGGGGCAGCGGCCTCGACTGGCCGGGCCGCTGCGTCCTGACGAATCGCGAGCCGCTCCTCAGCTGCACCTCGAGCCAGCGGATCGCGTCCCTGGCCGAGCTGCGCTCGCGCTTCAGCTCGTCCAGCTCTTGCAGTACTGGGGGAACGTCCCACGGAATGGCGCATTAGCGAATGTTATGAATGAATGAATGAATTATTGCTTGCTTAAACTGACGTGGAATGCCCCATTAGCGAGTGTTATTCATGCATGAATGATTGTTTGTTTAAACTGATGTTAGCGCTTTCAGTCCGTAGACTATTAAAGCTTCATAGAACGCAGAGCCCACGTGTTTGAGGCCCTCCACAGTTGGTAGGACCGCGCATGTGCCCATCCGTGCGTTAACTAAGGAGTGCCGTATACGGGCTATTGAGGTTCGATGCGGACCGTAACCCCGATGGTCGTTGACTGTGCTTGTTTAGTCTGTGGCCGGGGGCGGTGAGAACCGCCCTGGAGCGCGGGTGTAGCTAGTGTACGCGTTAAGTTAGTTTCGCCGTGCCATGTGATGACTTTGTACTGCGCTGGTGGTCCCGCCTCGGAGATGCTGTTTGCGCTCGGACATAGTTCGTGCGAGGGAAGCGGTAATTTCCCCTCGTCCGAAATGTTGCACTAACTCATTTGGTTGTGTTTTTTAATGTGAGAAGGCTGCAAGCGAGCTGGCGGTTCAACCGATGTTAAGTGACAATCGTCACTCGCAACACCCGTAGGATTGCAGAAACGTTGCCACCCTTTAATAACGTTAGCCCCAGCTTTTTCAATCACCAGACGAAAGGCAGAAGTATAACACTTACACTAGTACACTTCACTCCGGTCTTCCGTAAGGTAGTCGTACCCCCCTGGACGGACCGGCCCAGTCGTTGAAATGCATTATTAGCGAACGTTGAGACGTTTTTTTGAAGTAATACTTATCTTGGCGCGTTTGGGAAAATTTATGAGAGTGAATTTATGCGCTACACTAAATTCATGGCAAACAGTAACAACTTTTTAAAATTTACCTATAATTCAAAGTTATATAATTTAAGATTTTAGTTATTTTTCCTTATGTTACGCTAAGGAAGTATAAGTTGTTGACCGCGTGCATAAGTAAACGAAAGACATTATCTCATGATAACTATTTGTACAGTTTTTAACTTAACTGTTTTATAAAGTAATTGGAATATAAACCAGCTGATCGTAGGCCATACAAAATGATATACATATAAATATTTCAACATAATTATACATATTTGTACTTATGATGCTGTAGTGGATGAAAACTATAATATAACGACATCCATACTATGGTTGTGCGGACGTGCGGTTTGCGCTATATTGATAAGGCAGTTCCAATTTTAAATGATAAAATGTGTAAACAATGAATGGTTATTTTTATATAGAACTTTCGCTTTTCGGCCCATGGACATTTCTTCATCTTGAAAATCGTCCAGGGTTGAAAAATAAATTGAACACTCGTGGTCGTCAGCCTTTTAAAAAACCGGCCAAGTACAAGGCCGACTCACGCACGTATGGTTCCGTACCTTTATCTCTTCTTAAATATTTTTTATCTGTTTTTTACTACTTGTTTGTTACAGCGGCAACAGAAATACATCATCTGTGAAAATTTCAACTGTATACCTATCACGGCTCATGAGATACAGCCGACAGACGGACGGACAGACAGACAGCGGAGTCTTACCTCTGCTCGGCGGTAATGTTTTAATGATGAGGTTAACTAACAGTGATTTTTAAAAAATAAAACTATGTTTACGGATTTACGGAACCCTTTAAGAGATGTCCGGAAAAACTACTAATAATGGAGTGAACAAGAAATAAACAGTGACTGTGTTAAAATTAATCTATATCTTATATAAAAATGGATTGCTGTTCGTTAGTCTAGCTAAAACTCGAGAACGGCTGGACCGATTTGGCTAACTATGGTTTTGAAATATTTGTGGCAGTAAAGGGAAGGTTTAAACGAGAAGAAATTATGGAAAAAATGCATGGAAAACCGAAATAGCAACAATTTTATTTTCCCATACAAACTGTACCTGTCAACTATGTCTGTGTAACCTGTTGAAAACTATGCGAGCGGTTCCGATTCCTCTAGAAATATTTATATGGCAAAACAAAGTTTGCCGAGTCAGCTAGTAATTATATAAAAATTGATTGCTCAATTGTTAGTCTCGCTAAAACTCGAGAACGACTGGACCAATTTGGCTAATTCTGGTTTTGAAATGTTTGTGGCAGTTCAGGGAAGGTTTAAACAATGAGAAATTATGGAAAAAATGCATTGAAAATCAAAATAGCAACAATTTTATTTTCCCATACAAACTGTACCTACCTGTCAAATATTTTATGAGTCCTTCCCAAAATTCTTTTTCTATGTGTTCAAATTCACTCCTAGAAATAATTTATATGGGAAAACAACGTTTGCCGGGTCAGCTATTTGTGTATACATATTACATGTTTATGTTTTGCTGTATTTTTTCCTTTTTGTTGGAGAGTTGTGTACAATAAGTATCATGGTAATGTATATCATGTACAAATATTATACCCAAACTTCTATATTACAATGGAAGCCCCTAAAAATTGTTTAGAATTTTTGCTACAGTACATTATCAACTAACCTGTGAAAGACCTCTAATTGTCTTTCTCTTATGCTACTAATACTAGCAAAGTAAATAGGGATTATAATTATAATAATTTAATTATTTATTAAACCCTTTTTATTCGTATTTTTGTGGACAATCCTTATATACTATACTCCATAGCCAGTAATGTATTCAAACAAGACACTTTTGTCGTGTAAAATAGAATATCAATGTAAAAGCTTTATCATATATACAATATACGAAACTCACCAATGGTGGGAACAAGGAATATGAAGTTCCTGGTTCTCAACAGTTGCTTTACTCGCTTCAAATGTTTGTATAGAGCGGCCGTGTCCAGAGCAAGCAGAGAAGGTGCCGGAGTGTGGCCGGTCCGCTCCAACTCCTTGACTTGAGATACCAGCCAGAGACGCCCCAAGCGACGAAGTAAACCGCCCTCTCGGTTTTCGACCTGAAAAAGAGATCAAAACTTTTACTGTGATAGGCCATGCAAAATTTTCTCATACAATTCAAGTGTATATCCCAATGCCAATCAGCAGTGGTTCGCGTGATAGACTAGGCCCAAATACCTAACTTTGTATTGAAAATAAAGGTTGAAGTTTTCACAACTTAAATTGAGTGTATCATCATCATCATTTCAGCCTGTTTGAGTCCACTGCTGAACATAGGCCTCCCCCATACACTGCCATGAAGTACGATCCTGAGCCACCTGCATTGAGTGTATACATTTAAATAATTCTCATTGTTTTCTTAATTTTACGCGAATATTATACATTGTGAAATGAAACTACTTTATGGATTGTACCGGGTTTAATTATATTTTTAAATTCCCCACGTTTAGAATTCTTTCCAGTATTCATGGTCAAGGACAGTCCATCCCTAATTTCTCCCCAATTTTATATCGTGTTTAAAAAATTATATTTTTACTAATGAGGTATAAAATAATCTTTTTTATCTGAGAATGTGGCAAGCCAGCTGATGGTTCACCTGATGTTAAGTGATAACCACCACCCATGGACATTTGCAACACCTGTAGGTTTGCAGATTGCCACCTTTTAAAAGAGTGGGTCCAGGCTACGTCAATCACCAGACTAAACACAGAAGTATAACACTTTCACTTCACGCCGGTCTTCTGTGAGGTTGTGATATTTCCCCGAACAGACCTAGCCATTGTGCAATAGAAGACTGTTGCATGGTCCTACTACAGGCGATATAAAATATGTAAATGTGTAAAATATAAATGGGCTATGAAATGTAGTCTCTGTTATTCTTATCTGATTTCTGTTAAATTAGTTTTACTAAAAGAGGAACTTACTGGTTTTTTGGAATTGTGCCAGTCTCTATTTCTCTTATGATTAACTTTTGTACTGACTTTGGGAGTCAAAAGTTTTCTCAAGTAGAATATTTTCATGGATCTATTGAATCTTATCCTTGGTACGATCTTAGCAATCTGGTAACCAAAATCAATGAAATTAAGCATTCTGATAATATTCTCCTCGTAAAGAGACGGTTTATACTTCGCCAATAATTGCCATTCCGCCGCGTCTTTGTCGAACTTGCATATGTTTGTTCCCCTTAAATTGATGTCCTCTGGCAATGGAATGGTCTTGTACTCAAGTTTCAATCTTTTGACAACTGACTTGGCGTAATTTAAAACTTTACAGTCCTCCGACGGAAGCTTGTTGTGGCCCTTAGAGTTGAAATAATACAAAAATATATTCAGCAGATCCACAACACACTGAAATAGGGACTCACCACTCTCACCACAAGAGAGTATAAGATCTTTCTCTGTAAGAACCCAATCCTGCAATAATTTGATACTTGGTAGGAAGTTATTGCCCATTAAGAAATTTTGAATCCCTTCTACGTCTAATTTCCTCTCTCCATTACATTCTGCAGTTTCATCAACATTTGTATCAGATGTACAGTTTTGCGAATCCACTTTAATTTTTGTGTACTCTTTTGTTTTGCTGTGCAGGTCATTTTTGGCATTCCCATTTACAGGTAGATCTTCAGTGTCACTATCATCATAGATGGAACTTTTAGAATCATTATCAGACTCATAGGTGGAATCAGATTGTTCTTCGTTATTTGAGGCCTCTTCGTCATTGGACGCTGATTTATCAGTTTCAAACTCGCTGCTCTCTGAATCCACATCGCTTAGATCAGAGCTCTCTGAGGACATTACACGCCGTCGGCGTCTACGTTTTGTTAAAATTTTTTTACTACTTTTTGCATCTCCATTGATCTTAACCTCTTCATTGTCAGTGTCTTTGTCATTTAAGATAGTCTCATTGTTGACATCATAACTTTTATTCCCATTAACAATCACAGTATCTCCCAATTTCTGGTCTTCATCTTCATCATTCCTGTTACTTTTATCCTCCTCTTTAACTTGTCTCAGTTGTACCCTTGGTGTATATTTGTATGCAGGACTTTTTAATCCAAGGGATTCCAGTTGTTTGTGTAGTTTCTGCAGCAGTTGCGATAGGAAGGCCAAAGTAAATGCTTTGCAAGCAAAGGCCTTAGGCTCATCTGTCTCTATCATTTTTGCATTTGTAAAAAGGCAAATTTCCACAATATTGTGAATCAGACTAGAGTTAAGATATGATGGGTTAATATGTTCATCCTCAATAGCTTGAGAGTATTCTGTGTAATTTTTGTTTATATCTGGTAAAGGGTTCAAATTAAAATCCATTCCAATTTTAAGCTTTTGAGCAATACTGCTACATAATTTTGGAACATGGGTGTCTTCTTTTCCAAGATACCATATTTCAGTAAGAGAAAGAAACTCAGCAATAGTATTTTGAACATGTTCAGTCTGAGAATATGTTTCAGTATCATTGATTGTTTCAAGAAACTGGTTGTTTTTCTCAAAAATTTTTGTCAAATTACCAATTGCCCCTTCAAATGGTGAGACGGAGCTTAGACAATGAATGTAATAGCAGACAGAATCTAAATTGTAGTTTTTCTCAAGAAATAAATTGCCCAACTGATTGTAAGGCATGCCCGAAGATAAATCAATTATAGCTGCTTGCAAATAATACCGAGCAGCAATTGAAGCATCAAATGTGTTAAAAATTTCAGCTTGGTAACGACTCAAATCGCCAAGATAAATTAAGCAAGAGAAAAGTACTGATCTAGAAATCTGTACTTCATCTTCATTGGATGATTCTTCAACTTCTTTCTCTTCGTCTATATCTAAGGGCATGTAGTCTAGTTCATTTGCCTTGACATTCATTTCAGACTCAATCCTTGTTATTAAATGGTGAAAATGGCCTATACCACTCATGATGTGAGTGAACAGATAACCATCGAACTCATTGTTAGCCTCACGGAATTTCTTTGCAAGGCAAACCGTCTCATAATACACTTTACGCCAAAGGAGTTCAAGTGATTTCTTTCCATAGTTTAATGGGTCCCAAAACAACAATTTTTCACAGTTTTCACGCAACTTCTGCCTCTGGACTTCAATGCTTGTCACAAATAGGTCTGATACATTATTACAAGCCGTAGTTGACTCTCCAATACGCCTTGAAACATCACTCACATACCTAAAATGATAAGAAATAAGGACAACTAATTTCTATAGTCAATGGTCATTTTATACATATTTAACAATTTAGAAATTGCTGGAGAGACTGGATATTCTTTATTGAAACACAGGATAATACAGTTTTACATACAATTATTATGTCTAATCTCGAAAATATATCAAGGCGAACGAAAATAATGTTTTACTTAATGTATGTATGTATGTATGAGATGATATCCATTAAAAAATTCTGTATTTCCCCGATATTCTGAATGAACAGTGATATTCAAATGTATTTCTTACATTAAGCAGTTTACAGCTCAATTATACATATATAGAAATAACCTTTAATAGTAAATAAATAAAAAAAAATATCCAAACAAATATACGTGTTTTACTTAATTTTAACAAGTTTAAGAAAACTTACCGATAAACTTTTTTAACGCGTTCATTGCGTTCGGCAATTTTAGCCTCCAGTTGTTCATTAGATTGGTTAGTCATTTTCAAGTCATGGTACGTTCACGAAACCGTCAAGATGTTGATTTCAAAAACACTTTTGAAGATTCCAAAATATCAACATTATTGTATAGATTGATCATTTCGCCATATTTATATTTGGCCAATACCAAATGAACAACCTGCTGATATTTTTTGTTTAATTTTCAAAACAGTGATGTGATGACCTAGCAATCCAAGTCCGCCCGTTAAATGTCAAGTAAAATATTTTCGATTATGTATCGATTCTTTTAATCCATTATTTCCTATTTAAAATAGTCATGATTAAAAAAATCGAATTAAATAATACGTGTTTGAGATATAAAACAATTAGATTTAATTTAATACAAAGGCTATAAATTTTTGTATAATTAATATTCTACGTAGCATAGAAATACATAATTACAATCACTCATCGGTTATCGGTTCTACGATCTATTATAGGCCCATTGCCACTTCAGCTTGCTAATTTTCTGAGCTCTGTCAGTTACTTTTGTTGTAGTGCGAGTGTCTTCATTGAAAACCGATGAGAAAGATAGGTTCTTGAGCGGCAGCCTCGTACTGGCCTTGACCATCGCAGGACGACACCTCACTAGATGGAGTGACGACCTGTTCAAATGAGTGGGAAGTTGATGGATGCAGGTGAGACAGGGTCGCGCTTCGTGGTAGTCTGTGGGGGAGGCCTATGTTCAGCAGGGAACTCAAACAAGCTGAAATTATGATGATGATAATGATAATCACTCATCCACTGTGCTGCAACTACGCGACCCTTATAGACGAGAGATCAACTCATATAGAGGGGGCACGACGTGATCCTCGAGCCTCTAAGATGAAGGACAGAATGTAGTTTTTCATGTAAGTCTGGTGGCATTCACAGCTTCCTCAGAAGAGGTCCTCAACTCAGGAGAAACAACGAAGCGGGTGCACTGTGACGACACCACGATGCTATTCGCTGCCCTGCGTTTCAGCGACCCATTCTAACGAAAGGCTGACATTTCAATTAACTAGGGTCACGACACCATCCAAAGGGCTCTCAAATGGAGGATCTAACTTCAGCTTGAACCGCCATCGATATTGGAACTTATCCAGATAACATCGAACGACCGATTACATAAAATGTTATCGCGGAAACTATTAATTAACAAAAATATTTGACTAAGTAGAATTAATATTATATTGAACATATGAATCAGAAAAATTATGAATTCACAGAAATACTTAATAAACAATCAATATACGATGATCAAGCGACCTACACCAGGATCGCTATTAAATTACATTAATCGGAATAAAATCGGGGATTTATTTCGATTGACAATTAACTAGGGTCACGACACCATCCAAAGGGCTCTCACATGGACAAGAACGAAGGCTTTAATCAAGGGACTTCTAAGTTATTCTATTGAAGTTTCTGAAGATATTGTAGTTTGACGCCCTGCGTCCCTTACACTTTTCATTGCAGTGCAGTTTATCGGGAGTAGCTAGCGAACGCTCATTGTTTTGCATGTACTTATGCATTTAATAATAAATATTATATATAATAGTAGCGTAGCTTTATCTCATTTCCTCGTTACTATATGGAACCCTATTTATAATCAATTTAGTGCCACTAAGATTAAAGTGCTAAAACAAACTGTGCACGGCCCCGCCATAACCGTCCCGGGTATTAATCGATGAAAAAACAAATTTGAGCAACTCTTCTTTGGATGCGGTCAAATGGTGTTAGGACACCCAAGCCTAGGGTGAGAACAGTAAAAAGTGTGACGGAAACTGCGCTTTGTAGAGTTGGAGGTAATGCGACGGCAGGAAATACTACCTCACTCTATTATCACGCAGTTATGTAAGCCAGTAAATATGAGAACTTAGAACACATGGTAGGTAATATACTTACATCTTACATTTTCTTGCGGTAGTAGTCAGAACGACAAATATTTATGATTGCTTCTGACTTCGGTCCGACAATTTTGAAACCGTTTGTTTTGGGCGTTTAGTGCAGAGTATAAACGGATAATTTGGTTTCATATTAACATGGTTATGATCAGTAGCATATAGAAATGACTTTTGCTTTGTTGCATAATCTAACGTTTTTTGGAGTACAAATCAAAACCTTTTTGGCGTATTTTGTTACTATAATTTATTTAATTTAACGTTAGTGTCTTTTTCAGATCATCACTGGCTCTTGTGCCTCTTTCGGAACGAAATCTTAGTAAAAAACTGTCCTAATGATTTGACAATAATTAATCATCTTTGCAGTTGATAACGTAGAGTTCTAACAATCTTAGAAAATTTTCTTTTATAAACACTTCTATGCAGATGATTTTTCTTATACTCAACACTCCTTAAAAATCTTGGATCCACGGTCCACCCTTGGTAAAATTGAGTACCTAGTCAACGATAGCGATACCAGCTTATTGAAAAAAATATATATCTTTTGATTCGATATTTTTTGTCGATATATGTTGATTCGATACATCGATATATAGATACAAAATATTCAGTATTGAAAATCGAATCAAAAACGACATTTTTTTCAAATTCGAATCTGTTACAGACTTGTTTAAAAAAATATTTACGTGAAATTTAACCAATATTCTCAACGATTAATAGTTGTACTTTAATTTACACAAATAGTTTCAGCTTTATATACGTATTTTTTATTTCGCTTAAGCTGCCGTTATTTGCTAGAAAATATACTTTTAATCAGCCATCGCTTGAAATTAATCACCGATCAGGTCAAAAAGTCTATTCAGCTGTCAATAAGGGTTACCTGACATTTTTTTGCGGCTTCCTCTGTGTCTTCAAACAAATTTCGAATCTGTTACAGAGTTGTAGTCACTATTAATTTTTTTTTTAATGCGTGGATATTTTAATAAATATCTGCGGCTTAATTTATCCTCTGTGTCTTCAAATTTTTAAAGTATATGTTTTTTTTTTTTTATACGGTAGTTTATAAACCCCAATCACAAATGAATATCTGACATAATAAAACCATTTATTTTTTAAAGTGTGAAAAAAACAAATAAAAACTATAATATAAAGAAAAATATAAACTATGTGCAGAAAATGTGAGCGTTGCAATGCTGAGTTGATAGGGTCAGCTGCTCACCGCTGACGCACAAGTATATATATATATATATACGGAGTTGGCAACACTGTTTCTTCATTCATGATCGGTTAATTAATTTGATTTTGTGTCATGTCATTGTCATGTCACGATAGTGCTGATTGTTATTATTTGCTAGGTATTTTATAAATTCTATTTGATATTTTGAAATACCATAGGTACTGATCTTGACAAAACCATCTAGTAGTATAGGCCGTTCGAGTTCCTTTTTACCTTTTATGCCACATGAATTACATCAATAAATTAAAAGTATACAAATTGCGTTGTCACCATAATTTTAACTGACTTTTTTGTTTCAGAGACTAGTCATTATTAATTGAATAAACATGGAGCAATTTGAAAGTGAACCGTTTGTAGTTGTTGGCGTAAAAATAAAGCCTGGCCCTTTGGAACGTTATAAATTAGAAAATTTTGGGCTCGACAACACAGTGAATAACTTGAAAGCAGAGGCTGGAAAAAAAATAAATGAACCATCTTCTTCTTTAGGTTTGCCTAATTTTGCTCTTTACTGATTAAAAAACAGATTGAAAAATATCATGTTAAAATTTTCTTTTGCAGAAGCAATACATCATGGAAAAATTCTTCGGGATAATGTTACATTGCAAGATAGTGGGGTGAAAATTGGTGAAATGATTCACGTGGTGAAGAAAAAAGTCGCCGCTGCCCCTCCACCAGCTGTTGCCTTTCCCGATTCAGAATTGCAGCAGCTCAATACATCATTAAGAACTCTTGGTTGCACACCAAATGCACCGGGTTGGACTCGAGCTATGCAGGTATATATCTTGTAAGCATTTATAATGAACTATAGAAGCACATTAGTTCTATTTCATTCTGAGGTATAAAATTTGTGTTCATTAAAATTTCATCTAATAAATTCTATAAATTCACAGTAAATAGGTGTCAATGTGTCTATTTAAATAATGAAATTGTGAGAACAATTAATAAAAGTATCTGCCATTTTAAGAAAAATGCTGCTGCACAAGGTTTGGGTTAAAATTGTCAGATGAAAGATGACATAAAATAAGTTTTGTCAAATTCAAATTTTAAAGTCAGAATCAAATTCTGCCTTAGAGATGGGGATAAGCACTTCTTATAAATGTAATGTACAGTTCTGTGAACAACAAAACTAATTTTTGATAAAAAAATGGTACAAACATCTCTTGTCTGTGATTATATTATGAGCTATCACTTTTTATATTAACATACTATGTTTCTATAATATGATGTAAATTTAAAAATTCATATATTCTTTAATAGTCAAGCTATCAAATTATCTGTGCCTTAGAATTAATTTGGAAGTTAAGGCCCAGAGCAATTTTAAATCTAGCAATCAATTTACTATTGGATAATTAATATCTGTGCGTGCATATATTTTTGCATATTATTTTTCTGCAGCTCTTAAATGATGAGGCTACTCTGTCTGAGGTTATTGATCAGTCACCATCGTTAAGCGAGGATTGTGTTGCTCTCTCTATCCTACATGAGGTAGAGTTACTCGCTGCTTTGGGTGCCAATGTTCAGACAATGAGACGGGGTGCGGATGCACATCCTGACTTGCCAGCGGCCCTGCGCCACCTGACTAGGCTAGTGCGCTCTCGTAATACATCCTCTAATGATAATGGTAAGATTTCACACTACCCAAATAATTTGGTATATAAAAACATTTTAAATTCACCTTATATATATCTTGATCATGTTTTATTGACTTAAATAATGATAAAGCATTCATTTAAAGTTTGTGTTATTTATAAGTTTTAATAAATGTTACAAAATGCTGTAGTGAAATGAAACCAGTATCTTATCCCATATTTTCAGTGCCCACTTCAGGCTTTGCATATTCTCTTGAGGCTCTCTCTGAAGATGAAGATGTTGAAGAAGAAGAAACAGAAGAGGGTGGTGAGAGGAGTGCCATAACACAGGAACATCTAGCAGCTGCCCTACAGGTACTTCATTGCCACTGTGCTGCTATGAAGCTTTAAAAGTTTACAGACTAAAGCGAGAACATCAATCATAGAGGCACTCATCATTTATACTTTAACTTTATTTAATATTCATGTAGTATATGTAAGGGTTTTCTCAATTTTAAGAATAGTTTATAAAAAAAATGTTGAGGATAATCTGAAATAAAATATCTATGTAATAATATTTTTACAAGACATGCTAAGAATGAGTTTTGTGGGTAAATTGATTTGATATTCTTAGAAAATTTAAACCCATATAAATGTTATGAAACCTATCTCAACCTGATCTAATCATACCATCTAATTAGACTTGTTGTAATCATACAACACCTTGTAAAAATAGTAACTATAATTACTTTTGATTAAGTGAATTAGATATTCAGTAAATCTCATTTACAATATATAAATTATTTTTTGAAGGCTGCAACTGAGGCAGTATTCTCCCCAACCAACCGAAGTGGAGGCAGCCAAGATAGCCTGTTGCGTCTGCTGCAAGCGGCTGGTGACAGGGGTACATCAAGGCCATCAAATTCTACAGAATCAAGCACTCCTACTTCTTCTGGTAATTCATTTTTTAATTTATGTGAAAAGTTTTCAATTCCTTCTGGTAATTCATTCAGTGAGCAGGCGATTTGCCTGATGTTATGTAAATAATCCTACTTATTAGTAGTATTTTCATTCGCAAAGTCAACTTTAGGCTCCATTTGAAAATCAGCGCTGTAGTACAAATAGAACTGCAGCATTTTGCTGAAATTGAGTTCCAACTTGATGTCACAATAGTTATTTTTCTGTTTATGTTTTGAATATGTATTTTTTTTAAGTGAGAGATTTACTTTCTTTCTTTCTTCTTTCTACATATGGATTACTCCAACACCTGATGGCTTGCAGATGCATTAACAACCTTCACAAAAGTGGCCTCAGTTACCGTACTCGCCAGGTGAAATGCAAACGTATAATGCTTCCACTTCACGTCGGCCTAATCCAGTATAGCTGTGCTCGATTTATTGAGCCATTAATTTTGTATGGAAAATTGTATAAAGTTCAAAATTTTGAATAAATTTAACCACAGGCCCCAGCCGCGCAGTTATAACAACCGAAATGTTTAGCGAGGCCATATCGGAGGCAATTAATAGAGCCGGTAACCGTAATGCTGGCACACCCATGGATCAGAGCAACGCAGGTAAGTTATAAATTAATTAATATTTTTTTTCATTCATTTCCAAGTTACAACTCAAAATAAAGAGGACGCGAAACATGTGAATTTGCCATTGCGCAGAGTGTTGTGTGTTCAATTCCCATAAAGGTCAAAAATTTGTACCCATAAAATCTTTGTTACAATTACTCTGGGTGTTCTCCATGTCTCCAATTTTTATTTTGAAGCACAACTAAAACAGATTTCATTTTGTAAAGCTGGTTCTGTTAGGAAACAGGTTAGGAAAGTAAGGATATTTAACTTTCCCCCAAATTATTTAAGCAGTAGTGATTTTGACTGTATTAATTTTTAAGAAAATGTGTATTTTAATTGAATATTTCAGCATCGTCATCACAAAGCCCAGTAGGGTCGAGGGATGAAAATTTCTTTACTCAATTAAATCACATGCATGAGATGGGACTTTTGGATGATGCTCTCAATGTTCGTGCTCTTCTTATATGTTCAGGTATATACTTTTTATTCATAATGTTTTGTACATCGTCATTCAAAATTTTTTGATAATGTTCAAAAATTTTTTGATAATTTTCAAACAATGATAATACTTCACAGTAACATGGTCATGATGATGTCAAAAAAATAAAGTAACTGCAGTTGTTGACTCATAATGTGTCACACAAAAGTATTATTAAATAATGCGTGGCTATGGGCGCAATTACAAGTTTTAACTAACATTAAAATAATTTATTAGTCATGTGAATTCCTTAACATGTCACCGGTGTGGCTGATGTTAAAGAATTTATTCCCTACTTTTGCAATATTACATTTATAAAGTAGTCACAGTCAATAATATTATATTTATATCTTTATTTTTTAAGGTGATGTGAATGCAGCTATAAACTTGGTATTCAGTGGAGCAATTGGTGATGATTAAATTAAAATTGTAAAGGATTACCAAATTCTTATTTGCCTGTTTATTGTAATTAAAAATTATTCAAAAAAATGCAGGGCTTTGTTTCTTGTATTTATTAATACTTAAATATTTGGAAAATTTTGAATATATCTATAATATCACTGGATTTTAGAATCCGTAAGGGCAAGTGTACATATAATAATATGACATTTAAATTAAATACCTTAACAGCTTAATAGTTTTTCATTTCACATATGCATTGAAAATGGTCATAGTGTAACAAAATGTACTTGAATTTGTTATAAGCACCATATATGCTAACATCAAATATATAATTCCAAATGAATAATCAATACATTTAAAGTTTTTGGTCAAGCTATAAAACGAAATATTATTTTCAAGTTAAATAGTAACATAAACAAGGCATATTATCATTATAATAATATTGTGGTGTTATTAATACATAACACATGTTAAGGTTGTGATGTTGATCATATTTTATAGAGTAGAATAATGAGCACTACATATGTAAAAAAGAAGGAAGTAGGAAAAAGGTAATTTGGTTAGTTTAAAGATGAGTGTGAAAATAATTCCATAGCATTAAAATGCCTGGACTAGTTAGTATTTCATTTTAAAATTCATATTGAGCTTGGATCCTTTCTTATTCGTGATATTGTTAGCTTTGGCTCGACATTGCTCTCGTCTCTTCATACGTCGAAAGTACCATCCGGAATCGTTCAAATTTTGCTCACCAAATAGTTCCAGTTCTAGTTCTTTTCTTGAATCCTTTCGCATGGCTGCCCTTTTTTCATACCAACTGCTTCTTTTTTCCTTCTCAGGATTTTCATTTGCTTTTAGTGTACTCTCTGCCTTATCCAAGTTTTTTTTTAAATTGTCCTGACTCTCGGTTTTATAACTTAAATTAACATTGCTAATATGATGTGAGTTCTCACCATTACTTTCGTTTTCTTGTAATTTTTTATTTTCATCAAAAATTTTGAGTTGGTCATTGATCTCAAATCGATCATATTTGGTTCTCCTTAGTTGCTTTTTACGCCATTTCTCAGTCTTCTTCCTATTGTTTTTGCACTTATGACAATTATATCTGTCATCTTTTTTTATTTCTTCCTCGCTCACCACATTCTCCAGGCTTGGTTCAATATGCTTTTTCATCCTCTTCTTCCTACTTTCATAATGTTCTTTTTCTATTTTTTTCTCAATTTCTTCTTTTTGAAGTTTATTTTTTTGTTCTAATTTGACAGAATCTGCGTATGAAACTTTCTTGATTTGAGATTTGTGTTGTGAATTGTTATCGGAATCATTCAAGATTGTTGGCTTAGATGGTAAAATCAAGTTGTCTTTCTCTTCTGTAAGGGGCAATATGTTCTCAATTAATTTTTTGTTCTCCTTTAAAAATGGCCTTTGTTTTATAGATTTTCCACTTATTTTGCCAAATTTTGTTCGCAGTTCTTCATGTTGAATTCTTTTAGAAATTTCATCATCTAACCAATGTTTATTTTGCTGATACACCTTTTTAATTTTGTTTACATCACTCAAAAACTCTGTTTCAAAAGTAGGCTCTACTAAATGACTTTCAAGATAGGTATCACCTTCAACATTTCCGCTGTCAAGACATTTAGTTATTTTATTTACAGTTTTACTGTTTAAAGGTTCTTCAAAAACTTTTTTGCAACGGTGTTGTTTTGTCAGTGACTTCTGCTGTTGCTTTTGTGAGTTTCCTAATGATGTCAATTCCTTTAATTTACTTCTTAAAAGTGCATTTTCCTCCTGCAACTTGTACAAGTTTGACAAAATTTTATTCACAGACGGTGTGGAGTTCATTGCACAGTCATTTTTGGCACCCCACATATGTCCAACAGCCACTCCTACGGCAGTTATAACACTTCCCAACATAATAATGTTTAGAATGGTACTCAATCTTTTATTTCTTCTGTGCACATAAGTCTTAAGCTTTCCAGTACTTTCCAAAAGAAACTCGTCACTAGCCCCTATAGATTCATCAAGGTTAAGATGGTCACCTAAAGTTGAGTGCTGAGGTGAAACTGCTATATGTGAAGACATGTGATTCTCTGCTGATATTTCTTGTTCATTGAGGCGTATCTCATCTATATTTGTGAGTAGTATAGAGTTATCATGGTCACTGTCGCTTATAATTGATATTCCATCAGTATCTTCATCCTTTTCATTACATAGTACCCTGAAAACAGATTATAATTACCAAAATAAAAAAAACTTAGCAAAACTTAGCACATAAAAAAGAAAATGGAAAGTTTTAATTAATTCTTTTTTTATATGTTAACTTAGATTCTGCGGGCTTAGGACAAAATAACACTTCATGAGGTCATAGAGCTACACCAGACAAGTTTTTCAATAATAGTTTCTTACTTACATGTACTACTTATAAATTAATTTAATTTATTATTCTTTTTTATATTTTTCAAAACAAATGCTTATTTAGTTAAAAATTAAAAGTATCACAATATAAAGATAAGCGAGGGGTCTCCATTTATCTTACTGAACGGAAACTTGAAAAGTATACAGCATCAGTAACAGCTTTAGCTTTTGCATTTTCTGTGATGATAAAGTACATTGCCCCAGTTGAGCCGGCTCAATTACGCTTCTGAAAAGCTGCTGTGTCTGCACAGTAAAAATTAATTCTGGAATACTTCAACGTCTAGCTGAACATTTAATGCTTTTGGACATCATACGTATACAATACTTACCTTTGAGTTGAATCTTTAGTAAAATCTGGTACATCTTGAGAGTCCTGCGGCGAATGCTCCAAGATGGTCCAACTTTCACCAGAATCGGAATCACTATGATCCGTTATAACTCCATCCATTTCGCTATACCAAAAATTCAAAAATAAATTTGAAATATCAAAATATCGGTGCGCAAAAATATAACGCAATTACAAGTTGCTTACATTAATAGGTACAAGAAATTTGTTTACTGCCAAACAAACTTAAAAATTGCACTAGAATTTAACTTGTTAAATTATTGTTAATTAAAGGAGAAGTACTTTATTAAATTTTGTATTTTTTTTTCGAAAACGTCACAATTCACAACATACGCGATTATTTTGTTTTTATTTTTAACGCAACATTCGGTATACAACCAAACACAAGCACAAGGCCATAGATAAGATAAGAAATATAAGATAATTAAACAAGATGTCTATTCATTCGCTGTAGATGATTTATTTAAATAAATTCTTATGACGAATATAAAAAGTGATTGACGAAATTATGGAATATAAACTATTGTTGATTTTTTATAATTAAAAATTTCGGGTGGGGCTGTATCTACGTACACGGCCACCATGGGCATGCGACATCTACGTCGCGCGTTGCCGAATAGGCCAAGAAAACAAGATTAACTTCGTTCTAAACTTTTTAACACAACACTGATGAAAAATAGTAATTACATGAAACTTCTTTCAATTAATATTCGAAAAGGATTTTGTTTAACATTGGTCGATATAAGTCGTCGTCGATAGCTTCTTGCGCTCTCGATAACACCTCACTTGCTCAGCGCTGGTTAGGTACTCGTGGTCCACAAACCTCCTTTTCCATTGATAGCCATAATATATATTTACAACTGGCTAAGGTCAACTATTTAAACTTTTGATAATTTCATTCTCCCTACAATCTACTTTCTGAAACTGGCACCGGTAAATTTCGGTAAAATTTAAAAAAGTTGCACGTTAAAATCATTTTTACTAATATTTTTCTATTACATTTTCTTTTCTTTTCTCAGTTTTTTTCCTTTGCTTTATTTGATGTTTTTGCTTTCAGTCAGCGGACAATTAAAGTTTCAGCAGAAGTGCAGAACTTGTGAGCTAGCCAAAACCCACGAGCTTGATACAGCCCTCTACGCAGGGTAGGGCCGTGCATGTATTCACGTGTTCGTTATCTTAAACGGGCCCGATTTAGAGGTCTGGAGGCCTCGGGGCAACAAAGGAGTGGAGGCCTATTCTGGTCTTTAAGTGGGGGCCCTCTTTTGTGGAGGCTCCGGGGCTGTTGCCCCGGTTGCCCTCCCCTAAATCCGGTCCTGTTATGGACCGTTACCCTGATGACTGTATTAAACGGCGGCTGGAGGCGATGTGAACCTTCCTGGAACACGGGTTTACTTTGTGTACACGTTGTGCTGGTTTCGCCGTGTTATTAAATGACAAACTAATTGGTTAGGTGCGTTAGCACTGTCTGTGGGTATAATGTTGTCTAGGGGGAGATTTCAGTCCTGGATTGGGTATATTACCAAATGATTGAAAGACTCTTGATTCTGAGTTCGGCAAGACTAAAAAACGTTTCACGTTAAAATCTTGTTTTACTTATAATATCTGTCTGATATATTTTGTTTCTATTTTCAGTCTTATATTGGGTACATAACCGCACGATTGCTTGTGAAAACTGCTGACATTGGGTTCTTCTTAGCTCCCATATTTCAGACTAGCGGCCCGCCCTGGATTCGCACGGGTATTTGACGAAAATTTCAAAATTAAAAATTATAAAACACACACCTAAACCCACAAAAAATATTAGCCTTTTTGTTCGTAACGATAAAATCATGTTGTAACAGCTTAAATTTTCAGCTGGTTAAAACAGAGTTGATTCTTTCAAATTCATGACTCGCTGAAATGATTGTTGGTTTATTTTGATAGTGACCAATATTGATTACTGATTTCCTGCATTAACGCGAATATTGGTCAAAGGAAACTATTTTGCGGATTTGATCGTATTATTTTTTTGGTTTAACATTCCCGAGATTCCCCGCGATTTCGTACACTTGTCTGGGTTCATGGTTATGGGACGGGGTTTTACTTCCTGATGATGGAATTAACCCTTACGTCAATTATTTTATTCTAATTTGCACAAAAAGAGAAATATAACAAACTAGCTTTTCGCCCGCAGCTTCGCTCGCGTTGAAGCCCTTAAATAAATATCTATCCCCTAATAAATATTTAAGAACCCTTTTTCCAATTAAAAAATAGTCTAAGTAATAGGTTTTACCCAAAAGGGTAAAACGTACTACTAAGACTCTGCTGTCTGTCTGTCACCAGGCTGTATCTTATTAACCGTGATAGTTAGACAATTGTAACAACAAATACTAAAAAACAGAATAAATAATATTTAAGTAGGGTTTCCATACAACAGGCATGATTTTTTGCCGTTTTTATAGATAATGGTATGGAACCCTTAGTGCACCACTTGTCCGGTGATAACCAGTGGTTACTGTACTTGTACTCGCCTCTGACCATTGTGCTTTTCTATTGTAAATCGGGCTTAATGGACAATCGATGTTAAGGTCGAAAAGACCGTAGCACTGGCAATGGCAATACACTTCACGCTAGTGAGTGTATTGCTAATTTGCTACGGTAAAAAAAAACATATGAAAAAATATAATTTTTATGCAGATGGCATTAAAATACATTCTTTATAAGTGATTTTCTTTCTAATTATTCTTATTTGAAGTGAAACTTCTAATGCGAATTCCGACAAGGTTGCGTTAAACGTTTAACGCTGCCATGGAGGGGGTATGAAAAACTGTTGCGTTAAACGTTCAACACTCCTGGGGAGGGGGAATAGAAAGAGACAGAGCGAGAGTGAATGCGTGGTACTCGAAATTTCACTTCTTCCACGCGGAGGGAGTTCACGTACTATTATTTTTCCTTTATTTGTGCTTTGAGGTCTTGCTTATTGCCAAATCTCGTAATTCTTTCCATATAGGTGTTCGACCCAAAACCTATAGGATACTTCCGGTTGACCTAGAATAGGCACTTATCATTTAAAGCAAGGCCTTACTGCACAAGTAAAGGGAAAATCGTGAAAAATAAAACAAATTGAAAATTAAGGCAAATTTTGATTTTGCCCATATCTTTTTATTATGTTGATTCAGGACCTTGATTTCTATACACCTAATAGGGACTATAAACCTCACCATTTGGTATCAATTTCAACTTGCTAGGTCAACGCTTTCCTGAGAAAATCGGTGGTGACACACAGACAAAGAGATGGACAAGAGAGTGATCTTACTGAGGTACAGAACCCTAAAAAAACATATTTAGTGGCACTCATATGAGAAATATTAGATGACCAAAAATGCAAATCTAAGTTCAATAAGAGTATGTTGGCAATTTTCAAAAAACAGAATTTGATAGATATCACATGGCAATCTTTTTGCTTTAAATTTTTTTTTATTTTTTTGACCGGTATTATAACTATTTAGGGATATTTGGTGATTTATAGAATGAAACTACGCATTTTATGGAATGTTAATTAGTATATTTCTTTATGCTTGGATCCTCTATAGCATGGTTTTTATCACATGTAAATGAAATCGTGATTGCATATCTTGTACCTGATTTTACTTTTTCAACATAATGCAAATTCTCTGCACCACTTGTGAAGATACTCAATCTTCCCTTCCTTGGTTCTATTGTTTTATTAACCTTTTTATCTACAAACACAAACCTACCACCTTCAAAGTCGACATTATAGTTACTTAGGTACAGTAATGTTGTATAATGGAACGATTTATAAGTTTCCTAGAAAACAAATATCAATGAAATAATAAGGGAAATTGAACATAAAAATGAAAGCAGTTTTTGTTGTTGAATACAATATTAAATATGAAGCTATAAATAAAACGAAATAAATTATACATCTGAAGTTCTTTAATATGTTAATTAAGTTTTTTAGATGTGGTTAGGGGCATGCCTCCATAAAAAAGTGGAAGTGTTTGTAAACAAATATAACCACTATATTTATGTAGACAGTCAAATGGTACTTAGTTGTTTGGACTAAAAAAAAATGTCTGTAATAAATGTATATAACATTCCAATTTACAGAAGAAATGTTACAAATCAATTCATCTCTACTGCATCAAAAATTCTTTCATTTATTGTATCCATGTAAATTGATTTATTGCTTTTAAAATAATCAAATAAATAATCTTTACATAAAAGCTGAAGTAGTCTTAAATAAAAAAAATATACTTACTTTATCTACATGTGGGTGCCAATATTGATCGTGAAGTGTAACAGGGGGTTTTGAGGTAATTTCAGAAAAAAATGTTGGATGAGTTAAGTAAATTTTACTTGGCAAGACACCAAAATGATGAGCTATTGTAAACTTAATTTTATCCTTTACCACCTTGAAGAAATAAATAATGACAACATTATTAGGAAATTAATTAAGCTAACCATTGTTTTTGTAAATTAATTTATCTAATATCAAAAATAATTAAATTTTCTGAGCTTACCCTAAAATAGTTAAAATCACTTGAAGTAAATAGATTTTTCATGTCTTCTTTCTTATAGATATCAATAAAATATTTCCCATGAGATAGTGCTCCACTGTGTAAATCTAATATAGAAGCGCCACCTGATGATTGACCATAATTAAAGCCTTTCTTTGCTATTTCTAACAATTCTTCAGACTCCATATCTGATATAACTTTATCAGTGACAAATCTCTTGCATTCCTTTGGAAAGCAGCCTTCAAATTTATCTATTTCTTTTATATATTTTGCAGAACAATCAATAACTTGTCCTTTCCCAGCTAATACCTCGAACTGCTTTGCAAATGTTTCGAGTTTTTCGTCTCTAGAGGTAAAATAAACAACTAGAAGAAGTGCACTTATGACAACAATTCTGGATAGTACTCTAAGTGGTATGTTAAGATTTAAAGGTCTGAAAAAACGTTGAACCATTATTAGATTTTTATTAGAATATAAATTCTTTGAAATAAAAAGAAAATAAAATAGTCTTACTCCTTGTCTTTCACATGATTAAAATCATTCTCTTTATTATCATTATTAATCTCTTTTTTAATTCTTTTCTTTAAATCTGTCATTTTTCCCTACTGTTTAAACCATAATCATTCATAGAATACCAATATTGAATATTTATTCAAACGTATCTCATAGCATCATTCTAAATAAGTAAAATGTGAAATTTATGACTAGTGCGAATACATTCTAAAAATTATTTAATGTTCTAACAAGACATCAAATCAGTTTAATAGATATTTTGCTCTTTCACTCTATGCCTGAATCATAGAGTAAAGTAATAATAAAGAAATGGCCTGAATCTGAATCAATATCAATGACAGCTACAGGGAGACCATGTCAAAAATAGCGAATCTGCCAAATGTAGTATGTCAATCACTAGTAAAAAATCTGCCAAACACTGATAATATCAGAGTTCCTTTAACGATAAAGCGTTAATGGAACGTATTATTATCAGTCTAAGAATAAAATAATTGTATTTACGAAACGAATTTATATTTTCCGTTTAGTTAAGTGAGGTGACTATCAATATTACTGTTGCTAAGCTACAACACTTTCCCTCAGTTAACTAAATCAAGCTCTCCTCTGAGATGCGTGTATGTTATCCTTGGAAGTGGTTTCATGAGAATATCCGCGATTTGTTCAGAGGAACTCACTCTTCTAACTTCTTGTATATTAACTTGCTCACGCACAAAGAAGTGCCTCAAACAAATATGTTTGGTTCTCTTATGAAACTCAGGTTTGCGCGCTAATTTCACTGCAGCTTCATTGTCGACGATTAGATTTGGTATTGAGCTGAGCGTGCTCCCATTTCTCTCGGAGCTTACCTTGCGGCGCCTAGCTCTGGTTTTGTTGTTGAAATAGAAACGGAAGCTTGTCGTTGGCTTAGCCACGATATCGCTCCTACGTAACGACACAATTCTCGGTTGTTGAGCGTCCTGTGCTGAGATCTCCTTCGTGATGAGTCACTAAAGCCATCGAAGTATTTCTTTCTTGCATTGGAATTATATTTTATACCATACGACATTGTGCCTTTTAGGTATCGCATAATCCTTTTTGACTTTAAGCCAATCTGCTTTGGTAGGTGCTACGAGCTTTCGTGACACTATACCTACTGCATAAGCAATATCAGGGCGGGTCGCAACCATTAGATAGGCCAATGCTCCAACTGCTTTTCGATATGGAAAGTGAGCATCGTCATCAGCTTCCCTGTTCCAACAGTTTCTTTTTCTATAGGTGTTGAAATTGGGCTACAATTCATCATTCCAAATCTTTCTAATACTTATTTTAATATATGCTTCTTGTTTCAGTATGATTGAAACATCACATTTCGAAATCTCCATACCCAGATAGAATGAAGCTGACTTCGTAGTTGTCTTTATACTTTGTTTAAGATCATTAAGAAATTGTTCTGCCATCTTTTGATCAATTGCAGTTACGAGACCGTCATAGACACAAAGTGATAATAAGAGTTTCTTGTCTCCTTGTCTCTTTATATACAAACATGTTTCTGCACAACTTTGTTTAAATCCTAGTTCTATTAGAATTTAAAGAACAGTGATTCGAACATCGTGGTGCTTGTTTCAAGCCGTAAAGACTCCGATTACAAAGACAAACTCTCTCTGTGCCATTTTCAAAGCCTTCGGGTTGTTTCATATTGATTTGTTGTAGTTTCATATTGATCTCTTCTGTTATTTTTCCGTACAAGAATGCTGTCATTACATCAAACTGTACAAGGTAAAGATTTTCTGATGCAGCAACGCTTAAAAGGGAAGAATAGTAGCCATTCTTGCGACTGGGCTAAACGTCTCTTGAAAATCGATGCCTTCTTGCTGTTGAAATCCCTTCGCCACTAAAGGGGCCCATTCACTATCTTGCCTGGCAGTCCGCCGTGCAGGACTGCAAAGCAGGATGTAGCCTACACACTATCCTGAATGCCGTCCATCATAGTGTCAGTGTTGTTGTTGTTATAATTATGGATTTCGAAAAAAAAAAAAAGAAAATAGCGATTCTGCTATGTTTTTTTTGTTGTTAGATAAAAGTTTTTATTAATTAATAACCTTTCCTCACATTATCATACTAATATATATAAAAATTAAGTAATGACCTTTTCTCAAGTTGAACTTGTTTTTTAGCTTAGTTTTAGTTATCACATCAGTCGGGCTTCCCGGGATGCATACGTTTTTTTTTTGTTTAAAATAAAGTACCTAGTCCTGTGTATGTTTTTTCACAGATGTGAATAAAATTTTCCTAAAAATATTTCTAAAAAAATTACCTGAAACAAAATTTCTATTGCAAATATGTAGTGTATTTAGACACTACATATTTACAATACGACAAAAAATTCCTAATTTAGCATCCGTATTTTCGTATAATATAGGGCAATTTTGATAAGGGCTTAGTGCGTTGTAGTGTTTTCGTCATATGGCAGCACTACCGCTATGCAGGACGGCCAAACCGCGGCGGACTGCAAGCGGTGGGTGGAGCTTGCAGGTCTCTTGCAGGATGCAACGCGCGTCCTGCTCGGTGTTGCCAGAAATTTTGCATGCCTGCGACACATAAAGCGGCGGACTGCACGGCGGACTGCCAGGCAGGATAGTGAATGGGCCCCTTAAGCGTGCGTTTGATCATGCCATCACTGTTCCTTTTCACCTTCAATACCCACTTGCAAGGTATGCATTTCTTATTGGCTGGTAAATTTTGAAGATTCCAAGTATCATACTCCTTTAAAGAAGATAGTTCTGCCTTCATTGCAGACAACCACTTTTCTTTATTGTTACTGTAAATAACCTATTTAAAAGTAAAGGGTCCTTCGCATAATCCATGTTTAATGATGTTTCATAATCGTTGAATTTTTCTGTTATTTTGAGTGAAGATCTATCACGCAGATCATACCTCTGTTCTTGACTTTTGTCGATACTGTCATGAAACTCGTCATCTGTGATATTATCATCTTCATCACAATCTTCTCTCGTTCTTGTGGAAGAGGCTCATGTGCGTATATAAGTGATCTTCCAGTCTCTACAAAGGTTCGGTTTTCGTGCTCAGTACGCCCATTTTCTTGTGGGGTATAAGGCATAACCAGCCTTTGCTTGATGCCATGTTTATTCAAAATATGTTTGTGGCCTTGAGTTTTGACCGACTGAATCATAATTTCAAGTTTGTCTTTAACTTCATTCTTATTGCGCATGAAATAAACCATTCGATAGCTAGAGTAGTCGTCTTTAAAAAGTACATAATATTGAAACTTGGTACAGCTTTGTGTAAATGGTCCACAACAGCAATGTGGAATAATTCACCGGGTTCGGATGCTCTCGTTCTCGTACTGAACTTTAATCTGTGAGCTTCCCCATAAACGCAGCCTTCACACGTATCTTTATCTAAAGGTACTAACTCTCTCTTGATAACTGCCTTGATATATCTCTTATTCTTATGTACAAATCTTTCATGGTACAATTGTAAAGAGGCTGTAGACAGGCATACTTCGATTGGTTGAGCTAGTTGTTCATTCGGAACATCTACTTTGTACAGACCGCCTCCACAACGCCGCCTTCAATTAAGCAAATATTGCCGTTGATGCTCATCTCACACATGTCTATCCTGGACGCGAACAGTATATTTGGATTGCTATCGTATGCCGCTAGTACTGCAAATAAGTTTTTCTTTATCTCTGGAACGTACTTCGCATCTTGTACAGTAATCGTATTCGTGTTCGATTTAATGATGATAGATCCTTTTCTTTAGCACGTATGGTGTTTCCATCGGCAGTTTTTACGGTGGTAGGGCGACGCAGCAGCCTCGGCTGCTGCTCGAATGGGCAGGCCCGTCCGGGTAAGTACCACGACCTCACAGAAGATCAGCGTAAAGTGGAAGTATGAAAAATACTTTCGCGTTACGTCTGGTGAGTGAGGTAGCCGGAGCCCAATTTTCAAAAGGTTGTCAACGCATCTATAACCCTTGGGTGTGGCCGATGTCCATGGGCGGCGGTAATCACTTAACATCAGGTGAACCGTCTGTTCGTTTGACAACTTTTCCCATAAAAAAAAAAGTTACTTGGTGGGTCACATCAAAAGGTTTGAATGTTATGAATAGATCATAAAATATGGATATGGATGAAGAAAATAAAATTAAAATCGATCGGCAAGAAATTCATTAGTAAAAATAAAGTAATAGGTCCTTTTATTTCTAGTAGCTGTGTGTGTTTCAAAAGAAATTGATTTCACTGAAGTTGAACTAGAGGAGAGGATTATAATATGCTTTAATAGTTACAGAGGTACTTACCGGTAACAGTAAGGTAACTGTTTAAATCAAGTTGATCTTTTTAATTGATTATTTATTGCAATAATATTTTTATTATCTACTAGCGATCCTCCCCGGCCTCGCACGGGTGCAATGTATTATAAATATGAGCCTTCCTCTTGAATCACTCTATCTAGTAAAAGAAACCGCATCAAGATCCGTTGTGTAGTGTAAAGATCTAAGCATACATAGGGACAGACAGACAGCGGGACGACTTTGTTTTATACCATGTAGTGATACACAGCAAAGAGACGTTTACATTTCAAGTGACGTTTTACCACAGTTTTGCCTTCCCTGAACCCTTCCACTAACACTTAAACTTTATAGTATGGTGCTAAAGTTCAAATTGACTTTTAAGTATTATTACGAATCTTTTGTACGGTACAACAAAAACAAATGAAATCGGTCCAGCCTTTCACGCGTGATGGCGTGACCAAGGGAAATAGGGATTAATTTATATATATATATATATATATATATATATATATATATATATATATATATAGATAATGATAAGATATCCTTTAGCAAAGGGTAGTGGATATAAAAAAATACGAAGTGGAAAGCGTATCAATTGACACTGGACCTCAAACTGTATAGATAATAGAAATATTAGCAGCAGTGGCTTACCTTAGAATGGCCCTGTATCAAAATGTGTCGGGAGGCCAAGATAAAAAATTAAGAGGTTTTATCAAATAAATTTAATATTAATTGTACTACATCTCGCCAGAAAGTAATTTTACTGTTGATTTTCATGCCATTACTGCGCAACGTCTTGTATGAATTTATTATATCGTGTACGATATCTAAAAGCTATGATTTTTTTTCCGGAAAGAACGACCTAAGGGATTTAGTATGATTGTGGAGTTTTTGATTTCATCCATTCAGCGCAGATGCGCTTGATATGTTGCACTGATAGTTACGCCCCTGATTAGCAGTAGTAGTAATTTTATTTATAAATTGAAAATTACCATAATAGACTATGTTTATTTAGTTATACGTATTTAAGTATTTAATCTGAGAGAAATATTATTTGTATGGGCCAACTCCAACACTAATCTCTTAGATAGACACAAGGCATAATTTTAAAGCCCTGTTTAGGATTTGTTCAAGGAAACATGAAGGCGTTTGGGGACCTACCAGCGCCTGGGGGCTCGGGGCGGCCCGCCCCTTCTGCCCCCCGGTTAATCCGCCACTGCTAATAATCTGTGTTTTGTGCGTGTGTACAGAGCCGTGTCGTCGTGTGCCAATGACCTGAGCAGTCCCTATTATGTCGCAAGTGTATAGGGAATAAAAGATCGGGGATAATACCCACCTTTTAGTCTTCAAGTACACCACCTTACGGAGGACATTCTCTGAAATCATCATTCTGCCAAAACCCTAAGGAAATCTAAGTGTTGTTTTCCACTTTTGTTCGACATCACGAAGGCGTTCGACGGAGTGGCTTAACGGCTTAAAATATGAGCTTAAATCGCTAGGATTACAATTAAGACTCATGAAAATCATACGAGACTACTTGATGAAAAGTCGATTCCAATTTCGACTGAACCTTATCTGCCCCCATGCCAGCCTTACATGGTGCCAGCTTAAGCTTATTGACTACGGGACGGATCGGATCGGGGATAATAATGATCCCTGGGGACCTTGTACTTTTTGCCGACTAGTTTCACGCGAGGGAGATTTTTCTTTCAGTGGTAGTCGGGATGACGATTAAATATGATCTCCTCACTCTTTTCAGTTATTTGTGAGATGTGAGTAATAACTTTTTTCAGCTGTATGGTAACACAATGAACAGTCAAATATATTCTCTTTGGGTAACATTAGAAAAATCACGACCGTTGTATGTTGATTGCATTTGCTAGTATCAATTTTATTTTGAGGATAAACTTAAAATTTTCCGTGCATGTTTTCATTAACTTTAATAGTGTCATGTTGAATCATTAATTGCAAGTAGTAGTGTGTAATTGGAGTTTCAATCTTTCAACTGGTAATCATTCTTTGTCGCAATGTTCTTCGACGTTGATGAAGAAGAATTAGCACCGCAAGATTTATTACACGTCGTTAGCCGGGAGCTCTGTTCGTATTTCTTGGCTCATTCCTTTATATATTTAAAATATTTATTGCTATATAATCTAAATTTTATTTCAGTTGCTTTGTCTTCGAATTTTGACAGGAATTACCGCATAAGGAGTGTTCCAACACATACAGAAGATGGTATACCCATTAGGAAGATTTATGTTTCCAACTTACCTCCAAAAGTACGTATTATTTATAAATTATAACAAAAGTATTTGGCCACGTTAATTTATTATCTTTGCCTTTTAGACCACGCGAACAGAACTTTTTGGGATGTTTGCGCACTATGGATTTATCAAAAGCTGCTGGTTAAGAATGGGGGATAGGGGCCCAAACAAGTCTCCAATGCCTACGTACGCCTTTATAACATTCAGTAATCCTGCTGACGCTCACAAGTAAGTTGCTTTATTCTTAGTTTAACTTCATTATGGTTATTGGTTTGGACGTCCAATAAATAAAAACATCTCTTTTAAAATGATAATTGAAGAAAAAGGGAAAAAATTGGAATAAGAAACGGAAATTTAGCTTTATGGCAATTTTTTTTATTTTAAATGCCTATGCCATTCCAGGGCACTGCAAGCTCCATTCCATGAAAAACAACTTCGCGGGCGTAGTTTGCGAATTTCGCCAGCTGATAGTTGGCATCAACCGGCTGAAGATGCTGATGGTCAGGTGCAATGGAGGCCAAATGATCAGCTGTACAAGAACCTAACTGCGGCACCAACTAGCTATGAAGGGCGTCGACAAAATGGTATAAGTCTGTCTGGTATGTCTAGTCAAGCAGTGATAGAAACAAAAGCACAAGGTGTCTGTTCTGTAAGTATTTTTGAAAAACAAAGTTTGTGTAAACATAACAGAAATTTATTGTACAAACTGTTAATGGTCCTTTAATATTTTTTAGGTAAATGGTATTTTGCAGCCTGTAGAGCAGCATTCAGATTGCTATGAAACTTATACCATATTGGATATTCTCAATATGGATTGCATGCATCATATTTTATCATACATAACTCTAAGAGATCTTATACTGTCGGAGAGAGTCAGTAAGAGGTGGCAGATTACTGTCCAAGAATATATACTGAGTAAGTTTGATATTGTTTTATCATATAGTAACTACTGAAAAGTTTGAATTTATATGAAACATAATATAATTCATGCTTTCATAATTTTTTAATGGTGAACTGGAAGCCACCATCCTAATGTTTGGATTAACATGCTTTTAATTGAACTGTGGGTGTGGTTCATGTTCCTTTAATTTTGCTTTGAAGGGCTTTAAAAGAGACTTGACCTCAATTTATGGCGAAATATAAAGACAATTATGTTAAAAAGTAATAGAGCTCCAAGTGACATGTCCTCTCTAGAGAGCCTTGCTTGATGCCTTTGTTTTGAATTGAATTCGAGCGTAGTCTTAGAAAATTCACAGAAAAAGTAATTTTTACATGTAATAAGTAATCAATATTTTATTTGATATACTTAAAAGAAATAGCTTTGTTTAAATATAAATTTATTACTTATTTATTACACACACATTTATTTATTATATACACTTAAAACATAAAATTTTCTCAGTCAACTATTTTCATTTGGATATTGACTATTACATATTCAATCCAATTTTTAATATAATGGCTCCAAAGTGAATGTTTGAGTATACATGTTCAGTTATCTTGACACAATATAGAAATTGTCTATTAACATTATAATTTTCTCATATGAAAACATTTCCTAGCAATATCAGTAATTACAATGTTTGTAAAATAAATGGTCAATAAAATATCTTATCTTGAAAATACAGGTTTTGAGCCAAACAGAGCATGGATTATGTAATCACTTAAGATTTTAAAGACTTGCTTCTATCACAGGTATTCGTGTTTACAAAACATCATGGTGGCAGCATGTTCCAATAACCATGACCACAGCTGTGCTGAGAAGGTTATTACAAAGAGTGGGCAATTCTTTAGTACGCCTTCACATAGATCATAACTGGTCAGCTCTTAACGACCGTACAGCTCACACTATTGGCAAGTATTGTCCCAACCTTGAAGAATTAAAGGTAATTATCTTATCCCTTAAACGAGCAATTCTTGTATATATATATAATCGGAATTTCGGAAACGGCTCCAGCGATTTTCATGAAATTTAGTATGTGCACAGATTCGGGGGCGAAAAATCGATCAAGCTAGGTTTCATTTTTAGAAAATGCCCTTTTATCCCTGTTTTCAGGGAATGAAAAATATAACTCGAATATGACGGTAAATTGCGCCGCAAGAGAAAATGTCAAAATAGCTCGGTCGGTAATCGGGCGGCCCCAAAACAGACGGCCGTGGTTCGTGTCACGATCATTTACACATTTATTTTTTTACTTTTTTTTCGATTCCAGATCATTGCTTTCTTTATTTTTAAATTTTTGTCGATTTGTTATTTTGTTATTTTTTTTCCCTTTTTTTTTAAAGTTCTTTCTTTTGTGAAAAACATCTGTTCATATTTTCTTATTATTACGTCGGTAAGATCGAAAAATATGCATATTTCATTATATCTAAATGTAATATTTGTATCTAAATGTAATTTCCAATAAATGTAATTTCCAAAATACACGATTTACCAAAAAAAAGAAACAAAGCGAGCAAAGCTCGGTCCTCCGGGTACTTATTATATAAATATTATAAGTTGGTGGTAAGTATTCGCTTAATTTTAGCATTTTACATTACATTTTAATTTCATTTTAAGTATAAAAGTAAGTTTTATTTTAACATGTTCTGTAAAAAGTTATTAAAAGATATAGTTTATATATAATGGGAGTATGAGTTGTATACATCAAATTACGTCTTTTAAAAGATATTTTATAAATGATGGGGAAAGAAAATGTATTGTTTGAATATTATGCATAATTATATTGTTAAGGCGCTATGCAGTGGATTTTTAACTATTTGGGTGGTGAAGTATGAGGAAGCGGAGGAGGGGTAACGCCGCTTAGCGGCGCGCAGCGTGCGAGTTTCGTCGACGCGCCGCTAGTGCCGCTAGCGCCGTCGTGTGTGTAGTGGTGGGCCGTAGGATACTATCGATAGTATCATGGAAGGCTTTCGAAAATGTACACAGATGATCCCTATAATATCTTTTATAGACCGTGATTGTATTTTACTTTTATATTATAATAGGAATAATAATAAACAAACAAATATAAAATATGAGAAAGCAATCAACAATTTTAGAAAATCTTCTTCCTGTTTATTATTATTTTTTTAATTAAATGGAAAAGGAATCGATTAAAAATACATTTTAAAGTGAAATAAATTAATAAAGGCAAATTACTTATAATTATTATTTTTTGTTTTCATGGTTTATATTTTTATTTTAAAGAAATGGCTCATAAATTTTTTGCAGAAATTACGAACACAACTTTTTTTATTACATTTTTTTACATATTATGAATTTTAATTTATCCTTTAAATGTTCAAGATTTACTATGTTATATGACTTTCAACTAAAATGAAATTTAAAAAACTATCGCTAAAATCTTTATTTGTATCGATAAACGACAGTAATTATAACAAGAATCGAAGTTTTGTTACTTTCCACAGACCTCGCGTAGCCTGTTGGTCCGAGCGTTATTCACAACGGTAAACTATTGCTATAGGTGTAGTCTCAAGTTCAAACCCTCATCGAGTGGAGTTGTATTTTTTATATTATTTTCACTTTTAATTTGTTAGCCAACAAATTATTTTGTTGTTATTTTATAAAATGGCTCAATTTGAGAAATAAACAAATTAATAAGAAAAATTATAAAACAATTATTTTTCGTGTATAAGATAAGATAAATTTTCGTTTTAGGGTGAAAAATTAAATATTTTAATAAAAAAATAGATGACGTTAAAAAATTTTAATACTAAAAGTTGGTTTATTTACTGATAGAGACTTAGCGGCATAGGTCCATGTAGCATGGCGCCTCAGCGCTCTCTGTTCAACGTGTGGAGTTGGAAGAGAACCGAAACAACGCCGCGGTGGCGCGGTGTTTTGGACATCGCGTTCGAATTAATTTTAATGAATTAAATTAATATTTACAAATATATTGCATCAATCAATAAATTAAAACAACAATCCTTTTTATTAATATATTCTACATCACTGATATTAATTTCATTAAGATTTGTTGATGTATTACGTTCATTTTTGGATTTGAATTTCTCTTTTAGAGGTAGTTTCATGATTTTTTTTCTATCCAGAAAATATATCGATAATATGTTTTGGAAACAATGTTCCCTTAGAATGTACGATCAAGATTAACATATATTTTTTTTGCTGCTATAAAATGTGTAGATTTTGCTAAAAAATCTTGAAAAACCTATTTTTACTGCATACAGCGCCTTAAATGAATTCTCTATGTTAATAATGTAATAATGAAAACACAGGGAACTTCTTGCAAAAGAAAGATGTACAAGCATGGGTTTCTGCTTAATATCTTACTTTGACTGTAAACAAGCATTAACTAAATCTAATATATAAAATTCTCTTATCACGGTGTTTGTAATTGAACTCCTCCGAAACGGCTCGACCGATTTTTGTTTGCATATTGGACAGGATGGAGACAACAATGGGTTGGTGGAAGCTATCCACACAGTGGGTTCTAAGTTCTTTAAGACCCCGCGCCCGAATAAACCTCAAAAGCTCTCCCCACAGACCATTCAATTAATAAAGAATATATCAAAAGATCGGACAGAGATGAGACTGCAATCTTCAGTTGATATGTCGGAGTATGGCAAACTCAATAGACGAATCTCAAAATCCATGCGACACGACTTGCGGTCCTATAATACACAGCGTGTTAAAGCCGCCATCGAGTGGAACCAGGGCTTTAAAGTGTTTGCAAGGCATTCGTATATTGGACAAAGCCTGATGACAAAGCTGAAGATCGACGACGGCAGTGTCATCTCATCGGAACAGGACACTTTGAGGGAGCTTGAAAGGTTTTACGGACAGCTGTACACCTCGACATGTAAACCCATTGTCAGAACCGACCCGACACTACACTGAGGATATCCCAGACATCAGCCTGTACGAGATTAGAATGGCTCTGAAACAGCTTAAGAACAATTAGGCACCGGAATTACGACTGTACTTCTGAGAGCGGGTGGAAAACCAGTACTACAAGTCCTCCAGAAGTTGTTCAATTCTGTCATACTACAAGGCACCACGCCAGAAGCATGGCATAGGAGTGTGGTGGTGCTTTTCTTCAAAAAGGGAGATAAGACCCTGTTGAAGAATTATAGACCCATCTCGCTCCTGAGCCATGTATATAAGCTGTTTTCTAGAGTCATTACGAATCGTCTTGCACGCAGGTTTGATGACTTCCAGCCTCCCGAACAAGTCGGGTTCCGGAAAGGCTTTAGCACCATAGACCACATCCATACGCTCCGCCAGATTATACAGAAGAGCGAGGAGTTTAATCGGCCATTGTGCTTAGCGTTTGTGGACTATGAAAAAGCCTTCGATTCAATCGAGACCTGGGCGGTATTGCAGTCCCTCCAGCGATGTCATATCGACTATAGGTATATCGAAGTTCTGAAGTGTTTGTATAGAAACGCCACCATGTCCATCCGTCTACAGAATGAGAGCACGAAAGCAATCCAATTACAGAGAGGCGTGAGACAGGGAGACGTCATTTCTCCGAAACTGTTCACAACCGCATTGGAGGATGCTTTTAAGCTCTTGGACTGGGACGGATTCGGCATCAATATCAACGGCGAATACATCACTCACCTTCGTTTTGCCGACGATATAGTCATAATGGCAGAGTCGCTGGAGGACCTTAACACTATGCTCAGGGACCTTAGTAATGTTTCCCAACAGGTGGGTCTTAAAATGAACATGGGCAAGACGAAAATCATGTCAAATGCCCATGTCGAACCCATACCAGTTATTTTTGGGAACGATACATTCGAAGTTGTCGACCACTATGTCTACGTTGGACAAACGGTCCAGTTAGGCAGGTCCAACTTCGACAAAGAGGTCACTCGAAGAATCCAACTCGGATGGGCAGCGTTCGGGAAGCTACGCGATATCTTTTCGTCCAAGATTCCACAGTGCCTAAAGACAAGGGTTTATAACCAGTGTGTGTTGCCAGCTATGACGTATGGCACTGAGACGTGGTCTCTAAAAGTTGGCCTATTGGAGAAGCTCAGAGTCACACAACGAGCTATGGAGAGAGCTATGCTCGGAGTTTCTTTGCGCGACAAAATCCGGAATGAGGAAATTCGCCGAAGAACCGGAGTCACCGACATAGCTCTCCGGATCTGCAAGTTGAAGTGGCAGTGGGCAGGCCACATCGCTCGAAGAACTGATGGCCGATGGGGAGTAAAGGTTCTCGAGTGGCCACCACGAACCGGAAGACTTAGCGTTGGAAGGCCTCCCTCTAGGAGGACCGACGACATCATAAGAGTCGTGGGAAACCTGTGGATGCAAATGGCAAAGTGTCGTTCGTTGTGGTTCGATGGGGAGGCCTATGTTCAACAGTGGACGTCTTGCGACTGAAGATGATGATGGAGACAACAACATCTATTCTTCCCCCTGAATGTTAAGGATGGTCCACCCCAAAATGTTTTTTCTACCCTACAAATAATTTATATAGTAAAACAACGTTTGCGCTCGGTCAGCTAGTACTTTATATATACTTAATTATGAAGAAACTGCAGCTCTCATTACTGCACATTATTCTCACAAACTCACACACGCACTCGCATTCACACTCACACGCACGCGTGCGCGCGTGAGAGTGTGAAACACACCTTCACACATTAAAATATAGGAGTTTCTTTTTATGAATATGTTTCCTTTTATACATTCTTTATTACGCTGCGGCCTAATACAGTGTATCTTTTTTATTGAAATGAGGAATGGCGCCGAAAGCCTAGCACCTAGTAAGCCTTCTCACAACCTAGTTCGGCGACGGATGCTATTTATCTATTGTATTTATTTATAACATAATTATGTATTAGGATTAATTCTAAAATTGTACAACTAAAAGGAAAATAACTTTATCATTATTATTATCATCTTTTATATTTAGATATGTACGTAAACAAATTGTTGGTTTTCAAAAAAGAATTTGTTTCAGGTTGTCGGTATGCATACAAAAAATTGGAATCCATTAATTTATGGTTGTAAGAACTTAAAGAATGTGGGATTTATTTCATGTAATAAGGTAAAACAATTGTTTCAGTCAGACACTCCAATAATGGTTTAAAGCTAGCCTTAAATTAGTTTATTTGTAAAGTGTAAAACAGTTAGTATCTATATTCCTTTAAGGGAGGACTTAACAATTTAAGTTCTAGTTGAGTGGTAATCACCACTTCTTGATTAAAGAGTCCATAACTAACAGCAAATATTTATTAGATTAAAACAATTTCAACAAGGCCAGTATAACAAGGTCTATGTGCAACAGTACACTCAAACAGGTTGTAATGATGATAATGATGATAACGATTTCAACACGGCCGTTGTTATATATAATAACAAGGCTTTCTTTCATGTCCGCAGCTCAACGACTCGAGTCTGATACACCTTGTGAAAAACGAAACGCCCGTAGAGCAGTTGCTCGTTGCGAATAACACCCATGTAACGGGTCTGTTCCTGACCGGCTTGAACAATAGAAAGCTGACCTCGCTCTCCTTCTACAACTGCTACAGCCTGCAGGGTGCCGTGTTGAGCGCTGCCATAGACACGCTGCCCACGATCACAACCCTCCGACTGGACGTCTGCCCCGTCTCCATATGGAAGATCATCCCGCTGATAATGAAAAAGCTACCGAAGCTGGTAGAGCTGTCACTCAGCGAGTACACCTCGCTGAGTATATGTCTCACCCGCTTCGAGGTCGAGGACTTCTGCAACAGCCTGTCGGTGATGAAGAATCTGAGGGTGATAAACTTCAGCCGGAACGTCTACATCAGCAATGTGGTGTTGAAGCAAATCGCGCGCACCTGCTCGAAGCTGCAGTCGCTGAATATATCGTGCTGTAACGCAGCGAAAGACGTTGTACCAGGTAAATATTTCTCATGTGGAAAGTTGCGAGAGAAAATGTATACTTCAGTGAATGGCCGATCAGGGAAGCAATTGAAATTCCGACAGGTTAAAGATACATAAGCAATAAATGTAATCTGATAGGTAAACGGTAGTGGTTGCTTTGTGACAGCGATGTAGGATTTGGGAACTTTATTTTAGTTTTTTTTTTTTTGCAAGTAGCAACAAACATCGTCTTCAATTATTACGTGAATTAAAAGAAAAAAAGGAACATTTTCCTTTTCATTGAGACTCGTCGAAAGTGCGTCGTGCGAAACGCTCATCGCAGAGGGCTTTCCGGGACACCACCACGCGAAGTTCACACCACACACACCACCACTGAGGGCATCACCGCGGTGTTGCGTTGTCGCCGACCCTATTTAGAGTGGGCCCATGTAGCTTTGTGCCGACTAGTCTACTTCTACGTAGTCGCAGTGGTGGTAGGGACTTGCTACTCAACCCCTTCCATCACAACGTTGTGCAAAAAAAATCAAAATCATCCGTATACATAAGAAACATACATTTCATCAATTGATAAGATTTTTTTTTATAACTAACACCGTTTCCTAATCAGGTTCATCTAATGGAGAAGAAACAGGAAGAAACTCCCTAGCTGTGTCCTCTGTTTAGTATTTTTTTTTTTACCTCAAAACGTTAAAATATTATACACTAACGATTTTATATATCGATATTTGGATCCTATATAACGATACAAAATATTCAATATCGACATCGTATAAAAAACCGATACATATAATGGCTTTTCTAAAGTTGCCCAAATTCACACAGGAGGTTCAGACTCGGTAGTATAATCGTTTATTGAAATAAAAAGCAAACTTTATTTTTCAAAAAAAATTGCAATTCTTTTCCCTAAAAAAACAGAACTTGTTGACAATGCGGTAGTCATTCATAAACGCGTCGTATACTTTTGAAACGAACTTGTGTGCGTGTTAGTTATTAGTAAAATAAATGAGTTGCCCATAAATCACGCACTTTTTGAGATAAAGTTGAAATGAATGTAATTTACGAGTGATTTTAAATATTTATCATTTTAAATATAACATTATTTATGTCTAGAATTTAATAAAATAAAATCGATACACTTAGAAAATCCTCCCTGTATAATACGTTATATAGCGTTCCTTGAATCTACAAGTCGTTATGGCAGTTACGAAGCTATTTCGGTGGGTGTTCATGGGCGGCAGTACTCACTTACCATCGGGTGAGCCTCCTGCTCGTTTGCCCCTTTTCTCCATAAAAAGAAAACGAACTAACCAGGCATAAATGGTGCCGTGCCGGTACGCTCTGGTCCCGCTAACCGCGCGACGTCTCCCCGCAGCCGGCTTCCCGGGGCACCGCTACGCCAAGGGCGTATCCGACGAGGGCCTGGCGGCGGTGTTCCGCTCGTGCCCGGGCATCGCCTACCTGGACGTGTCGTACCTGGCCGGGCTGACGGACGAGGGGCTGGCGCAGGCGGCGCGGCTCGGCTCGCTGGAGGTGCTCACCGCGCGCGGCACGCCCACGCTCTCCTCGCAGCCGTTCGCGCTCTGCCTCGCCTCGTGCCACCGTCTCAGGGTGAGGGTTTTTTTTTTGTTTTTTTTTTTTAGGGTTCCGTACCATACAGGTCCCCGTCACCAGGCTCATGAACAGTGTGATAGTTAGACACTTGAAATTTTCATTAATGTTGTATCTATAGCAACATTAATGAAAATTTATGTTGCCTCTATAGCAACAAACACAAAGACATGATATTTTTTTTTTGCCCTTTTTATCGTTAATGGTCCGGAACCCTTCGTGCCCGAGTCTGACTCGCATTTGGCCGGTTTTTTTTTTACGTGAGATGGTGCCAAGCGAGCCGGTGGTCCACCTGATGTAGAGTGATAACCGGCGCCCATTAACATTTGCAACACCCGTAGGATTGCAAATGCGTTGCTACCTTTTAAAAAAGCGGGGCACCAGCTGCCTCAATCACCAGACGAAACGCAGAGGTGTAACACTTCTTCACTCTGTTCTTCTGTGAGGCCGTGATACTTACCCGGACGTTACTTACCTACGCAACGGCCGAAGCTGTTGTTAACTCGCCCTCCAGGTTTATTTTTAAATGTTAACATTATTTTGTGTCCACTTTTGTTTACAATAAATAATAAGGAATTCCGTATTTCGTTGGCCACCAGGAAATCGACGTGTGCGGTTGCGATGGGGTGTCCGAGGAGATAGTGGTGGCGGCTCGACGGGCCGTAGAAGCCCATCCGAGGAAGCTGTTACTAATGGTAGCGAATACCCCGGCGAGCGAACCGCAGGTGACTTACGGCTCATTTTCAATGGCTATTTATGAACAAATATCTTTATTCAATTAAGAAGCATTACATTTACTTATTGATTGTCAAAACACTACCACTGGAAAAGAAAAACCTGAGAAGACCGGCGAAAGAAATTCAGCGGAACAATTTTGTACCATGTTTACAATTAAAGACAACTTGAAAGAGCATGGCGCGATCAATTCATTTCCAGGGTGTGTTATCACTTATATCATAACTAATATTATAATAGCCTTTTAAGACCTTTACATTTTTTTTAATTCAGCAATTGAATGTCAAATAAAAAAGTTAAATTCACTGTACTATAAAAGAAATACTTATTCTAAGCAGTCTAGTCGTGGGTAGAATTAATTTACGTTTTTCCCTAGTATTTATATCATGCACATTACTGTCTTGTAAATTCATTCTTATTTCTATTGACATACTTAACAATTTCGAGTATGTATTGAAAAGCAACAATCAACATGAAGACCATCATAGACGACGCTAAACTTGAACAGCCCGGTGAAGTAGGACAAGTGCGTAGAGTGCAAAAAATATAAATATCGCTTCAAGAAGTCAAGTAGCAACTTATATATGCCCCACTGCTGGGAAAAGGCCTCCTCTGTAAGGTATTAGGGCATAACAGGGCATATGTACAGGGAGGCTTTTTTAAGTGTATCCATTTTTTTTATTAAATTCTAGACATAAATAATGTTATATAAAAAATGATTAATATTTAAAATCACTCGTAATTAAAATACATTCATTTGAACTTCTCATAAAGTGATGATTTATGGGCAACTCATTTATTTTACGCGCGATCATTCATAACTAACACGCACACAAATTCGTTTCAAACGTACGCGATCCCACTGCGGTTTGGCGGACTTCACATATGTACCTATTATTATTTTTTGTAATTATTTCGAAAATATGCAGGTTTCTTCAAGATGTTGATGTTTTCCTTCACTAATAAAATTTCTGGAATGGGAAATAATCCTGAAAATGGTTAGCCCTATTATGTATAATATTCTTACAGCCTCACACATAGAGGTAGTAGGTTTACTCTTATCCAACATTGACATGACTGATTTGCGAATATCAGTCAGGCTTAAATTGAGCTTGGTAGATTAATTAATTTTTTGCTTTTTATTCTTTTATTAGAGTATAAATATTGAATGTTCACAGGATTTACCAGAACATAAGCTGCTAACTGTTAACACCGAAACCGACCTCTGCAATCCACACTTGCGCCCTGACTTCATAGATCAAATATTTGAAGACAGCTCCGATGACTCATTAGATGACTTGTACGATGATGATTTGGATTTCCTAGATGCAGGTAATTTACATACATTTTTATCTCATATTTTGCCCTCTATGGAATTGGTCATTAAAATGTAAATAATTAAGTTTGTGTGTGCTTGCAATTTCATCCCAATTAGTGCATCACTTTGTTTTAAAGCACTTTTGAAAACATTTAAGTGAGAGCATCAATAGAAAAACATTAAAGGGGCTTTGAGCTGCATGTAGGACTTGGGATGTTAAATAAATTAAGTGGGGTACAAATTTCAGTGAAGTGTTCAAATGTCCATTTTAATCAAATTAAATACATTAGCACTGTTTCAAAGTTGTTATAAAGTAATATTGTAAGACTTTTATTGAATAAAATGACTTCTACAGACTCACAATCCATTTTAATTTTTGTTTTTAATTATAACATTAATAACCAAAAAAGCTTTATCCTTGCATATTTTATTTATCCTGCCTAACACGTCATCTACCCATTAGAACCTGAGAGCTATAAAAATTTGATTATTTGTTTTTGAGAAATGAATTTGTTATATACAGATGATGATGATGACGATTTTTTCGACGAGGAAATGGAAAACATCGAGGGCATATTTCGACTGGGACTTCAACCAGATGATGTGTTGCTTTTGTGAGATAAGCTTAGTCCCATAGTGGACACAACACTGAGTTAATAAATATAACTGCTACCAGTTTCTGTTTGAAAATGTACTTTTTACTAATGTTTCACCAAAAATCATTTGGTTATTGTTTGAAGTGTGTGTTTTTCTTTATAGTTTTTGTTTTATTTTTGAAAAGGTAGTAAACCCAAGTGAGCCCATTTTGGTATAATTGTTTTTCTGTAACAAGCTTATCATAGTACATTTTTTATGCTGTACTGTACAGAGAAAATTCATTGTATCCTTTGAAATCTTTAAAATGTTATCATAATATTTGATAACTAGCAGTAACATCAAGTTTTATAGATGTTTTGATGTGGTGGTTTAGGTATTATCTGTGATGGAGTGTGCTGTAACACATTATGTTAATATTTGTTTTTAGTCAATATTGTTTACTAATTTTACATATTTAAAATGTTCCACACTGAATTGTAACTATAAGCGAAGTCTGAGAAATATTGTGATAGAATTAAATTATTCATGTACCTTACATTTTAGTTTCTTCCAACTGAAAATATTTTGTATTATACTATTGAAAACATTTTTATTAATTTTATTAGGGTCTGACAGATATTCCTGTTTAGAAATTTGTGTTGTATTGCACAACCCTATTAGTAAGACTGTCTGTATGTACACCTCATAGTGTATGTGAATATCCTATTCTATTCTATTAAAAAAGCTTTTGAGTATGAATTAAATATTTTAGATGTGATGTGTCCACTAGTTAGATGGCTTCTTTATGCTTATTCCCTAATGTAGGTGATAAGGCTGAAACCATCTAATCAAGCTAATAGAATACAAACTGTTACCAGTGTCTAAATGATTGTGGTGGTGATTATGGTTATAATAAAGCAAAATCCATCCTGGAAACAGTTTATTAAAGTTTTAGTTTAGATGTATATTGCTGTTAGTTTATTATGCTTCTGTAGCATTATATTTCCCCTATTATGTTAAATGTAATGCATTGTAATCAACATGTTGGTTGTTTTTATTTTTAATAGAGAATGATTTTGCTTTAATGACATAATTGAAAAATCAATGACTATATATTTTTCTGAATATTTTTAGGGTGAAGATTAATTTTTATTTTCGTGCCAATATATGGTAACTCTGTTTTTGTTAAAATATCCCTATTTATGAAATTATCCACTTTGGCCCAACAGCATACTTTGTTACATTTTTAACAAAAAGTTCTATTGTTTAAATTTCTTCATGCAAACTGTTTTTATTTAAACTGTATTGATTAAATAAGTAGTGAATGTAAACAAAAGTTCTGTCATAATATAAATTAAATGGAGATAATAATCAGAGGGGAGACAAACAATTTTTAATAATATTTTTTTTAATTGCAAAGAAACTTCTTGTTATTTAGTTTTCAATTTCACACTGAATAGAGTTCAATATTGAAAGTGTTTATAGAGGAGTATATTGTATGTTTACAGGTTTCAGTGTCGATTTATGTTTTTAAAATTGCATTTTAGGCTAGATTTCATGCATGGAATGATTTATGTAAAGGTTTCAGTTTGTATAAAATTTTTTTTTAATATTGTAAGGAAGAAACAATATAATTACTCCTCAATATTTAACTTGCTTTAATTTGTCTATAAATTATATTGTAATGAAGGAACATTTCTAGAAATTTATGTTTTCATTCTACTGGTTACTTATGTACCCCGTAATTAAATGGTTACTTATTTGTGTATTTGGCCAATTATTTTAAACCTTATTTCTTTATAAAGTCTAGTTAGATTAAAAATAAAATTTGAAGCTGGAAATTCAAGCAATTCAATTAATAATAAAAATAGAATATGCAAATACACCAAATATACAGTGTGTCGTTACCATCGCGACAATAAACGAACATACGTCTAACGCTACTTACCAATAATTAAAAAAAATATTAACGTTAAACAAAATCCATAATTAAAAAAAAATGTTTTTCAAACAAAGTAAAAAAGAAACAAAATTTGTAACATCCTATACAACTCGCGCCACAGCGTCGCATTACAAGCCTCTCCTTACAGTATGTTTTGTCTCTTTTAAATTCATTCAACCCGTTCATATGCTTTGTGACCTCTACAAATGAACTTTACGTTTCAGTTTTATAGGTAAGGGGGTTCTAAAATTCTTTGTTTTGGAAAATTTAATAACTCGGTAAATATTCATGTTTAAAGAATGTAAATGTTTAATTCAATTTTTAAAAGTTATTCTCTATATGTGTGTTCATTTATTGTTGTGATGGTAACAACATGCTGTATAATATGAGATATTTTTGTGCTTGGGTAAATATTTTTATAAATGTTGTAACACATATATGAAATTTGATACTTTGCATTACATTAAATTTGGGCAAAATCAACAGCTTTTTTATTTATTTAATTTTTAAAACCAATTACTATCCTAATTATTATGCATAAAATTTGAGACTCCCTAAACAGTTCTTGGTTGTAATTAGAAATGAATAATCCAAATCTTCCTTAATATAATCTCCTTTACTATTTACAAACCATTTGTGACACTACATATAATTATTCATATATTAACATCATAATTAGTTGTTTTAATATAAATATTCCACCATTGTCCAATAAAACCAACATCTACAACTCTTGAAGGAAAGCTAAAAATTGTTGGTTTTAGATAAGAACATTGTGATTTGTATAAATCACATGTCTCATTTATTTCGGAGACATATATGACCGAAGCTATTCCAAGATTTTTATAATGTATAACTCCTTCGTTGTAACATCTGTCCAAGAATCGTAGATGTTCAACCGATTTCGGATTCGCGCACTCTTCACTCACTAGTATAATTTCATTTGTTAAACGTTTTAACCTATCCTTAAAATCAACCTCACTAGGATTATTCTGCACCAAGGCGTATACCGTCATGAGGCCAGACGTCCATATGAAAGCTTTTTTTGGTTGTTCTTGGATGTCACTTCTTAAGTCTTGAAACATTTGACGATAGTCAATAAAAAGGTTCTTCCAATAATCAGCCCATTTTTCCAGTATAGTTCCCTTTAGCTTTTCAGGAAATCTGACGTTTTTCAGATGCAATTTAGATATAATTCCAGGTGGTTTAATTATTCGTAACATGATTACTTCCTTTTAGTACCGAGACATTAGATCCTTAACTGAGAGAACATTTGATAAGAATTTCAGTCTCCACTTTCTTCTTCTTTGATTAATGGCTTCACCTTCTTTCTTTCGTAGATGGCAATTTCAGTAGCGATGTGCGACTCGAGTTATTTGACTCGAGTAACTCGAGTCAAACCTTAAACGAGTCAGCTCGAGTTCAGTTTTAAGCAACTCGAATCAACTCGGTCGTCCGAACGCAAGCCGGACGCTATACGCGGCGGCCTCACGAGTTGTCCGAGTTACACACGCGGCTCGCGCGCGCGGTTCGTTAGGCGTTGCAACTCGCATCAACTCGAGTTCAGTGAAATGTAAAGTTACGATAAACGCGCGCGCGCCGTTCGTAAGGTGTTGCATCTTACTCGCATCAACTCGAATAGAACTCGGGTTTTGAATTCAGAATTGTGCAAATGAAAAACCGCTTTAAAAGTTTATTTTGTTTTTTGATTGACATTTTGTTATTTGTTTTTATTAGTTGGCCGTTGGCGATCCGCGTGCGAACTAATATTTTTGATTTGTTAGTGATCTGTTTTGTTTTGTTTGTAACGACGTCAAATAACAGAAGTGTGGCGTCGGAATTCTTTGCTATAAAAACAGAAACTTTTTTTAACATTATTTTCGATAAGCAATCGACTATTTACATTTTATAAGTATGACTTTGAGGCGATTTTCTTAAACACGATGTTGAGATCTGCGCTGGAATAATATACACCTTTGTTGATTGATTTTCGAAATAAATTGCACACTAGTGCCAATTGATTGTAAATTTTGTCTTTGAAATCCCAACCGTCGGACACTGTTCGGGGTCGAGGTGTATAGAAAAAGGAGAGGATTAATTCAGACCACATACAAAGTTGCGAATCGACTCGAGTAGCCATATAACATCACGATTCAACATCATAATATACTTACTTGACTTGATATTGATACTTCCTATCTAATTAACCTCGAGTCGAGCTGACTCGTGCTCTCCGAATTGGCCGAGTCCTAGGTTGTGGTGCTAGTTCGTCGTCGTATCCGCCCTTTCCTGAGAGCCAAACAAACGTAGACCCGCCCCCGATTAAGGAGTGGACCGTCCGTCCCGGCATCCGCTCCCACCCCCCTCACCCCTGCAGCGCTCGTTTTTGTTTTACGGAGGTGCGTATACTTGCATATCCGGAAGTGTTTTTGAGGTTAGCGTAGGTCTCGTAGTCCTCCTCCCCTTAATACGTTTGGCTTTTAACAGCTGCGCCTCCAACATCTTCCGGGGGTGGTATGCTCCGGTTTAGCGAAAATCTTTTTGGGGAGCCAAGATTGAAATACCCCCAGTCGGTTCCCAGGTTTCTGGGCGCAATAATCGTCGCCTCCAGGCGCAAGACTTGGCAAATCGTACCGGGCACTATCCGGAAGAGGCCGCCTCCTTAGCCCTCCGTAAATACGGGCATCCCCCCTATAACGCCCCCCCCCCCCCCCCCCCCCCCCCCCTCCCCCTCCCCCCCCCCCCCCCCCCCCCCCCCCCCCCCCCCTCCAAATCACGAGACAAAGTAGGGGGCAAGTGCCCGTTGGAGTCTACGTCGTACAGTACAGTCAAGTTGTGAGCGGACGATCCCAACCGTGGTTTAATACAATGTCTAAAACGTCGGGGGCCCCGCTTTGTCCCCAACACATAACGGAAACTTCGATGCGAGTAAACTCGAGTTGCGATTCGAGTCAGTAGCCAAATCAACACGAGTAACTCGAGTCAAAAAAAAAATCCAACTCGTCACATCACTGAATTTCAGTTAATCAAACTTAACAAATTGACTTTTTTTTTTTTTTCCCTTCTATGGCTCCACTGATACGTCAGTGATTTTGCCAATAACTAAGTACTCAAAGTACTTAGTGATCAACTTGATAAGGTTAGGACAGTAAAAATGTATAATATTTTGTTTAAAATTATTTCATTTGCGTACTAGCGATGGCCGTTGAATCAACGAACTAGTTGAATCAACCGTTGATCTCTTTGTAACGAATTAACTTTAACTGTCATAGAAATCAACTAGTTGAATTCGTTAACGTCGTTTCGGAAATTTTGTCGTTGAATCAATTCGTTTAAAAACGCAGTCAACGATACGTTAAATCAACGGAACATAAGCGAAACGAATTGAAAACTTTACGTTGAAAAAAACGCCACAGAGTTGAGTTGAAATGTTTGTTTAATTTTATGAAGGACATGTTTAAGTTCGTTTTCTTTATTTTTGTTTGACAGTTTGTGAATAGTTGCGCACAAGGTTATAGAATATTTTGCGGCTTTGCGTAAATATTATTAGAACTTTACTTCAAGTTTAGTGTTTTTTTTTTTTTTTGTGAATTTCTTAATTTTGAATTAATAATATTTGGAATTTTATTTTATGTTATTAGTTTTGTTTATCAGAATTTAACTTTCTGGTTAGTGTTTTTTTTTTAATTTATGATTATTTAAGTGTATAGAGGACTGTGGGTACAAAATTCAACATAATTGAACGTATTAACAGTGAGCTATGGCTTCATACCTAAAAAGACAGTTCTAGCGGAAAAGCTGTTTGTAATGTATGCAATGAATACTTTAACTTTAAAAAGTACTTGAAGCGGAAATATATTGAAATATTTTCATCAGTGTTTTAGTGCCAATCTTTAAACACCAACGTATGATGGTTGATTTGGATAAGAAAAAAAATTAGTTTCGAACAAAAGAAAAAAAATAATTCACATTTGTTAGATTTATGCATAGATAGCTTTCATCCGTTTTCCCTAATAGAAGAAATGGCTTGCAATTTAACATACTTATGTATGTGTCACGTTAACTAGTTGACGAATTTAACTAGTTGATCAACTAGTTGACGAATATGAATCAACGTTAACGTTAAGTTGAAGAAAATACCTTCAACGACCCATCGCTATTGCGTACCTGTAAAACACATTGACTTTGACTTGAAATTTGAGTTTCATGTCATCTGTCAACTGTCAAGCAGTGAGAATTCAAAATGTAGATAATAAAAAAAACCGAAATGCTATAGAGCATCCATCGCATGTACTGGTTATCGTTAATATTTTGTTTTTTTCTTGTTTTTTTATATGTAATTGGCTTTGCAGCCAACGGGAAAACGCACGGTAGCAGGAAACTTTGACAGCTTCGGCGGAAGTGACAGACGATTTGCAGACACGAGAAAAACAACATCAATGTGCCATGGGTCCGTTGTCTTAAAACGTAATTGAAAACGGTTACGCGGTACATATCGTTTGATCTAAGTTGGTGAACGATGATTACATGAGTGCCACCGAACTTTTGATGGGTATTGCACTATACACTAATAAGATCTTATATAGTACATTTTTTTTATAAAAATGATATATAACAAAATTTCAATTTCGATACATAATTTTCGATACATAAATAAGCTGTGACAAGAGTTAGAGATTAATGTGGTAAATGTTCGCATTTATATATTTTGTACATATCTTATGCCAAAACTACTATCATTTCATAGCATTTTTTTTGCATAAATTTACCTATAATTAATCAACATAAGGATCATTATATGATAAAAGGAATGGTATAGTTAATAAATAATAATAAAAGAAAAGGTATCTGGAGCAATAGGATATTACAAACTGATATTACAATACAAATTGATATTACAAAATTGATTTTATTCTACACTAGCTGCAGCCCGCGACTACGTCTGCGTAGAATAGGCTGAAGGCGTAACATTCAGACAGATATACATAATAAATTGTAGCCTATGTGTTATTCTGATTTGTAAGCTATATTATTGTAGTTTCATTAAAATCTAATCGGTAATATTTGCGTGAAAGAGTTACATCCATCCATAAATACAAACTTTCGTGTTTATAATATTACTAAGGAGGATGTTAAAGTTGCAGATGGCAATATTGATCATGGAATGTCAGTGTTGATAGTTGTCAAAGATTTTGTCTATGTTCTTTTCCTGCTAAAATATTCTCTTGAGAGGTTGGTTTCGTGTATTGAAAATCTGTTTTAATCACAAAAAGTACTATATTTTATGATAACATTTATCATGAGGTTCCCAAAGATAGTGTTTTTGTTCAGTTTGCGTACATATTTTGAGCAGTTTTCAAAATTTTTAATTAAAAAATAAATTAACCACTGTTTGTGTATGCTATCAGTGACAAGCCGCTGCTCTGTTTCAGTAACAAAAATGGGTCGTTATTCTCGAGAGCCTGATAATCCAGCTAAGTCATGCAAGGCGCGTGGCTCAAACCTGCGTGTTCATTTCAAGGTACAGTGTGGAAGAAACTCTTATATTTATAGGCAAGACCCACATGTGTATGCCAATAGAAAAAAGTATTGAGTTCTCTCAAACCAATCATAAGATCAGTCATAAATCGTATACCAGCGACCTGTATTTCATTGCTTCAACCACTTCTTTACAGGTGCTATTATAACAATGTTTTAGATCGCTCTTGCTCCCCTAGCTAGCAGCTTATTATTGATTTACAAAAAGTGACTGTTAAATAGCATAAGCTATTTTTAAGCAATGTTCTCTTTATTGAAATATAAATTTACGAAAACCGAGAGTAACGAAAAATTACTGTTGATAATACAATAGAAAGTTTGAACAATTTTTTAATTGATTAAAAAGTAAAGTAATACATAATATTCTATTTCAGAACACATATGAAACCGCCATGGCGATCAGAAAGCTTCCTCTGCGACGCGCAGTCCGTTATCTGAAAAACGTCGTTGACAAGAAAGAGTGCATTCCTTTCCGCCGTTTCAATGGTGGAGTTGGCCGCTGCGCTCAGGCTAAACAGTTTGGGACCACACAAGGCCGATGGCCCAAGAAATCTGCAGAGTTCTTGCTCCAACTCCTAAGAAATGCGGAATCAAATGCTGACTACAAAGGGCTAGATGTTGACAGGCTGGTTATTGATCACATTCAGGTATATGAATACAAATTTTATGTCATTTTAGTTCATTAAATTTAAGAACTGCTTTATTTACCACTAACCACAATGTTGTTAAATAAATTTTATTGATACTTATATTTTTCACTGACAAATATTATTCATTGATAGAGAAACATTGGACAATAATTTCAAAGTAATTTTAATAAATGCTTAATTTTTATAGAAAAATAAAAACTTGTCATTTCAAATTGAATTTAGGTCTATATTGATTGAAGCAAGAAGTGCAAAGTGGTCTTATTTGGGAAAGTGAATGATTAATTTCTTGCTAATTTGTTCAAAAATAGTTGTATTAACCTTTTAGTAACTATCACTACATAGTATAAAACAAAGTCATCCTGCTGTCTTTTCTGTCATCTTTACAACTATGCAACGGATTTTGATGCAGTTTTCTTTAATAGATATTGATTCAAGAAGAAGGTTTATATGTATAATTCATGAATAATATAGTGGAGAAATACTGATAATTTTAGAGCTTTCTTTGTTGAAAACAAACATGAATAGTCGGGGCGGGTCACTAGTTAAATAAAATTAATAGACCACCAGCTTCATGTCAACTCTTTTTGGGAATTAACACCCAGAATGGGAACAATTGTCTGTAGATCACACAAATGTGTGTCCCACTTAGAATTGAACACAGATTCTAGAACTAAAACAAATAGTTTAACAGTTCATCAAACATGTACATGTAATAGTGAACACCCAGACACTTAAATGCTACATTCCTCCCACAATTAAGTATCACATCCTCTTACCCAAGATACAGATAAGCTATCCACCAATGGTCGGGATAGGGAACCTGGATAGTTTAATTAGTAAAATGTGCTTAAAGAAAACTATTGCTCATTAATAAAAATGTGAATTACCTCTTAAAAGTTTTGTATTGATGAATGTAATGATTCCAACATATTTACTTATTAATTGTTACCATGGCTATGTTTCATTTAAAAGTATATGTAAGTGAAAAATATATGTGTCCATAAAGTTATCATATCACACCTTTAAAGACAAACCATTACTAAACGAATATATATTTAGCACAGGAACATAAATAAAATTAATAGGTAAAGCTTTATTAAAAAAAAAAATAACTTTTCTAAATTTAAGTGTAAATAAAAACCCATCATTATGTTCTCAAAAGATGGCCCAAAGCACCTTGACCTTAAATTATATTGCAAAAACCGGTCTATTTTTTTTATTTAAGCTTCTGTGTATAATAAATCTTTAATAAGTAATGCTGTATGATACCACAATATTACTAAATAATATGTTACTCAGTACTTATTAGGAGAAACTGTTATTATTTAAGTAATATGTGTCAACAGACCAAAACAATAAATGCAAACAAAATAATTTTGTTCTAATATAAAGTTGTGACAATATTTGTTTATATGTTTATTTATACAAATAGATTTACAATTTATTATTTTTGCAATTTGATAAACATACATCATTATTTGTCTGCAAGACTTGTAGACTAGACAAATAATGATGTAAGTTGCAACATTTGGTTGCAATTTGATTACAAATATCATTCAAGAAAGGAACAACCGCGACAATAAATGAACACACGTCTAACGCTACTTGCCACTAATGACAAAAAATATAAACGTTAATAAAATTCATAATTAAAAAAAAATTTTTTTTCAAACAAACTAATTAAGTAAAAAAGAAATTAAATTTGAAACATCCTATACAACTACAACTGACCGATTTATACATTCAGACACTTTTTCATTTGTTGCCACAGAGTTACAAACCTCTCCTTCTAACAGTATGTTTTGTCTCTTTTAAATTCATTCAATCCATTCATGTGCTTTGTGACCTTTACAAATGAACTTTACGTTACAGTTATACTTAAGGATGTTCTAAAATTGATTATTTTGGAACATTGATGTTTGAAGAATATAAATGTTTAATACAATTTTAAAAAGTTATCCTCTATATGGGTTTATTTATTGTCGCGGTTGTAACGACATGCTGTATCATTAAATTAATATTATTTTTATAGTAATTGCCTTTATGCTTGACAAAAGAACAATATTTAATGTTACTTTTGTTTTCTAAAGGCATAAATTATTCTGTGGTGTGATTTATTTAGCTACAAAAATAATTATATGTTACTTTGTAGAGAATTTGTATTACAAACATTTAAAATTTAGATTTTATCAATTAACAATCTTATTCATATTTTATGCAAAAATTTTTTAACATTCATGACAATTACATCTTATTTTATTTGTATAAATTTTGCATCAAATATACTGATGTACTGCAGTAATGCTATGAAATAATCATTGATGTATATTAGTGTTTAGAACTTAGTTGATAAACAATAATGAAGCTTATATTTATTTTGGAAGATTATTTTATTTCATTATGCATTGAAATGTAAGGTATTTGGAAACCTAATAGAGAATTTTCCATAAAAACATAAGCATTTTTGATGTGTTCTGTGTACAAGTGAGGACTATAACAAACATCATCAATTCCCTTGTATTGATAATGATTTTTATTAGGTTTCTGTAGCCAAAGAGTAAAATGTGATACTATTATTAAGACTGCTGTCTGTCTGTCTGTCCTTATGTCACCATGGTGTATCTCATGAATCATGTTAGACAGCTGAAATTTTCACCAATGTTGTATTTCTATTGCCATGACATGATTTTTTTGCCGTTTTTATAGATGATGGTACGGAACCATACGTGCGCGTGTCAGTGGCCGGTTTTCTCTACCATCCTCAAACAATTTCATTAGATACTAAGTTACGCCTGTCCTGTGCGATTCCTATTCGCTTGTATGCCATTATATTCATATATAACGTGGCGCTACTAACGGGACCATAAAGCAACACAGAGGATAACTTTTGATATTGTATTAAACATTTACTTTCTTTAAACATCAATATTTAGCGAGTTATTCAATTTTCCAAAACAATTAATTTTAGAATATGGTTATGATTAAAACTAACGTAAAGTTCATTTGTAAAGGTCACAGAGCATATGAATTGGTTGAATGAATTTAAATGAGAAAACATACTGTTAGGAGAGACTTGTAATACGACGTTGTGGCAATGTATGAACCCACTGACTGATTCATACGTCTCTGAATGTATGAATCAGTCAGTGGTAGTTGTATAGGTGTTACAAATTTTGTTTCTTTTTTTATTTAATTAGTATGAAAGTTATTTTTTTAATTATGGATTTTTTGAACGTTTACATTTTTTATGGTTATTGGTAAGTAGCGTTAGATGTGTGTTGATTTATTGTCGCGGTTGTAACACCACGCTGTATATTTAGGACCACATAAGATAAAGCTTTTGCCTCTATGTCCATCTCCCGTCGAGATCTAACGGAGCGTTGAATCGTTGAAATCGCACCCCTAACTAGTGCTGTGCCGGCTGCAGGTGAACCGCGCGCCGTGCCTGCGCAGGCGCACGTACCGCGCCCACGGCCGCATCAACCCCTACATGTCGTCGCCGTGCCACATCGAGGTGTGCCTCAGCGAGCGGGAGGACGCCGTGGCCAGGGCCGCGCCCACGGACGACGCGCCGGCGAAGAAGAAGCTCTCCAAGAAGAAGCTCGCCCGCCAGAAGGAGAAGATGATGAGGGAATAGGCGTTTAGGGGTTAATAAAGCTATTAAAACAGCAGTGACGCCTTTTATTCGCTTCCGTGGTCGGCTTGGAGACGACGCCAGGAAACCGTATCGGGTGAAAATGTTGCACTCTGGTCATGAACCTGTTCGATAGCAGCGGTGCTGCCAAGTTTAAAAATAGTCGATCGCACGTCTGATTGCATTGGTCATCTTGTTAAATGATTAAATAGAAATTTATAGAAACTATACTTACTTTTGATTGTTGGAAAAGTGAATAAGAAATTAATTATGAGCTACGCTATATACTAGGTTAAATCGTGTAGCTGTTACGCCTGTTCCTGTTACTTAAAAGTAACTAACGAATACCTGTGACGAAAGAACAGCCTGTTATTTCATACTATGTTGTGACAATTTGTGTAACTGTTCTGTTACTCTATGGTAACTAACCGTACTTCTCATTCTAATAAAGCTTTAAGATCGATGCAAGAAAAAGAAAGAGCTTGTGACAGCGACAGTATTCAGTAACAACCTTGACAAGGAGTAGGTAACAGTTTTTATCTCTTTCTAACTAAGGTAACAGTCGTAAGCATGAATAAAGAAAACGTGTTATGGAGCAATTGGTGTGGAACAGGAACTGTTATTTAAGTTCGTAACAGGTATAGTGTTATCTCGAGATACCTGTTACTTATATCTATATTTACCTGTTGAGATAAATACGCCTCACTCCTAGTTGTAAGTCTCATGTAAGGAGAAGCCAAGGAGTAGCCACGCTGCCTCATTACCGCTGACATAATGTCCAGCTTGAACGGTTTGTTCTTCATTTAGAGGTTGCACTCTTATTTATCTTCTTGCACGTACATTTGATTGCGCGAACAGAAAAGCTGGTAGGGCCACGCAACAGTCTTCGCTGTTGGACAAATGAGAAGGTTCGCCCGGGGTAGTACAACGACCGCACAGGTGTTGCTGATGTACAAAGACATCAATTGAATTGTTGTCCAAGGTTTCGTAGGCTCTAGAGCGAGTCTTAATTGTAATTTTCCTTTTTTTTTTTTATTCGAAACTGGCCAGCGCTTGACTGATGTAAGAGGCGATTCAGCCGTTAACGGTAAGCGCGTTAGCTCAGTAAAAACCTATTCACTTTGGATTTGAAGACGCCTACGTTATAATCGTATCCTGCTACCTTCTTCGGTTGCTCTGCGTCAGTGTAACGGGTCGCCATTGTCATACAATTTTTTTTCTTGCTCAGGATCCTGAATCTAGGCGCTTATTAACTCATCTGTTTGGTTGAGGGAACAACTCTTTAAGTCATAAAATGTACACATGCTTTATCCCTTTTTTGCCATTCAACAGACTACATGAAAAGTCCTTGAGGGATTGAAAGTGTAAGTAATAAAAAAGTCTGGTCTTCCATAAGCTCGTACATGAGCGGATGCATTATTGCACAAATCTTGTGTATTTTGGTGACGTTAGCCGACGCTGTTGACGAAGGATGACGGTAGAACAACCATTTTGCCTAGATCTCTAGGATTAACATTGGCGTCGCTAGCAATCGCAACTGGCAAATGTATATAATTGTCAAAACAGTTTTTTTTTAATTCAAAGAAATGTAACGAAGACATTCGCTTTCCATCTTGACTTAAATATCTGGCGAGAATTGATGAAATAGTTGTCTGCACTGCACATATTTTCGGAATATTTTTTTACTATTATTTCGAAAATATGCAGGTTTCCGTACGATGTTTTTCTTCACCGCTGAGCACGTGATTATTCAATACTTGAAATTAAGAATTTCATTGGTGCCGGCACCGGGGATCGAACTCAGGTTGCTCGAGTATATTGAATTAAATATGAGCGCCCGGACAGTGAGCTATCACGGGGTATTGCCGAGCGCCATAAAATTGTGTGTCGGTTACCCGTTGCAACGTGTCACATGTGCTCGCAAGACGATCTCGTGAAGAAAACTGTTCACCACTTACTATAGCTACAATGTCATTAATCAAATCTATGGCGCATTTTAGCACCTTTTATGTTCGAGGGCTAACACGTTGTTACTTTTAGAAGTATGTAGAGATTAGTAATGGGTCTTTCCATGGGAATGAGGGGGTATACTGTAAAAGTAGCCTATGCCACTTTCCAGCCTCGTTAACTATTTCCACAAAACAAATCATACCATAACATCGCTCAGTTGCGATATGAAAGAAGGAGGAACAAACAAACACACTATCTTAATTTTATGTATATTACGATATATATATTACGATTATAACACGAACGAACCTTTGATGATATTTATGCTTTTTGGAGTTAAGAATTGCCGCACGTTGTTCTTTTCATTTTTATCTATTAATAGTGTTAAAGCCAGTCATATGTACAGTATTTGGTAACAAATAATTTAAATAACATTTATAAACTTAGTCATATTGGCCTCCCAGTAGCCTTCGATATTTACACTTCAAGTTGTGTATTTCTAGATTAACATCACAAAGAATCATTTCTAGATTAAAATTTTCCTCTGCCAACTTCTCTCCGACTTTGCTTGCTTCAATACGTTTTCTCTTTGACAACTCAATTTCTTCCCTCAGATATTTATTTTCAGTCCAAATAAAATTTCCAAATATCTCGCATTTTAAATATTTAAAGAGTGCGTAAAATTTCTATAAGATTCTTTCAACACGCAAGCTTGTTTCTTAGCTTCATGAACTTGATTATTTAAATTTATTTTGATATTATTCAATTGTATTGCTCTCGACATTTCTTGGTGTTGTTTTTCAACGGCGATTTTAAGTTCTTTTTTTAGTCTTGTATTTTCCTCAATAATTTTGAAATAATCTAATCCTAAACGAGCCTCCAAATATCTTGGCTTATTTTGCAATGTTTGTTTTGGGTTTAACATTATTTATAAAAGAATTTGAAGTTTGTCAAATCCCATTGTCACCGTTTTTTTTAATATGTATTTTTTATTTAAACAAAACATTTTTGTCTCTATGTTGTTATAACAAACAGTAATAAAAAGTCTGAGTAAAACCTAGTAAGTTGGGGCTAAGTTGAATTTCAGAAAGGTAGTTTATCGGCGGACTGTAGTTTAACGCCCGGATTCTGAAACACTGATTATCATAGAAATTAACTGACCGGGCTAATTAACCGGGCGTGAGCCTTGTATGGCTGCAGGTTGGCTAACTCTGGTCTAAGAGATACTTTTACTTGTATCTCATTGTGTACGGGAACGCGAAAACACACACTGGTTACTGTACTGGTTTTCATACAGTTAGTCGCTAACGAACCCGCACGTATGTCGTACGTGCGTGCCGCCGCCTTGCTCTGCGCTTGTGCGCTTATGGCAAACGTCGCCACTAAAGCTGCGCCGGCGCCGCCGAGGAGATCTGAAAACAAAGGTACCATCTGCCAACTGTTTTTAAGGCAATGTAAAGTACATAACCGAACAAAAATTCTTACTAACTTGAAAGTTATCTCATAATATGCCTTGCAATTTTTTGCTAAACAAAAATAATAATATTGTCATGAATTTATTTTGTTAAGTAGATTATGTTTACTATATATATTATTAATATAAAATATTTTTTAGCTTTATGAATGGAAAATTCTATTTCAATTTCATATTTTTAATACTTTTACTTTTTTTTAAATGAATAGTTTATTAAGTACTTAATAAAAATTTGAAAATTTAAGGCAAGTGTCGATGATGGCGATATGATTTATTTTCATAACTGTAAAAAATACTAAAGAAATGCTTTTAAATACGTTTTTTAATTCAAAATGATTTTTAATAAGCTGTTCTAATATTGAACGTGTAAACATAATTTTCGCGATACATGTATGTATATTTTATCTCCTCTGTTGCATCTGCTGAAAATCATTCGCACGTTTAAAGTTCAATAAAATAAACGGGCCATCAAATGAGGTCATTGGTACAGCAGGGAGACCGTTGGTACCGCGGTACAGGACAACCGTATGTCTGACTGTCTATTATCAGTTTTGTATATAAGCGTTACTCGAAGACTCTCCCGTAAAAATATATAGCCTTCAGTCATGAAAAATTTTGTAAGAAAAGTCAAATTGTATTTATGAGCTTTGATATTAATTTAGGTCGAATGTGCCAAACCTTTGCCGACCTTTTCGTATAATTTTGTAAATATATCCCGCCATTGCGCATTTAGATATAGGTAAGTATGAAGTAAAAGTCGTCAATTAAATATATGTGAATCAAGAGCCGTGATAGCTCAGTGTCCGGGCGCTCGCCTTTTATTCAATATATTCGAACAACCTGAGTTCAATACCCGGTGCCGGCACCAAAGAAATTGTTAATTTTAAGTGCCGAATTATCATGTGCTCAGGGGTGAAGGAAAACATCGTGAGGAAACTTGCATATTTTCAAAATAATAACAAAAAAAATATATTTCGAAGATATGTGAAGTCCACCAATCCGCAGTGGGGCCGCGTGGTGGACGAGGCCCTCATACCCTCTGTACAGAGGAGGGCTTTGCCTAGCAGTAGGACTTGTATAGGCTGATACTTTACTTTACATCGACGGGGAAACGGTGTCCTAAACAATAAATTTAATTTTATACAAAGCACCTTCGTGCTCTTCAACAATTCAACAGTGCTAGGTGTGACATCACATGTAAGATATTAGACGTTGGCTTAAAATGAACTAACAGTTTATTGATAGATAAAAATTTGTATCATTAATGATATTAAAAATGAAAACTTGGCGGCATAACAAATCTGTCCCTTGCCATTTTCGATTTTAAATCTCTATAGTCGGCAGTTCCCAACCTGTCAGTTCCCAACACATAAAAGCATCGTTCATAGCTCATTTTTCTCTGATTATTTATCTTTGCAATAGGCTTTCCTCATCAGAAAAAAAATTTCAATATCACTTATTAAATCAAGTAATTAACACTAGTCTTGCTTTTCTCCAGAGGGAACTTTTTTCATAGGTAAAATTTTGACTTGGTTCCTGTAGGCAGGCCTGCGTATTGATTAATTGCATATTGAATATTTCATAACAGGGCATTTCTTTAATCTTGCTGGGGCTTTTTATTTTATCGAATAAACAGAGCGTATGAAAAAATCTAAAGATTCAATAAGGTAAATTAGCATTCTCTTTTTATCGTCATATTGATTAAAAAGTAACTTAAATGGATATGACAAGCTCTTCGTTAATCTTAAAACGCATCCTCCGAAGTATCTTCGTGAAGCAGTTTTGGCCAGTTTAAAAAATGTAGGCAGTTTTCATATTTGTTCTTGACTTGTTTCACAATTTTAAAATTATTGACGGTTGATGATTGCTTTGTGTCATCGTGCTCACGTTGGTAAATGAGCTAAAAAAATCTGCGTCATATGTGTAAAATAAAAAAAAGACCGAATAAGTCTGCAGTCTTTGACCACATCCTAAATAACCACGAAAATAACATGAGATTTGAAAGACCATTAATTCTTGCAAAAGAATACAGAATTCTACCAAGAGTGATTCGGGAGACTATCTAATTTAAAAAAAATAGCTAAATTCCAGTAGAAAAAAGGCTTGGTGGCTAAAGTTTGAGATCTTTTAATAAAATCTAAACCACAACGAATGATTCAATTCAAATTTCTTTCTGCTTTCATAAATACAAATAATTTTAAGACCTGACGGTTAAGTTACCAGACCTCCGTCTCGTAACTGTTAGTGCTCCCAGGGTACTTGAAATTAACCCGTAACTGTGAGTGCTCCCAGGCCCAGGGTACTCGAAATTCAGTTGAAAATCGCGATTAATTCCGTAAAACTGGTTTCATGTATGCTTAGTCTTAAAAATAAATATAATTTGAAGCAAATTATTACAATAACTTCTATCATAATCTTCGTATATTAGCAGATGACTTTTAGTTCACACTACGACTTCAGTTTTACAGAGCGAAGTCAACTTTTCAACCGACTTCAAAAACGGAGGAAGTTCTGAATTCGACTGTATTTTTTTTATGTTTGTTACCTCAGAACTTTCTACTGAGTGAACCGATTTTTTTTTATTTGATAGTTGGTGTCTCCCATTTCCAAAAAAAATTATATGGGACCCCAAATAAAATTTTTATAAGTCAAAAAAATTTTTATATGACTCCGGAGATACGTAGGGACTCCTGAGAATCAATTATAAAATGAATACAGAGGTCAGAGGGAAGTCGGTATTGTTTTTCGTTATTACTTATTACGTGTAAACTTTTTGCTCTTGCTCTGTACGCAATTGTCGTTGTGTGACACGTAATTCGACGTAAGAGTAGATCGTTGACACCAAAACGGTTAAACGGCCGGTCCGTGAACGCGCGGCGCCTTTCATCCCATCAGCCAACTGACCCATATTAATGTTACTTAGCACTGGGCAGGACGCGCTAAGTGTAGCACCATGTTTTTGAATTATTGCTGCGCGACGTTTTAAAACTAGGGTCCGAAAGTTTTAAATTTAGCTTAGTTGATTTTAAGTGGCAACATATATTGTTTCTTTTTTAATTTTTCATCATAGTCTATGAGCAGAACCAAACTCAGGTTCACTCTTCCACAGTTCATTGTCATAGGTCAAGGCGTAGTTACGGCGTGCACCTAATTCGCTTTACGACTTGAACCATTCCAGAAAAACAAAAGACGTTATTACGACGTAACTGATGTGATGACGAGTTAGGCCACTGTCATTCACTGCTTTTATTATCTGTACAAAGCTGCGTAGAAGAATTCAATGTATATTAATTCCCTTCCTTTCGATGTAAAAAAAGCCCTGTTATAAATCTAGAGTTATAGAGGGTTTTTTTATAGTTAAAGTTTTGTTAAATAATGTATATTTATTATTTTTTCTGTTATGGGAATCGTTATTTTTGAATATTCTGTTGAAAATAGTGAAATTTCATCAATGTATGTTTTCAGTTCTCTGAAGGGAATGCGATTTATGCATTGACTTACATCCCCATCTTAGTTAAGTGGCCAATTGTAATTCACTTCCTTATGATGGCGGATGCAAACATTATCCGTTGATTTTGGCGCGCTGTCATGTCAACTGGCACTTTAAATTCCGTGTGTGTAAAATGTGAAGTGTCATTAATTTCACATTGAAATATACGTTTATTTTAAAATATATGTAATGATAATTTTTATTTTCAATTTCTAGGATTTAAAGACAGGTTTGGTTATGCAAATATATATTTTTTTAAATGATTGTATACAGTTGAGTACAGGCGCTTTTATATTTAGCCTCGTAAGTGGCATCAAGTTCTTACAATTTTATTAGAATATTTATTATACCTATTGTTGTTTTAAATTATGTTTAACTGGGAGGATAACTGGTTTACTATGTAACGTAGTATTACGTTGCATTGCTGGGGATAGGAATATGTGACGGACGTAGCAAAAACAAAGGGTCCAACATCATCACGTGTTCCTTACGAACGTCTAGATGAGTCTTAAGTGAAAAATCGTGGTTTCACACCTACCGCGCGACCGGGAAGTAATCTTTGCTCGGAATAGAGCAATTGACAACATTTGATTATGGAATGTGTATTTACGACGACTTCTATGGCGGCTGCGCAGGCTACGCGATTGTTTGAGGTTAGGACGAGGTTGGAATTTTGAATGATACGTAACGTTAATTGTGATGATTTATACTTTTTCCGACAGTATTTATTACTGTTCTGTTTTATGCAGCTAGTGAAAATATAAACCAAATGATAATCCGCACGATACTTGAATTCGCACTCCATTTTCTATCGTTAAAGATTTCAATACTATATCGCCGTTATAAATTTGGTACTTTTGGTACTTGTAAATTTAGGGATAAAGACGTGAATTAAGTTTTTATTAAATGGTAGACGGAGATAACTGACGTTATACATGTCTTTTTATTTTCAAACGTGTCAAGTGTAACGTTGTAATTTTTTTGCACCTTTCAATATCGAAGACATTCGCTCATTGATGCTCCGAAAAAGGGCTAGAATTTTTAATAGTTCTGAAGTCAAATCTTACTACCATTGGAAAATAATTTTATTAAAAAAATATGTGTGTACTTATAAATGCACGTAAGAAGTTATACTTCTTTAGCGTAACAAAAGAAAAATAACTAAAATTTTTATTTCCTGTGCCACTTTGTGACAAAGTCATTAACTGCAATTGATAAACCACGACTTGACAGAAGACCGGCATGAATTGGATGTGTTATATTTGTAAGTTTCGTCTGGTGGATGAGGAAACCAGAGCCCACTTTATTAAAGGGTGGCAAAGCATTTGCAACCGTACGGGTCCTGCAAATGGCCATGGGTTATCACTTAACGTCAGGTAAACCGCCAGCTGGCTTGCCGCCTACTCACATTAAAAAATGTTTTTCGATTAGTGTTTTTATTTTTCGACATTCAATTTGCA